CAGCCGAGATGGCAGCTGTGCAGTCTGCTCTCAGCTCCGCCCTTCTCATGAAGGATCTTGGTGACCTCAAGAACTACCTGGGGATGGAGATCACTCGTGACCGCCAGGTTTGCACGATCACGCTCTCCCAGGAGTCCTACATCGACAACCTTCTCAAGCGGTTCAACATGGACTCTAGTAACTCTGTCTCCACTCCACTCCCACTACAGCATCAGCTCACGGCCCCTCCAATTCCTTCTCCTGATGCCTGCAAGGACCCGTACCCTGAGCTAGTCGGTTCACTCTTGTATGCCATGATGTGCGCTCGACCAGACTTGGCTTACCCGGTTAGTGTCCTCTCTCGGTACGTCTCCCCCGGACGCTACACTGCCTCGCATTGGTCTGCAGCCAAGAGGATCCTCCGCTATCTACAAGCCACCAAGTCTCACATCCTCACTCTGGGTGGTACCTCTCCAGTCAAGCTCGAGGGATACACAGACTCCTCATGGGCCGATGACCAGACTGACAGACGCTCCTCCCAAGGGTACTGCTTCACCCTTGGTAGCGGAGTCATTAGATGGCGCTCCACTCGGTCCTTTGCAGTCTCCCTGTCATGCTGCGAGGCCGAGCTCTACGCAGGCACAATGGCTGCTCAAGAGGCACGCTGGCTCTCCTTTCTCCTCGCTGAGTTAGGCTACCCCCAGCAGTCGCCCACCCTGTGGTGTGACAACCAGAGCGCCATTCCCCTCACCAAGGATCTTGTGTTCCACTCTCGCACCAAGCACATCGAACTTCGTCATTTCTTCATTCGATATCTTGTTCAGAGTGACCAGCTGACGGTACGGTACATCGCCTCATATTGCAACCTCGCCGACCTCTTTACCAAGGCTCTCGGCAAGGCTGACCACCATCGCCTTCTCCGTTCCATGGGGCTATGTGCACCTTGACCGGGTTTGCAGTCTATGGGGGTGTGTTAGAAATAGACAGCAAATCCCACTTTTGTATTTGTACTGTTATATCCTACTTTAGGTTATGAATGTTCTGGTGGGTTGGAGTGTACTCACAAATCCCAACCTCACCCAATTGTGATCCCTCCAATCTCCAATTACCCAATTGGAGATTCCGGAGATCCCAATGGGGATTCCCTCCGATTCCTCCCTTCATCCATTCTCTCTCACCTTGCCATGTACTTATAGAGCCTTGGGCTCCTTACCTAATTAATGATTTCAACTCTATTTCTTACAAGACACCCCAGACAGGGCAGAGCGAGGAGGGGGAGGAGCAGGGGCGACCGGGGGAGGGGGAACCAGGAACAGGAGGGGAGTAACCGGGGGACCACGGTGGGGAAAGCGGTAGTAGAAGGAGACAGACTCGTCAAAGGTGACGTCGCGAGAGTGAAAGAAACGGTGAGATGGCGGGTGGTAGATTTGCCAGTCAGACGAGTCGAGGGGGAAACCGAGGAAGACATAGAGGATGGTGCGGGCAGTGAGCTTGTCCGTGCCAGAGGCACGAACGTGAGCAAGGCAGCCCCAGACGGGGAACGCAGACGCGTCACCAGGGGACCCGGTCCAAAGAAGGGTCGGCAAAACCTGTGGCTACTTGGGGTGCGGCCACGGGTTAAGCTGGTGAGTGGCGTAGCGAACGGTGAATGGCCACAGGAAATGGGGTGCACCGGCATAGATCACGGAGGTACGAGCCACCTCCATGACCAAACCGATGCGTCGCTCGACGACCCCATTCTGCTGCGGGGAGTCCGGCAGGGTGAACGTCTGGGCGATGCCCTCCGCACGGCAGAAACGACCAAGGACGTCGGAGGCAAACTCATCACCATGGTCAGAGTGAAGACGCAGGACAGGAAGGCCGCGGTGGACTCGCCCAGAGACCAGCCACGGGATAAGAGCATCAGGCACGTCGGCCTTCCGCTCCGGGGGAAAGACAATGGTGTACGAGTGTAGTCGTCAACAAGGACGAGGAAGTAACGCTTACGACGCGGCCCATGAACCGGGGCAGGGCCCCAGACGTCCATGTGCAAGGTCTGCAAGGGTGTAGTGGTAGGGAAGGAACGAGGAGGAGAGAGGGAAACGAGGAGGAGTGAGGGGCACAGTGGAGCCGGCCCTCGAAGCAGAGCGTGCACGGCGGTGCTGGGGAGGAGGGCAACTCAGGGAACGACTCTGGGAGACCTAGGACAAGTCCGTGCTGAAACATGTAACGCAGATGCGGGAGCGCGGGGTGACCTAGACGGAGGTGCCACAGAAGTGTCGGGTGAGCAAGCGACCGACACGAGTAGGCCGAAGCAACCTGGGTAGACGCAGCCACCTGGAGAGACGTCCCAACTGGGGGGGGCGCGGTGTCCAGCGTGAACAGGCTAGACACCGGGTCCCGGGGGAACGTGGTCAGGGGAGCACCAGTTGCGGCCTCGGTACAGGCAAGAAACGTAGTGGTGACGCCAAGGTCCTGGAGGCAACCGAAACCAACTAGGTTCCTAGAGAATGAGGGGATGTGCAGGCCTATAAGAGAGCCCAAAGGAACCACCTGACAGGGAAGGGTGGTGGAGCTACGGGCGACTACCGGACCTGAGGAGGGGTCGGCAAGGGAAACTGCGGCGGGATCAGCAAGCAGCGTCAGTGTACTGGAGTCGCGAAAGAAACACCGGGAAGCACCAGAGTCCAAGGTAAAGGAGAGCACAGCGGTGGCGCCCGGGGTCAGAGTGGCGAGGGAGGAGCCAAGACTAAACAAGGCAGGGGATCCTACGCCTGACGCAGCAGGGCAGGCAGGACTAGGCACACCTACACTAGGCAACAAGGGGTAGTAGGAACCAGTCACACTAGAGTCATCGACATACAGCACATACAAAGCAGAACTAATCTCATCCATGTCCATATCAAAGATCTGAATACTAAGGCGAAGCAAGCTGTGCCAGTCGGGGAGGTCGGGCGACGGGCCGAAGCGAAGACGAAACTGGTCGTCCAGGCGACGAAAACAGCGGGCACGGGTGTGACCAATCTTACCGCACACGGAGCCGCGGCGAGGACCAGTCTGGAGCTGGTACTGACAGCGCCCGTCACCCGAACTACAACCCGACGGCACACTGCGCGCACGACCACTACGTACACCGCCACCACCAGCGCCAGGCCACCCGGGCGGGAGACCACCGGCCCGCCGCTGCTGCTGCTCGGAGGCACCTGCCCCAGTCCCCTCGTCCGTACTACCAGCAGGCGGTCTGGCTCCACCACCTCCTCCACCCCCTCCTCCACTATCGCCGCCGCGCCCATCCTTGGTGCGGCAACCCTTCCCCAGACGGAACTACGCTGCGGCGGCTATCCCCACAGTAGGCGCTATCTCAGCGACATCAGCAGAACCGTGAGAGAAAGTACACAGAGCGGGGGCACGACCCTGAAAGATAGTTACCGGCACAGTACCGCTAGACTAGGCGATAGAGCGCAGGTGGGTCTTTATGGCAGACAGGGTGTCGACAAAGTCACTGAGGGTGAGGTCAGCGGGGTGGAGACTAAGGAAGTGATTGCGGGCAGTAGCAAGGCAGTCAGGAAGGCGGGTGGCAAGCAGGTAGAGGGTAGAGCAGATGGGTAGCTGAAAGACACGAAGCTGGGACTCAGTGCAAGCAGCGCGCCAAGTCACGTCTAGCGTGCGCAGGTGGGCGGACATGTCAGCGACCGTAGGGAAAGACGCGAGATCGGGAAAGTGTATGGGCAGGATCAGACGACCAAGTGAGGCAGCGGGTGGGGTGGAGTAGCGCGCGACAACGGCCTCGAGGAACTCCTGCGCAGTCCTGACTGACCGAAACCGTGGGCGCTCAGACAGGGGGAGGGCATGACTGATCGCGAGCTGTGCGACTGCGTCACGCGACAGCCAGACTGAGCGGGTAAGGGCGGCAGCGGCAGCGGACTCACGGTCAGCAGACGAGGGGTCAGCAGGCAAGGCAGCAGGGGGGTCAGAGCAGGGGAGCGTACCGTCGAGGTGGACGGCCAAGGAGTGGCCGTCCTGCCGCTGACCAGTGAGGTGACGGCGGAGGTCGACGAGCCACGTGTCGAACTCGACAGGCTGGCCCTCCGCGTCGAAGCGCAGCACCGAGTCCGCCATCAGGGTCGGTGCGGCGGCAGAAGGGCAGTACAGTGCAGTGCGGTGCGGTACAGTGCGGTGCAAGGCGGTGCAGTGCAGTGCAGGGCGGTGCAGTGCGGTGCGGGGTCAGCGCGGGCCGGCTGGAAGGCGAGGCTGGCTGGGCGATAGGGCCGACGCGATGACGGGGTCGGCTAGGTGACGGGGCCAGCTACCTGGCGGAGTCGGCTCGGCGTGGTCGGCTACGCGACGGGGTCGGCTTTGGAACGGGGCTGGCGACGGGACGGGGCCGGCTAGGGGAACGGCCCGGCGGCGGGACGGGGTTGGCTACGGGGACGGGGCCGCGGGTCGACGGGGCCAAGGGGCCGCTAGGGGACTTGGCCGCGGGGCCGCTGGTCGACGGAGCCGAGGGGCCGCTAGGGGATGGGGCTGCAGGGCTGCTAGGGGACGGGGCCGCGAGGCCGCTGGTTGACGGGGCCGAGGGGCCGCTAGGGGACGGGGCCACGGGGCCGCTGGTCGACGGGGCTGAGGGGCCGCGGGGCCACTAGGGGGCGGGGCCGCGGGGCCGCTGGTCGACGGGGCCGAGGGGCCGCTAGGGGACGGGGCCGCGGGGCCGCTAGGGGACGGGGCCGCGGGGCCGCTGGTCGACGGGGCCCTGGGGCCGCTAGGGGACGGGGCCGCGGGGCCGCTGGTCGACGGGGCCGAGGGGCCGCTAGGGGACCGGGCCGCTGGTCGACGGGGCCGAGGGGCCGCTAGGGGACGAGGCCGCGGGGCCGCTGATCGACGGGGCCGAGGGGCCACTAGGGGATGGGGCCGCGTGGCTGCTAGGAGACGGGGCCGCGGGGCCGCTAGGGGACGGGATAGGCGAGACGGCTAGGACCTACGGCGGAAGCGCTGGTGGGCAAAGGGGACCTAACCTACTCATGATACCATGTCAAACTGAAAGAATGACTAGAATGTGAGAGTACAAGGCATTATAACCTAGGGGCCTGTACTCTCTAAGGCACAACCCTATATGGTCTTCAACATCACACACAAATGTGTTTGACACATATATCCACCTTCCCCAGGGAAAGCCTCCCTAGTACCCTCCTTCGAGAGAAAAGAGGTTTGACTGAACTATCCCAGTGCCACAACAAACACCCCTACCATGGTAAATCTAAGTTGTGGAACATGGCCTGTATTAATGGTAATCAGGGCAGTTCACCCTTGAAATTCCTGGACAAAAGAGACCCTCCTCAACTCAAGCTTGTGCTTGTCCCTCCGAATTCATCTCCTTTCCCATTTGTAACAGTTACATTCCCATCTGTAACACTTTCATTCCCATCAGCACCCTCCCCTTCTACATGGCCGCTCAGTTTCTCCCACTCTTCAACCTCCCCAATGCTGCTCTCGCCCCGCTTCCTCCTCAGGCTTGCGCCTCTGAAGTCGCCTCTTTCCCATCCGAATGTCCTCCCTCCTTTTCATCAGCAGCAGTTTCATTCTCAGCAGCAACCTCCCCTTCCACATACCCACTCAATTTCTCCCACCCCTCAACCTCTGGAATGCTGCTCTCTTCCTGCTTCCTCCTCAGCAAGGCATACGAGCCATACTTGACAAGCCTCTCCGACAGGTTCGGGACGAAGAAGGCTCGGTATAGAGCCGGGGAACGTTGGGAGTCAACAAACGGGAGAGATGCCACCACCTGTAAAAATGCAAAATGTAAGAATGCAAAATGTTTCAGTATGCCACCACCTGTTCAATTGTAAAGCTACTTCCTACCCTGTGGTCCTGATTCCTTACCCCATGGCACCGCTTCCTACCCCATGTCACCGCTTCCTATCCCATGGCACCGCTTCCTACCCCATGGCACTGCTTCCTACCCCATGGCCCCAAAGCCCTGACGAATCCGGTGCACTCACCTCCCATTTGTCCTTGTCGTGCCCACGCATGGCATGTGCTCCTTCCAGGATGCTTCCCCTCTCCCCCGTCATGCTGACGTGGCGTGAGTTGTCCAGCTCAACCAGATAGTCGCACAAAAAGTCGCCCACCTGAAAGAGGGGGAGAGGGGGAAGAAGGGGGGAGGGGGGACGCAGGAGGTGATGAGAGGGGAGGAAAGAAAGGGAGGGGGGGGGGGGGAGGGGATGATGAGTTGGTCAGTGGCAGTTGTCCAGCTCAACAAGATTGTTGCAGAGAAATTTGTCCACCTGGCTCGCTCTGGGGTGGGGGAGGGAGGGGCGCGGGAGGAGGGAGGGAGGAGTAGGGGCTGAAGTGATGCGAGAAGACAGAGCGTGATGAGGAAAGCAGGTGGCAAATTCTCATCAGAACTTCGATAAGATTGTATTCAGCCAACTGATCACTGAGGCGGAGGATGACAAGTTTGAGGGTTAGGGAATAGACAATTTCCTTGGCGCCTCAGGTATTCAGCCAACTGATCACTGAGGCGGAGGATGATAACTTGGCTGGTGCGAGCTCTCCAGCTCAACGGAAAATAAGGGGCACGGAAAATAATCCAATCAGAAAATATACCAATCAAGAATGCATCCAATCAGAACAATCAGAAAGCCCGAAAAAACACCCAATCATCCAATCAGAAGAATCATCCAATCAGAAGAATCATCCAACCAGAAAATCATCCAAGTAGAAGAATCATCCAATCAGAAGAATCATCCAATCAGAAGAATCATCCAATCAGAAGAATCATCCAATCAGAAAATCATCCGACCAGAAAATCATCCAACCAGAAAATCATCCAATCAGAAGAATCATCCAATCAGAAAGTCAACCTACCAGAAAATCATCCAATCAGAAGAATCATCCAATCAGAAAATCATCCAACCAGAAAATCATCCAATCAGAAGAATCATCCAATCAGAAAATCATCCAAGCCGGCAAGCCCAGGCAAACACCATAAGATCGGAAAGCCCAAAGCACCCAACTTACGAACTGCTCTGGCGTGGCTTGGTTCTTGTCATTAAAGTAAGTGGTATTTTGAGTCGACTCAAAATACACCTGTAAGTGGGAGCAGACTCCGTGCCCCCCGTTCTGAGTCCAAGGGAATGGGCAGCCGCCTTTCAAACTGCTGGCAAGCTCACCTCAACACCACACTTCCCGAAACCTCAAACCCCCCAAAACCCCCCAAAACCCCTAACTTACGAATTGCTCTGGCGTGGCTTGGTTCTTGTCATTGAAGTAAGTGGGAGCAGACTCTGTGCCCCCCGCTTCAGAGTCAAAGGGGATGGGCAGCAGCCCCTTGAAGCCATCGTCGATGAAGGCAGCGTGGTGGAGGGGGGAGGGGAGGAGGAAGGAGGAGGGGAAGCGATGCCACTCCACGCCGTAACACACTGTGGTCACTGCAGGGGGAGAAGGGGCGCGGAGGGGGCCTAGTTTTCAGGCGCCTCAAAACTACACTGTGGTCACTGCAGGGGGAGAAGGGGCGCGGAGGGGGCCTAGTTTTGAGGCGCCTCAAAACTACACTGTGGTCTCTGCAGGGGGAGAAGAGGCGCGGAGGGGAGGGAGGGGGGGTTGTGGGGAAAGGGGAAGATGTCAGGGTGGGTTGTGGGGAAGGTAGGGGGGAGGTTTGGGGGGAAGGTAGGGGGGAGGTTTGGGGGGAAGGTAGGGGGGAGGTTTGGGGGGAACCAGCCTCTTGAAGCCATCGGGGATGAAGGCAGCTTGGTGGGAGGGCGAGGGGAGGAGGAAGGAGGAGGGGAAACGACGCCACTCCACGCCGTAACAGACAGTAGTGACTGCCGGAAGGGGAGGGGGGTTGTGGGGAGAGGGGAAAATGTATGTCAGGGTGGGTTTGGGGGGAAGGTGGGGGGGGGGAGAGATTGGGGGGAAGAAGCCAGGCAGATCCTCGAAGCCATCGTTGATGAAGGCAACTTGGTGGGAGGGTGGGCGGAGGAGGAAGGAGGGGAAACGGTGCCACTCCATGCCGTAACACACTGTGGTCACTGCAGGAAAGAGGGGGAGTGAAGGGGCAGAGGGGAGGGGAAGGGGGATTGGGGGGCAAAGGGAAGATGTCAGGGTGTGTTGGGTGGGAGGTTGCGAGGGAGGTTGCTTGAGACGGCTGTAAACCCAACTTCTCCGCAATGAAGATACTAAGCCAGGCTACTGAGACGGCTGTAGATGCATTTGAGTCGACTCAAAAGTCGGCTGTAGAGGCATCCACCTTCTTCGCTTGCTGCATCCACAGGAGGCAGGCAGGTGCTGCAGGATGCACATGGGAGCGGAAAATATTGGTTCTTGAGTGAAAAGCATATCTCGCCATCGTCAATCGATGCATCCCCCGAGGAGGCAGGCAGGTGCCGCAGGATGCGCGTGGGAGCGGAGTAGAAGTGCAGCAGAGCTGCAACCCAGAATAGACTCTTGAGACTTGAAGGACTCTTTGCACGAAAACTCAAAAATCACCGTCTCCATTCGCTGCATCTACTGCCGGCAGATGCTGCAGGATGCGCATGGGAGCGGAGTAGAGCAGAGTAGAAGTGAAGGAGAGGCGTGATTCAATATTCATTCCAAGGGAAACAACAACTCAAAACTCACCGCTTTCATTTGCTGCATCTACCGCCCGCAGTTGCTGCAGGATGTGCATGGGAGCGGAATAGACGTGCCGGCTGGAGAGCCCTGATTCAACAACATAGACTCTTGAGGGACTTTTCAAAGGTTGATTGCTTGCGACGGCCATGCACTCACCTTCTTCGCTTGCTGCATCCACAGGAGGCAGGCAGGTGCTGCAGGATGCGCATGGGAGCAGAGTCGACGTGCAGCAGAGCCGTGATCTAGTGTAAGCTCTTGAGGGACTCTTGGACCGAAGCTCACCTCACCTTCCTCATTCGCAGCATCCACAGGAGGTAGGTGCTGCAGGATGCGCATGGGAGCGGAGTAGAAGTGCAGGAGAGCCGTGGAGCGAGCGTAGGAGAGAGCAATAATGAGCCCGAGTACAACAGGCCGCACCCACTTGGCTGCCTGCGGAGTGGAAAGGCATGAGAGGGGGGAAAGGGTGGGAGGTTACAAGAGGAATGGAATGGATAATGCAGGAGAGTTGTGGAGATGTGGAGGGTTGCAAGCCGTGACGGCTGGTTGGAGACCCTTGGGGAGATGTGGGAACGAGGCAAGCGATGATGGCGATGGTGATGGTGGTGGTGGTGGTGGTGGTGGTGGTGGTGGTGATGGTGATGGTGGTGGTGGTGGTGGTGGTGGTGGTGGTGGTGGTGGTGGTGGTGGTGGTGGTGGTGGTGGTGGTGGTGGTGGTGGTGGTGGTGGTGGTGATGGTGGTGGTGGTGGTGGTGGTGGTGGTGGTGGTGGTGGTGGTGGTGGTGGTGGTGGTGGTGGTGGTGGTGGTGGTGGTGGTGGTGGTGGTGGTGGTGGTGGTGGTGGTGGTGGTGGTGGTGGTGGTGGTGGTGGTGGTGGTGGTGGTGGTGGTGGTGGTGGTGGTGGTGGTGGTGGTGGTGGTGGTGATGGTGGTGGTGGTGATGGTGAACAAGTTAGGGAGGCCGTAAGCGAGAAGGGAAAGGAGGGAGGCATACCGAGAACACAACGGACGGCTGGTCCGGAGGTCCTTGGAGCGAAGTGGGGATGAGGTATGGGATGAGAGTGATGGTGATGGCAGCAGCAACTGGGATCAGCGCATAGATGGGGTAGAGGAAGCTGGTATGGGGGAGGGGAGGCGGGGGGGGGGGGGGGGGGGGGGGGGGGGGGCTTTGGGGGGAGGTTGGGGAGTAGGAAACAGGAACGAGGTAGGGGATATGAAGGTGATGGTGATGGCAGCAGCAACTGGGGTCAGTGCATAGATGAGGTAGAGGAAGCTGGCGTCAGGGAGGGGTAGGAGGGGGAGGGGGTGGGGTGGGGGTGGGGAGGGTGTCTGGGGAGAAGTAAACAGGAACGAGGTAAGGGATGATGACGGTGATGGCAGCAGCAACGGGGATCAGTCAGAGAGCATCAATGGGGTAGAGGAAAGTGGTGTGGGGAAGGAAAAGGTGGAATAGCAGAGGACGAGTTTTGAGGCGCCTCAAAGCTAGAGGAAACTGGTGCGGACGGAAATGGGGGAACAGCAGAGGACGAAACAGGGGGTATGAGAGGAAAAGACACGTGCCTTTATCAATGTACACTTTAAAAGAAGACGCTTATGGGATCTGCACATGCACGTAGGAAGTATTTAGGGAACTCCCAAAATACGCCTATTTTTTAGAATGCTCAATTTGCACCTACAGCAAGTAAATGAAGACGCTTATGGGATCTATTTGTGCATGCACCATGTAGGAAGGAGTGAAAACTTTGAGAATTCTTTATCAAACAACTTAACTGCATGTGCGCTGGAAGCAGATGGTTTTTGAGAATTCTCAAAAAACAACTTGACTGCCTATGCACTGGAAGCAAGAAAGGTTGTCAAAATTGCCTATACACCGGATAGACCAAAGGAAAAGACACGTGCTGTTGAGCTCAACTCACCGCTCAACTCACCAAAGGACATGAACCCACCCCAGATGAACACAGCGGCAGCAGCAGCAGCAGCAGCAGCAGCAAGCAGCAGCAGCAGCAAGTAGCAGCAACAGCAGCAAGCAGCAGCAGCAGCAGCAGCAGCGGCACTACCACTTCCTTCCACCCCACATGCTCACACCCTCCCGCCTCCCTGAAACCAGCAGTCAGCTCTATCCTCTCAACTCACCGTTCCTCCTTGTGCGGCTGTAATGACATGAACCCACCCCAGATGAGCACAGGCAGCGGTGGCGGCAGCAGCGGCAGCAGCGGCAGCAGCAGCAGCAGCACTATCCTCCCTCTCAACTCACCGTTCCTCCTTGTGCGGCTGTAGCGACATGAACCCAACCCAGATGAACACAGGCAGCAGCAGCAGCGCTACCACCGCCTTCCACCCCACAAAACCCCGCCCTCCCTTTCCACTCCTTCCACTTTCACTCTTCCCCTTCATAGCCCGAAAGGGCGGCGATGCGAGGCACACCATCGGCAGCAGCAGTGGGAGGAGCAGCGCGAGAGGGAGGGCGAGGTTGAAGTTGTTGAGGGCGTTGCGGAGGTAGAAGAGCGGGCCCTCCACGCCGTAGAGGGTGCTGCCGGCGCCATCCCCCCCTCCGAACACGTTGTACAGGACGAGGTTGAGGATGGAGGAGGTCCAGCGGCCGTAGTACACACGATCAAAACACAAGGAAACAGCCTGTGCAGGGACAGACAGAAGGGAGGGAGGAGGGTGAGGTTGAGAATTGAGGAGGTCCAGCGGCCATAGTACACACAATCACACAGCAGGGTGAGGGTCTGTGTGCGGGGGTTAGGGTTGGGAGGAAGAGAGGGGGCAAATGGTGGGACGAGGAGAGAGGGAAGGTGAGGTAGTGAACAGAGGAGGTCCAACGGTCGTAATACATGCGATCACACAGCAGGGAAGGAGGGTGGAACTCGTATTGTAGAGGACGAGGTTGAGAATGGAGGAGGTCCAACGGCCATAACACATGTGATCCACGAGGAATGAAAGGGCCTGTGCAGGGGCAGACGGACGCGGGAGAGGGAGACGTTGCGAGCGGGACGAGGTTGAGAATGGAGGACGTCCAGCGGCCATAGAAGAAGAGGCGGTCACAGAGCAGGGAGCGAGTCTGTAAGGGGGCGGTAAGGGTGGCGGGAAAGAGAGGGGCAAAGGGTAGGAAGAGAAGTGTGGGAAGGCGGGGTTGGGGAGGAAGGAGGTCCAACGGCCGCAGTAAAGGCAGTCACAGAGCAGGGAGAGGGCCTGCGAGGTAGGGGAAAGGGGGGCTCGGAGGGGGGGGGGGGGGGGGGGGGGGGGGGATGCAGACAGAAGGGCAAGGGAGGAGTAGGTACATTGCTAGCACCAACAAGGAGTGTGCCTGTTGCTGCTGCTAACGCTGCTGCTGCTGCTGCTGCTGTCACTGCTGCTTAACGCCACTGTAAATACACCAGCAGCACTCACCAAGTCGAGGATGGTCGTGGCAGCACCGGATGCAACAACCTTGACAGAGCCACCAGAAACTATCCCTGCAGGCCAGCAAAGAGCCATTCTAACCGCACGCCTGCTGCTGCTGCTGCTGCTGTTGTTTTTGTTCCTGCTTAACATACCAGGAGCACTCACCAAGGCAAGGCGCACTAACCGAGACAAGGACGGTTGTGGCAGCACCGGATGCAAGAACTGGAATAAAGGCACCAGTGAACATCCCATGCAGAACCAGAGGGAGAGCAGCTAGACCAGCGAAAGGCCATCCCAGCAGCACGCCTGCTGCTGCTGCCGCCACTGCTGCGGCAGGACGGCCTTGGATGGCGAGAGAGGTGGCCCAGGTGATGGCGTACATGCTGAAGGTGCTGGGGAGGAAGGCTGGGTGGTTAAAGGGCGAGCGGGGAGGAAGGGGTTGGGGGGCATGGAGAAGGGGAATAGGAGATATCAGCACGTGGGACGCGACAGACGTGGCCCAGGTGATGGCGTACATGCTGAAGGTGCTGGGGAGGAAGGCTGGGGGGGGAAAGAGGGGAAGCCAGGACAGAGAGAGGGTGGAAGGGGGTTGAAGGGAGCGAGTCGGCGTGTTGAGAAAGGTGGGCCAGTTTACTGCCTACAGATGTGGCGGGGAGAAGAAAAGCTGGGATAAAAGAGGAAGATAGCAGTCAGAAGGAGAGAGAGGAGGAAAAAGAAGGGGGTTGAGGGGAGAAACATAGCGTGTCAAGCTAAGTCAACAAACATAACCAGCACTCACTTGTGGGACAGAGGAAGTTGTGTAATGAGTCGATTTTTGAGTCGACTCAAAAGTCACCTACAAAAATCGACTCATTACACACTAGCACTCACTTGTGGAACAGAGAAAGTGTTCACTGCAGAAGAAGAGCAGCAACAGCCCATTTGCAACCACGCACTCTCCTTCACTTTCCCCTGCCCTAAACCCACTCAACAGGTTACACTCACTTGTGGAAGAAAGAACATTTCCACTGCAGAAGCTGAGCAGCAGCAGCCCGCACATGCTCTCCTTCACTCTCCCTAAGCTAAGGTGACTTATGAGAAGACTCAAAATCACCCCTGCCCTAAACCCACTCAACAGGTTACACTCACTGGTAGACGAGAGGAAGTTTCCACTGCAGAAGCAGAGCAGCAGCAGCCCACATACCCCAACTCGCTCCCCAATCCCCGCTGGAACTGCCTTCTCCTTCTCCTTCTCCTTCTCTTTCTTGATATCACTCTCGTCCTTAGTTCCGCTGCTGCTGGTACTAGCAGCACTGCTGCTGCTGACCCTGTCGCCTCTGGAGCTTGCACTACCAGGCGTCTGAGTGGCCTTGTCAAGAGCAGCAGCAACGGCTACCAGAAGGGAGGCCTCTGAAGCGGCAGAGAGAGCACCCAGGGCCAGCCGCACAGCATAGAAGGCGTTCAACTGAGACGGGGAAGGGGCCAGGGGGGTTGAGGAAGAAGGAACACGGTGGTGGAATAGGTGGGAGTGCCAGTATTCCATGCAAAAGGCAGAGGAGAGGGCACCCAGTGCCAGCCGCACAGCATAGAAGGCGGTCAACTGAGATGGATGGCGGGGAAAGGAAGAGGTTGGAAGGAAGAGGGAAGAAGTTGGAGGAGTCTGAGTGGCCTTGTCCAGGGCAGCAACAACGGCGACCAGAAGGGAGGCCTCTGAGGCAGCGGAGAGAGCAACCAGGGCCAGCCGCACAGCATAGAAGGCGTTGACCTGAGACGGGGAAGGGAGCAAGGGAGAGGACATTAGCCTTATAGACCCTGTCTCTCCCGCAACTTGCCACTGACATGACCAAAGATTAGCGTGGCTGGCAAGGAAAAGGTGCAGCTCACCCTATGTGATTTTTGAGTCGACTCAAAAATCACCCTGTCTCTCCCTCACCTTGGCACTGAAATGACCAAAGATGAGCGTGGCTGGCATGCATGGCAAGGAAAAGGTGCAGCTCACCTTACCTTACCCCTGTCTGTGCTCTGGCAAGGCAAAACTTGCGTTAAGGGCGAATAAATGGACTTCTGAAGCCCCGTATCTCACTTCACAACTGTCGATACCAAAAATGGGAGCGGCTGGCAAGGCAACAGTGCAGCTCATCTTAACCCTAGCTAGCTGTGCTCGTATCTAGCCTTGCCCGTGTGACCTGTCTGAGCGCTTATCTAGCCTTGCCCCTGTGACCAGTCCGAGCACTTATCTAGCCTTGCCCCTGTGACCTGTCTGAGTGCTAATCTAGCCTGACCCCTGTATGTACGCTTATCTAGCCTCACCCATGCCATTGCCAAAGACGAGGGTTCCTGGCAAGGCAACAATGGCGGGAAGGAAAAACAAATGGACTTCTGACAACTCTAGGCTTTAACTCACCTTCCCACTTCCATTGCCAAAGATGAGCGTGGCTGGCGAGCCAGGCAGCAACGGCATGAAGGACAAACAAATGGATGAGGGGACTTTAGCCTTGTTGACCCTGTATCTCACCTTCCCAATGCCGTTGCCAAAGATGAGGGTAACTGGCAAGGCGACTAGGGCGTGAAGAACGAGGTAGAGGTAGGAGCGAAGGGCAAACGCAGAACTGGTGGGATAAGATAGAGTGGAGAAGGGAATGGGAGAGGGGGAAAGGGAGTGGGGAAAGAGAGAGATGGGAAGGTTTTGAGAGGTTTTGAGATGGTGAGCAGCAGTGGTTGCCAAGCATGCGCTTATGAGGGTATATGATGAAACAGGAGCAAGGAGCAGAGCGCCAAACCTGTATTCCTATGGCCTGGAACCCAGTGTGAGTAACAGTTGACCAAGCATGGAGCGGTACTGAAGGTTTTATACATAACAGTAGTTATGGAAGGAGCATTCTCGGACCTGTACTCCCTCACATGTCTGGAACCCGGACTCGTGTAGGAGAGAGAAGAGGAAAATCCAGTGGTGAGGCGGCTCCCAGTAGTTATGATGAGACGTCTCAATCTATGGGAGCAAGGAGAGTCGAACCTGTATTCCCATGTCTGGAATCCAGACTCGTGTAGGAGGTAGTGCAGAGGCTCCCAGTAGTTGAAGGTCTCGTCGCAATCATGAATAATGTTGACCGCAGCGCTAATTGACCTGTTTGAAAACCATCGCAATATAAGCACTGAAATGAGACGGAGGAGAAAAAATATAAGCGGCCGTCTACGACACGAACGGAATGAGGATTCAGGAAACTGTGCAGGTGCAGCGGAGCATCCCTTCAATTCCGGGCTTTAAGAGATCACTGACCGTGAGATTAGGAGGAAAAAAAAGGCGGTTCGCCAAGAGATGAGAAGATTCTTTCGCTGCCTCGCTGACTGCTGCAGAGATTGCGTGGAGGAGGATACAGCCTCGGCGCCAGCCTCGGTGCCAGACGAGGTTCCCTTGGCTTCGGATTTCCTACGCTGACGGAGAGTCCCAGATGAATCCATCCCTATACAACGGATCGCCGACGAGTGGTTAAAAAATGTGCGTCCGTGAATAGGATTTCCGACGAATTTCGTGATCAGTGTAGGAACTTGACGGTTTCTGGCGGCACATGAAAATTAGTCAGTCGCCGGCATTGTCCTTAGTTCTCGTCACGGATTCGCCGACGGTTTCTACTGTAAGGCTAGGAATTTTCCGGTCTTCCTAGCTTTACTTGATGATCAGTGGGTCGCCGCCATGGATGGTCCGAAATGCGGCTGGAAATTACTTTCTTTGGCGAGTTCACGACGAGAGTTTGCCTTGTCGAAACGTGTCATACTGGTAACGTGAGCGTAGGAAATTGCTTTCTTTGGCTCGTTGAGTTCGCAAACCAAGGGGGACACCAATCGTCGTGTTACGAAGGCAGCCTCTGGCATCTTTGTCTGCCCTGACGAACTCAAAAATCGCTCATGCCAATCTCGTTTCGCACCGTGCTCTGACATCCCGCCAACTTTTTGTAACCAGCAGTCGGTGTTCCCAACGAACCACAGAATGTATTTCCATATGCTATTGCCCTGAATCGACGAAACAATGAGACCTCCTACGATACAACCCTGATTTCGCTCTAGAGTTCCTACGAAAATAGTGAGTTCTCAGAACCTGGAAGTACAAGAAACAATCTCGACACTGCCTCCTCCTGCACCACATCCTGGGGACCAGGCGAGGAACTGCCCTGAACTCAAATGTATCCGAGTCTTAATCCACCTGAGCCGACTTGCAGGGCCACCAGTAAACCCAGCCCTAATTCAACAGGGAGACTTCTCGGGAAGAACCAGAACTTCCGAGCTAACCTGAGACAAGAGAGTTGTTCTCTCGAGATCCTCGAGGTCCCGCCCACCCATATCATCAAATTCTCCATCCTACCAGCCTACCTCTCACACCTTCCTTGGGTGGAGTCTGTAGCTCTCACTCCGGTGATCTGAACTCTCTAGCACTTCCTGATGTCGTTCCCCTGCTAACTCGGATCACGCATCCCTTGGACTCCCTCCGTTACATTTCCTCTTTGACTCTCCTCGTTGTAGGAGAAGCGGGGAGAGTCTCGCTTTCTAGTTCCTCGTCGTTCCTCGTGTGATCTGTTACCCCTCGTCTTTTTGTAGATTTTGTCTCCTTTTATCCGCGGGAGTCGCGTCTAGTTCCCATCGAGAGAGTTCAGCCCCTGTCCTCCGACTGAGCATGGGTGTTTGAGTTTTGTAGAAGTAACCCCATAATTCCCTTAGCTAGGGCCCTCGAAAATAATAGTAAGTTCGCGAGATATTGTCCGTTGGCAAATCTCCTGGTCACGCACCGTCCACTAACGAATCTCTGCGATCAGCCATTGTTCGTGCACGAATCGCCGTAATTTCGCACAATGGGTCGCAGACCGTCGTCGTCGAGTTCGTCCGGCAGGTTCAAGTACCTGCGACCGGCGTACTACATCCGGCGACCGCGACGACTGGGCCTGCTCACTCTTCTCATCGTTGCAATCGTCTTCGTCGTCATGGATCGCCAACGACAGGCGAAAGAACTGGAGGTAGGCGAAAGGAATCGAGGAAAACGAACTGAAGGTAGGCGATGGAACTGGGTGTAAGTTGTGTGGGACTTTTGAGTCGCCGGAAAACTCTTTTCGTCGTCGCAATTGCCTTCGTCGTCATTGATCACCAACGACAGGCAAAAGAACTGGAGGTAGGCGAAAGGATCTGAGGTTGGCTGTTTCTTGCGACTTTCGAGTCGTCTTTGAGCTCTCTTTGACCTCGGAATAGTCTTCGTGGTCAGGTATCTTAGATTTCTAAAAAAACTAGCACAGAATAGTCTTCGTGGTCATGGATCCCCCTCAAAAAGAACTGGAAATAGACAAATTTATGTAATATCGTCGCAATTCTTCAAGATTTGGTTATGCCTGATCGCAGCTTGTTCTTACTATCTGAACCTTGTTCCTAGATTTGAACTCTTAGGTTCCCATTATACCCGATCGAGAAGTATTTCCAGTGCCCCCAGTCAAACTCGCCTTCGCATATCCTCGTCATTCTCCAAGGCATGACCCGTTTCACTCCACCTCTACTTCCCCTGGTCCCATACGACTATGCTCGTGAGAGTTCCCGTCACTACCACTTCCATTCTCGAAAATGCTTGGCCGTCTCTGTCACTTTTGCTTTGCAGGCACTTGCGACGCAACTGGACAACCTCGAGGGGGAGAAGAGCCACTTGGTCGTCGAGGTATGAAGAGATGTCGCCCCCGCTACTGTCTCGTGTGACAATAGCCGTAGGTGATTATGGAATCGACTTAAAAAGCAACCGGATAATCTCGAGGGGGAGAAGAGCCACTTGGTCGTTGAGGTAGTAGGGGAGAACGTCACTCCGCCGTTGAACGTCACGATTAGATCTGATCGGAATAAATGGATCTAGAACGCATCATCCGTTATCCCTGAGTAGGCAAATCGGGAATGGACTACCGAAGAGTGCTCACTCCCCAGTCTCTTATCTGAATCACGTCCCATCCCCTATCGCGTCCTCTTTCCCTCTCCTCTCTCCTCCTCCCTCGCGGCTGGACAAGGGCTCGCCTGACTGGCTTTGCATTGCATCTGCCTTGACGGAAAAGTCAACGCCTGCCCTCCTATCCATCTCCTTTCTCCCTCCTGCTTGTCCCTTTTCTCAGCTGGACAAGACGCGCTTAATTGGCAGCGTCTCCCACGCCCAAGCAGGAGGACGTTTGAGTCGACTCACAAGTATTTCTCCCCCCTGTGTGTCCCTTTTCGCAGCTGGAAAAGGCTCGCTTAACTGGTAGCGTCTCCCACGCCCAAGCAGGAGGCCAAGCCTCAGCCGCTAGAAAGGACCCTCTCATTCTAGGCGTGGGTGGCGGTGGCAGGGGTGGCGGCAGCGGCGGTGGTGGTGGTGGTGGGGTAAGCGTTGGTGCACGGGTTAGCAGCAAAGTGGTTGCGAGAAAGCTTCTTCCCCTGGATCAGCCGATCAGGGGTACTGCAGGGGGTGCTGCAGGGGGTGCTGCAGGGGGTGCTGCAGGGGGGATGTTGAGGGGAGGGGATCAGACTCGCCAAGCTCTTACTGGGGAAGCTGTTAGAGGGGATGCTGCTACTGGGGATTCTCATAGCGTGGATGTGGAGGAAAAAGCCCTTTCAGAGCTGCAGAGACTGGGGAAGCTGGACGACGATGGGCTGGGGGGCGAAGGTGACAGTAACGAGGGGAAGGCAACAGCGGTAGGCGGTCTTGAGGACATTGACTTGGAGGATGATGTGGCTATAGCGGGGGTTGGCAAAAGCGGAGGGGGAGGAGGGGGAGGAGGGGGAGGGGGGGGAGGAGGGGGGGCGACGGAAGCAGGGGGGGAGCAGCTGCAGAGCGAGCAGAGGAAGGAAGTCTCTGCGGAAGTGGGACAGCAACGAGCGGCAGAGAAGAAAGAGAAGACGCTGGGGCAGGGACAGGGGCAAGAGCAGGGGCAGGGGCAGGGGCAGGGGCAGGGGCAGGGGCAGGGGCAGGGGCAGGGGCAGGGGCAGGGGCAGGGGCAGGGGCAGGGGCAGGGGCAGGGGCAGGGGCAGGGGCAGGGATTGTTGCTGAGGGGCCAGGATGAGACGGAGAGGAGGAGAGAGGCGATCAAGCAGGGGATGCTGCACGCGTGGAGGGGGTACAAGAAGTACGCGTGGGGAGCAGATGAACTGCAGGTGAGAAGAAGAGGTGCTTGAGGGGTGGAGAAGCGTTGAAGTGTTTGGGGAGCGCAGGGGATGCTGCACGCGTGGAAAGGGTACAAGAAGTACGCGTGGGGGGCAGATGAACTGCAGGTGAGAAGAAGAGGTGCCTGAAAATTGTGAGAAAGGAAATGTGTTTTCAGGGCACATCAAAGCGTGAGAGAGCACAGGAAGTCCGCGTGGGGGGCAGGTGACCTGCGGGCGAGTACACTAGGTGCGCCGGACGTGGAGAGCCAGGAGTATGAGAATCTGTATTTGAGCTGAGAGTGATATAATCTAGTTAGTTTCAACGCCAGAGATGGCGGGTCAGGAGTACGAGAACCATTGTTTGAGCTGACTTCAATGGCTCATCCCCTTCGTTTGAACCGCCTCTGAAGAATTTCCAGTTTCCGCCTAACCTTACTTTCCTCCCACCTTCCTTCCGTCCTTCCCATCCTTCCTCTCATCCTCCCTCCTGCCAGCCTCGCAGCAAGACTCCGTCCAACAACTTTGGTGGCATGGGAGCGACTATAGTGGATTCTCTAGACACGCTCTTCCTCATGGGGCTCAAGGACGAGTTCAAAGACGCCCAAAAGTAAGAAAGGCACGCTCTAGCAGTGCAACGCATGCTTTATTGCCATCGGGGAATGCTTGTTTCAATGGAGTCTCTAGACTCGCTCTTCCTCATGGGGCTCAAGGACGAGTTCAAAGACGCCCAAAAGTAAGGCTCCCGCTGAATGCATGGCTAAAGACACCAAGGGATTACCGCCCCAAAAGTAGTTATGGTGGATAACCTACTCTCAAGCCTCATGGGAGCGACCATAGTGGACTCCCTCGACAGACACGACACGCTCTTTTCATGGGGCTCAAGGGCGAGTTCAAGGACGCCCAAAAGTATGTTCATAGATGCACAAAGGTATGCTGCTGCTGTGTAATGCTGTTGCGGTACAGGCAGCGACCAACCATAGTGGATTCTCCAGACACGCTCTTCCCCAAAGTTGTGTCTAAGTACGTCTGCTTTGTAGAAGCCCAGAAGTATGGCGCTGCTGTAGGACCATGTGTTGCTCCCCCCTCTTCTCCCCACTTCCCCGCCCATCTCTACTTCTGCGCTTATCTCCGCCTCCCCTCTCATCTGTGCCGTTTCTCTCTTTACCCTCCGTCTTCGCAGATGGGTGGCAGAATCTCTGAACTTCAACCGGCACGCCAGCGTCAGTGTCTTCGAAACAACCATCCGGTATGCCTATGCCAGAGTCAGTGAGTGTCTTCCGGAACCTGGTTGTGCGTGCATGCATGCTTGTTCATCCCTTGGCGGACCTCGTCCATTGTTTGTTTCCCCCATCACCACTCTCGTATGCGTTCTCCTGCCTGCTCCCCTTGATGTTGATTTCCCGAGTTTGAATGCCTTCCTCCCCCCCTCTCTTAAAGCCCGAGTCTAGAATGGCATGCTATCAAGTTCAGGATTCCTGAACTTGTTTTCGTGCAGTAGAGGTAACCTAGTTTAAGGGACTGTCAAGTTCGCAACCCTCGGGGAAATGGGGTTGTCTGCGAAAACTGCCAGAAACGATAAACCACGAACGCACTGTTCACCCATACTGAACATGAAAACGCACGCAACCATTCTGAACGCATTTTCTTGGGAGACTCGAGACTAGAGACCATCACAGTACTGTTTGTCACTGTTTGCGCACTGTTTTTCGCCAGAGGTGCTTTGCCGAAAATTTCTTCGCTGGAATTTTTTGGCACTGTTTTCATGGTCAGGAAAGTTGGTTTTTTACCATTCTAGACTCGGGCTTTAACCTTGGCTCCTCTCACCGGCACACACAAACCACAGGATGCTGGGCTTTCACTTTCACTTTCTGGGCAGCCTCCTTGCTGCACACGGCCTCTCAGGGGAGAGGGTTTTCTTGGACAAGGCGAGGGAGCTAGGGGACCGTGTTTTAGTCAACTCAATATCTCCGCCCCTCTCCCCTTTCCTTTCCCCCCTCCCCCCTCCCGCACCCAATTTCCACAGAATGCTGGGTGGTCTCCTTGCAGCATACGACATGTCAGAAGAGAGGGTCGTTCTGGAGAAGGCGAGGGAGCTAGGGGACCTCCTCTTTCCAGCATTCAACACTCCCTCTCCTCCTTGCTTCCTCCTCTCTTCCTCCTATTTTCCACCCCTGCCCTCTCTTCCTTTACCCAACACCCTCAGGATGCTGGGAGGCCTGCTTGCTGCATACGACCTGTCAGGAGAGAGGGTCTTTTTGGACAAGGCTAGGGAGCTAGGGGACCGCCTCCTGCCAGCGTTCAACACTCCCACTGGCATTCCCTTCGCCTATGTGGACCTGGCCTCTGGGGGAGGGAACGCCCCTGGCTGGACCGGGGTAAGATTGCCGATCTGATTAGGCATTTTGGTTGGTAGGCTTTTGCCAGAGTGAGGGAGCTAGGGGACCGCCTCCTACCTACCAGCGTTCGCCTATGTGGACCTGGCCTCTGGAGAGGGGAACGCCCCTGGCTGGGCTGGGGTAAGCGTGTGTGCTTCTGAAGTAAGCTTGATGCTTAAGTAAGTTGCATGCATCTTAGCCTACGTACGTACCCCCCATGCAGCTCAACCACCTCTTGATTCTTCCTTTCTTACCTCGTGATGCTCCCTTGCTTTTAGTCTTCTCCTCCTTTCCTCCCTCCCTTTCCGCCTCCGTTCTCTACCTCCGTTGCCCCCTCTCTCCCCACCACCACAGGGGTCAGCAGTCCTGGCGGATCTCGGCACGCTGGAGGTGGAGTTTGTGGCACTTGATGAGGGAATGGGCGGTTCCAAGTGCACAATCAAGCTCCTCATTCCCCCCCACTCCCTCCCACCACCACAGGGGTCAGCAGTCCTGGCGGATCTCGGCACACTGCAGATGGAATTCGTGACGCTGTCAGAGCGAACAGGCGATCCCAAGTACGCAATCAAGGTCAGTGGCCGGCTTGGGGCTTTAGGGAACTAGGTTGGGTTTTGGAAACTAAGTTGGTTTTGGGAACTAAGTCGGTTTCCCAGTTGGTTTGCTCTAGATTTTCTTGTACTTGGGATCGCGTCTTTGTCTTTCCATCCAGTATGTCTTGGTCTTCGCCCTTGGCTCTGGGCACTTCCGACTCCCCGTCTAGGTTGAAAACCGTTAGTGAGTCTTGCTTGCTTTGAGGTGCCTCAAAAATAGACTCCCCTTGGCTCTGGGCACTTCTGACTCCCCGTATAGGTTGAAAACCGTTTAAGAGCCTCGCTTGCTTGACTTCTCCCCGCTTTGCGTCTGGCCCATTCCCACCACTTCCCCTACACTCCCCTCCGCCTACTCCCCCGCTCCCCAATTCCAGGCAGAGAACGTAATTCGCTGCATTGAGAAGATCTTTCCAGACAATGGTCGCGTGCCCATGTTGCACTTCCCTCACTCCTCTCCCCCACCCCCTACCCCCCACCCCCGCCTTACTCCCTTTCTCCCTCCCCCCTCTCCCCCCCCATCGCAGGCAGAGAACGTGATTCGCCAGATTGAGAAGATCTTCCCTGAAGATGGTCTCGTGCCCATGTTCATCAGCATAGACAACGGCCAGCCCACCAGCACCCACATCACATTCGGTTCGATGGGTGACAGGTGAGTGTGTGCCTTGAGTGCCGGGCTCAACACTTGCTTAGTGCGGATTGGTCTCATGCCCATGTTCATCAGCATAGACAGCGGCCAGCCCACCAGCAGCCACATCAGCTTAGGGTCCATGGGAGACAGGTGAGTGTGTGCCTTGAGTGCCAGGCTCAACAACACTTGCTTAGTGCGGCATGGCCTTGTCCCTTTGTTCATCAGCATAGACAATGGCCAGCTCATCAGCAGGCACATCAGCTCAGGGTCCATGTATGGGAGACACACAGCCAGGTGAGCGCCGGAGATACGAACTGGGTGCAAGTGCATCGGATGCTAGGCTTGGTATCGCTCCATACAGGTGTATGGGGACATGTGGGGGGGGGATGGAGAGAAAATAGGGCATGGATATACACCTTTCTGGGAGATAAAATTTAGCTTTCTCAGAGAGCTGTCTAAACTCACGTCTACTTTCTCTTCCCCCCTTACTCTTCCCGCTCTCTCAAACTCCCCCCCTCTCGCACCCGCCCTCACCTTCTCACTCCCAGTTTCTAGGAGTACCTGATCAAGAAGGTGGTGCATGGGGAGCAAGACCCTTGTGAGCGCCTCCCCCCTTCCTCGTCGCCTGCCCTCACACACTCCTAGTTTCTACGAGTACCTGATCAAGATGTGGGCGCATGGAGGGAGGACCCCTGTGAGAGGGCTCCAATGTGACCTCGTTTTCGTTCTCTTCCTCCCCACCCCCCCACCTCCCTCGTCGCCCACCCTCACCTTCTCACTCCCAGTTTCTACGAGTACCTGATCAAGATGTGGGTGCATGGAGGAAAGACCCCTGTCGTCAAGAAATACAGGTGAGTGGGAGACAGAAATTTTCTGTGACTTAACACCTCAATTGTTGTAGGCTGTGTTTGCTTTTGTGTCGACTCAAAAGCAGTGGTTGTGAACACCTCAAGTGTTGAAGGCAATGTTTGCTTTTATGTCAACTCAAAAGCAGTGATCTTGAGTGTCAATGGCTTAACACACCTCCTAGTGATGTAGGCAATTTATTTACGCGCTTCAATTTAATGGGACGAAGAACCGGTTGTTAGTCAAACTAGTAAGTGTGTTTTCTAAAACTCTCAGGAATTTTTATTAAGTGTGTATGTAATAAGGCTATTTTTTAGTCGACTCAGGAATAGACTCATTACACTCGTATTAGGTGCTTCAGTTCAATGGGACGAAGAACCGGTTGTTAGTCAAACTAGTAAGTGGCGAGTAGTGGGCGCAAGAAACGGGTGAGTGATAGTACAGTGTACGCTATCCATTGTGTTTGGCTCTTCAGTCCACTTGTGTTTGGCTCTTCAGTCCAGTTGTGTTTGGCTCTTCAGTCCAGTTGTGTTTGGCTCTTCAGTCCACTTGTGTTTGGCTCTTCAGTCCAGTTGTGTTTGGCTCTTCAGTCCGCTTCTGTTTGGCTCTTCAGTCCAGTTGTGTTTGGCTCTTCAATCCGCTTCTGTTTGGCTCTTCAGTCCAGTTGTGTTTGGCTCTTCAGTCCGCTTCTGTTTGGCTCTTCAGTCCAGTTGTGATTGGCTCTTCAGTTCAGCTATCGTGCCTCACTCTTCCCTTTCTCACCTCCCTCTTCCGCTCCCTCTTCCGCTCCCTCTTCCGCTCCCTCTTCCGCTTCCTCTTCCGCTCCCTCTTCCACTCCCTCTTCCGCTCCCTCTTCCGCTCCCTCTTCCGCTCCCTCTTCCGCTCCCTCTTCCGCTCCATCTTCTGCTCACTCTTCCGCTCCCTCTTCCGCTCCATCTTCTGCTCACTCTTCCGCTCACTCTTCCGCTCACTCACCTATTTCACAGGGATATGTGGGAGAGGTCGAGGTCTATATACGGAATGCTTTCCAAACTGGTGCAGCGCACGCCAGACAGGGATGGGCAGAAGGGCAGGGCAGGTTGACCTAGCAAGCAAATATGTTCCCACTCCTCTCCCTTCCCTTACTCCCCATTCCTGCAGAGACATGTGGGAGAGGTCTATTAACGGAATGTTTTCCAGATTGGTGCAGCGCACGCCAGATAGGGACGGGCAGAAGGGCTTCTCCTACGTGCCTGAGATGGACGGGGGTAGCCTCATCCGCAAGATGGAGCACCTCACCTGCTTTGTACCGGGGATGCTTATACTGGGGATGCCGGAGGCCTCACCTGCTGATGCTGCCAAGTACCTGGACTTAGCTAAAGAGGTGAGCTTCTAACGAGGTTGGGCTTTCGAAATGGTTTAATGATACCTCGTACTTAATGCCAAGCACTTAACGAGCTTCCAGCTGGAGAACCTTGTCAAATACGCTGATAATCGAAGCTGTCTTTTGTACTTATGGCGGTTGTCCTTTGTTTCAATTCGCGTTTGCTCATACACGCGTGCATGCCTTTTGAGTCGACTCAAAAGTCACACCTTGTTTGCTCATACAGGGGTGCAAGCGGTTGTGTGTGCCTGTGGGCTTATCTGTGTTTGCAGTTGACTCGGACCTGCTACGAGTTTTACAACAGCACGCCGTCCAAGCTGGGTGGGGAGGACTACAACTTCCATGCTGATGTGAGTGGGGGGTGGGCAGGCTGCAGGGCGCCAACTGGCAACAGGTCATTGCCAATGCCCGATACAACTTCTACTCGGGTGTGAGTGCCCGATTGCAGATTGTCACAGGGTGCTGGCATGCATGTGGATGTGCATGTGACATGACTTGCGGCAATGTGTTACAACAGCATGCCATCCAAGCTGGCTAAGGAGGACTACAGCTTCCACTCGGATGTGAGTGGGATGATCTTTGATGATGCCACGATATGTGTAAGCAGCATGTGGTGGTGTACATGTAACAACATGTAACCAACTACCAACATCATGTGTGCTACACCCAACTACCTCTTCTTTACGCCTCTTTCATATGTTTGGTTTCTTTATATTTCTCCTTCTTTTTTCCGTCACCGGGCCCCCATCTCCAGGGCCGAGTCTACAACATCCTGAGACCAGAGGCGGTTGAGGCGATCTGGTACCTGTGGTGGGCCACCAAGGACCCGGCAACCACTTCTTATGCTCTTCCTCCTCCTATGCCTCTGATGCTGCTGTGATGTTCCTTCTGACGCGCTTTTCTCACAGGGCCCCCATCTCCAAGGCCGAGTCTACAACATACTGAGACCAGAGGCAGTTGAGGCCATCTGGTACTCATGGCGAGCCACCAAGGACCCGATTTACCGCGAGTGGGGGTGGAAGATCTGGCAGGCGTTTGAGAAGCACTGCCGGGTGGAGGCCGGATACGTGGGGCTTGAGGATGTAAGTGTTTATCCTTTTGAAGGCAGTCTTTCACATTAGAGCTTATATAAAGTGTACATGGGTACAGGGGTACAAAGGCTCGGTTAGGAGGGGTGGAAGATCTGGCAGGCGTTTGAGAAGCACTGCCGGGTTGAGGCTGGATATGTGGGGATTGACGATGTGAGTGTTTATCCTAGGTCTTTCGCATCAAGGCTTGTTAAGGTTTTAGGAGTACAGCAGGGTTGGTTAGGAGGGTGGAATAGGGGGTTTCCCACCTACCTGGCAGCGACCCTCGACGTGCCTCTACCTTCCCTTCTCGCCCGATGGCACTCTGCCCGTTCTTTCCCGCCCTTCCCCCTCCCCCCTCCCCATCCCCCCTTCTCCAGCCCGACCGTCTGCCTGGCAGCGACCCTCAAGTACCTCTACCTTCCCTGTCCGACGACGCTCTGCCCCTTCTTTTCCGCCTTTCCCTCTGGCGACTGGCGCAGTAACACGTCACAGAGGCGGCACCCCATTGTCCCCCCCCCTCCCCTTACTCCAGGCCGACTGTCTGCCTGGCAGCAGCCCTCAAGTACCTCTACTTGCCTTTTTCGCCCGATGGCACTCTGCCCCTTCTTTCCCCCCCTCCCCTTACTCCAGCCCGGCCATCTGCCTGGCAGAGACCCTCAACTACCTCTACCTGCTCTTCGCACCCAATGACGCTCTGCCTCTGGACAAGTGGGCCATCAACACACATGCACTCTTGCATACTCCCCCTCCCTTCCCCCCCTCCCCTTTTCATGAGTCTCCTTTTGAGGCGCCTCAACAATAAACAAGTGGGCCATCAACACAGATGCGGTTTCTTGCACACCCCCCCTCCCTTCTCCCCGTCTCCCCCCCTCCACCCACCCCCCCCCCCTCGTTCCCTCTCTCTCCCCCCTTTTTTCCCGGCCTTTCCCCCAACCTTTTGAGGCGCCTCAAAAGCCCCCTCCACCCCCCCCACCCCCCCCTCGTTCCCTCTCTCTCCCCCCTTTTTTCCCGGCCTTTCCCCCAACCTTTCCCTACCCCAGGCCGGCCAGGACCCCCTCCCCAAGGACAACATGCAGCAGAGCTTTTTCTCAAGTACACTACCTTCTCTTCTCACCCGACGACGCTCTGCCGTTTGACAAGTGGGTCATCAACACTGAGGCGCTTCAGTGCACACTCTCACCCCCATCTCCCCTCCTCTTTCCCCCCTCGTTCCCCCTCTTTCCCCCCTCGTTCCCCCTATTTCCACCCTCCCTCCCCCCCTCGTTCCCCCCTCTTTCCCCCTATTTCCACCCTCCCTCCCCCCCTCGTTCCCCCCTCTTTCCCCCTATTTCCACCCTCCCTCCCCCCCTCGTTCCCTTCCCCAGGCCGGCCAAGACCCCCCTCCCAAGGACAACATGCAGCAGAGCTTTTTCATGGCAGAGACCCTCAAGTACCTCTACCTGCTCTTCTCGCCCGACGACGCTCTCCCGCTGGACAAGTGGGTCATCAACACCGAGGCACACCCGCTCAAGATCACGCCCCGGCTCACAGACTTTGTTCCTCCTGCTTCTACGGCTGGTGCTGGTGCTGGTGCTGATGGTGCTGGTGCTGGTGCTGGTGCTGGTGCTGGTGCTGGTGCTGGTGGTGCTGGTGCTGATGGTGGTGCTGATGGTGGGAGTTTGACGGCTACAGCTGCAGCAGGGGGAGTGATAGAGACAGACGACGCAGGCGACGATGTCGGCTTGGAAGCTACTGCGGACGATGCTGCCGCTGATGCTGCTGGCGACTCTGCGTCAGGTGCCTATAATGGTGCTGCTGCTGGTACTGGTGCTGGTGCTGCCGGTGCTGCTGATGCTGGAGGTGATGTTGAAGCAGTGAATGCTGGAGTGGTCTCAAGAGGAGAGGCTATTCAAGGGATTGAGACGCATGCTGATTCGTTAGCTGCAGGAAGGGATGCGGTGGAAAGATAGCTAGAGAGATGGAGACAGGTGTTGGGGCTGGTGATGAAAGAGATGTTGGAGCAGGCTTGGGAGCAGACGGTGATCAAGGGATTGAGACGCGTGCTGATTCGTTGGCTGCAGGAGGGGATGCCGTGAAAAGATAGCTAGAGAGATGGAGACAGACAGTCGATGCAGTGGATGATGCTGGCTTGGAAACTGATGATGCTGCTGGTGCCGCTAATGGTACTGGTGCCGCTTATGGTACTGGCACTGGCGCTGCTGGTGCTGCTGCTGGTGCTGCTGGTGCTGCTGCTGGTGCTGCTGCTGGTGCTGCTGCCGGTGCTGCTGTGGGTGCTGCTGCCGGTGCTGCTGCCGGTGCTGCTGCTGGTGACAATGGTGGGTCACTGGTGCAGATGGTGGTGGTGGTGCAGGTGGTGGTGGTGTTGAAGCAGGGAGTGTTAAAATCATATATTAACAGGGAGTGCTGGAGCAGGCAGGGGAGCAGAGGTTTATCAAGGGATCAAAACTCAGGCTGACGCTGATACGACTGCAAGAGCGGATGCTGGGTAAAGATCAAGCACAGTTTTCACTAGCTGGCCAACTAGTTTTTTCGAGGCTTGGATGTGGGCTTGTTATCGAGTCATTATGCAAGGCGTGTGTGGTGGAACTCTATTGTAGCATGTTCTACCACATAGTATTGATACTTGGTCATATCATGTCTTGCCAATCTGTACCATACCGTATCCAGTTGATTCAAGAGAACAGCTGAAGTACCTATCTTTCTGACTTCAATCTGTCTGTAGAGTTGAACTAACAATTTCAGCTACTGGTACTAGCCAATGTACATCGATTTCTATTCTGCTAATGTATGCATCATAGGTGTAGCTCCAGGTCTATTCCATAATTGCGAGCAGCACTGTGGCCCTCGAGATTGCCGCCAGCCACGCTCCCCGAGGAGGGGAACAAACCCGAACAGCTAGTAGCGTCTCTCATGTTACAGTCTCCCCCACAGCTATTCTCGGCGCAATGTTCGGCACGGTTCTCGGTAGAAAGACCAGCAAAGCCTAGCGGCTGAAGCAGAATAAGGTTTTCCGCTTGTTTAAAATGCGACGATAGTTGTTCCTGTGCTGATTGTCCCTTCAGGAGCTGCATCGTCGGCTCGTGCTGCTGCTGCTGCTGCTGCTGCTGCTGCTGCTGCTGCTGCATCTGTTGCATCTGAGCCTTAGAGGCCGGCGTCTGTGGTAACAAAGTTGCCAACTGGCTCAACCGGTCCAGCAGAACAGCAATCAGGGTGCTCCTTATCGAGTTCTCCTCCCCTCCCGCTGCTGTGCACCCACTCCCCGAACCTCCACCTGCCGCCGCTGCTGCTGCCAAGCCTGCAGGCTTGGTTGCCGAAGCAGAGGCTCGGAGGGCCTCCGCGGCGGCTGACAGCTGAAGCGCGAGCGGCGCAACGGAGGAATTCAACGATTGCGCGGGAGAGGAGCGCGCGAACTGCTCCGGTTGCGCGGGAGAGGAACACTCGGTCCGCGCGGGTAGCGCGGAAGCGGAGAACTGAGCGGGAGACGCGGCTGCAGCACGACGGCATGTTCCTGTGACTGCGGACGTGGCAGGGGACGGGGATGACGTCACACGCAAAACAGTTGGCTTCTTGACGGCAGGTTTCGTCCTAACTCTCGCGTGGCCGGTTGGCTTGACGACCGACGTGACGGAAGGCTTGACCGGCAATTGCGGTAGGCACAGGAGGGACGGAGGGCGCGCTAACGCTGCGCCGCCGGGAGCGGCGGCGGCAGTAGGAGGAGAACTCGGGGGGACGGGGGAGCTGTGGACTGGGGCGGAAGCCCCGGGGGAAATAGTCGAGGCGAGAGACGCGGGGGAGGGAGGGGTAGAGGAGAAGGAAGGAGAGGAAGGAGAGGGAGAGGAGGGAGAGGGGGAGGAGGGAGCTGATCCGCTGCTTGGCGATTTAAGCTGCACCAGAGCTGCTGCTGCGTCGACAGCAGTCTCGACGGCGCTGGTGACATGCGGCTCGACCGTACCGCTCACACGCGCCTGGAGCGCACCGGATGACGATTTTAACGGCGCTTGAGCGCAGTCGCCGGCGGCAGTTGCGGCGTCGAGCAGCGCGTCGAATCGCCGCGCGACTCGCTTCGCGGCGTGAGAGGCAGGGCTGACGGCATACGAGAAAGCTCCAGCGGCCTTCACGCTTCGACAGACGCGACTGCGCTTTCCGCCCCGTTGCTTCCCCGTCAGCGGCGCTCCTGCTTCCGCCGCCGCTACCTCTTTCTTGATGATCCTCTTACGCGCTTCGAGCGCCTCGATAAGGTTCGAGTGATTCGCGCCACCAGTGGCGCTGGATTCCCGTTTCGCCAATCGCATGGCTGTAGCTTTCAAAGCGCTGGCTTTCGCCGTCTTCGTCGCCGCCGTCGCCGTCGTTACCGTCGCTGGCGCAGGGTTCCCTTCCCTTGTGGCTAAGCTGGCGACGGCCGGCGACGCGTGGACGCTCTTGTAGTGGAGATTGAGCGCGTGCAGCGAGGGGTGTCGCAGCTCGCACTTGCGACACGAGTACGGCCCTCGTGAAGCGGCGGGGTTCGATCCAAGGGTGGAGATTGCGACGCTCGGACTGAGCAGCTGGAGGAAATCGGCAGCGGATAGGTCGGCCGTCTTAACCGTCTTGGCTTTGAGAGACGGGGAGTGGGGCGAAGGCGAGCGGAGAGACGTCGCCGCGATCGGCGCGCGTGCGACTGCGACTGCCGTGCGATCCATTTGCGATGACTGCGACGGCTGATGCGACGGTTGATGCGACGGGTTTTTCCACGCGTTGTCTTGCGAGTGGCGTCGGAGGTAGCACGTTAGCGTTGGAGTGACGTCGTCCGGGCCGGTATTACTCGGTGGTGTGCGGTGGAAAGAGAAGGCGCCTGAGGATGCAGGGGAGCACCTGTGAGAGGAAGAGGAGCGAAGGAGATCGACCATGGAGTAACTCAAAGACGTTCTGGCGTGAATCGAAGGGCTTGTCTAAATTCTACTCAACGAGGAAGGATCGCGGTCAGGGATCGCAATTGTAGCAGTTGCGTGAGGCCCGGAGAGTGAAGAGGAATGCGTTACACTCTGGATAACGAATGGGAACAACGAGCGGGTTTTCAGGTGGCCATGGGTCGTTGCTTGCGACAATTTCTATAGACGCCAATTATTGAGCAGCAAGCAGCAGGAGCAGGAGCAGGAGCAGCAAGCGCCAGCAGCAGCAGATGACGGGCACTGGTTTGTTTCTGGTTGACTGGAAGGAAGTCGTGGGGGGTTTGACAAAATGTCACGCGAACCAGCGACGCGGAAAGTGGAGATGAGCAACGGGGGGAGTGCGGGACGAATTTCTGTGATGGCGGGGCGGCTATTTGTGCTGGTCTGGCGAGAACCTTTTTCGAGCGGAGAAGAAACGAGAAACGCAGGAAGAAAACGGGCGCGCTTGTCGGCGGGCAGGTAGCAGGAGCCGTTTCAAACGAGTCCGGCGGGCAGGGAGAAACATTTTGCTGCTCTGCAGAAGCGGAGGTGGGGGGGGGGGGGGGTGGGGGGGGCGCGTGGCGTGGCGAGGGCAGGTCAGCGGATTGCACTCTTCGTTCGCAGTCCATTTCATTAGGGAGATTACACTCTGCGTGCGCGTCCGCATTCGATGGCACAGTAGGACGAGGTTTGACGGGCCAAGCCACGGCTGACAGCTGGCGCGTTTAACGGCAGGGAAGCGGGAAAACGGACGGCGGACTTGAAATGTGATGCATCTCAGCTGGCATAAGAGGCGTGAGGAAGCCAGACGGGTGATAAACGGAACGGCAGGACTTGACGGAACAGCCGAGGTATGCATCCAATGAAAATCGTCGGATGACGCAAACATGTTGCGTGGGAGTTTCGTTTCGCCCGTTTCCCCCAACATTCCTCCCTCCCCGCTACCCGCCGTCCTCGCCTGCCTAAAAATCCAAACCGCCTGCCCATTGCCCATTGCCCATTGCCCATTGCCCAACATCCATTCCGCCTGCCCAGCTTCGCATGTTCAAATCAAACACACACATCCCCTCCCCGCGCAACTTCTGCGTGGTTCGGGGTGGCCATGGGCGCTACTGTCTGATCTTCTGTTTCATGGGGCTGTTTCGGGCCTGAGTGCGGCTGGAATAAAAATTTCTTCGCTTCCCATTTTCCACCGTCACCGAACTCGCAGCCCATCCCTCAACAGCACCTGCGCAGAAGTTGGGTCTCAGGAGGAGGGTTCCAACTGAATCGCTGTCAACCGTACTGTAACGTGTTCTACACTAATCACGCTCTCGATCACCGACCTCGTCTGGCTGGAGAGAGGGGGAGGTGCGCGGGCACATTACAGTATGTAAATAGGAGGGAGTGAGGGCGGGGGCTGGTGCGTGGGGTGTGCCGCCATGGAGAACGCGATTGGGGGGATCGCGGTCCAGACTCGGGGAAATGGGGAGGGGGGAAACCCTGTCGCACGGGGGAGAATTGTATCGCGTCACACAGCGGAAACAGTCTTAAGCACTGTGCGGTGTTTTGCCGCCATGTCACCTCAGCAACACTACATGAGAGGAACATGCCAATCGCGGACTTAGCGCAATTTTCTGTGGTCCGTTCCGCTCATTTCTCCGTTCAGCTGCACTCATTCAATGACTCAAGTTTGTTGTTCACAGGACTCAGTACCCCCTCACGGTAGCGAACTCGCTTCCGATTGTACCTTTTCTAAGCGAAAGTCCACAGTAATTTAGTCTGCATTTATTATGGGTTCCCAAGATCATTACACCCTCAAAATCGGAGCTAGAACCAACCCAAGAGTGGTTAGCTGTCAGACTTTGTCGCACACGCGCGCGAGTCGTGAAAACCAACTTCCAGCAATGTTCTCCCATGTTCAACCTGAAACCTGGGCATGTTGGACGCCGCACACACAAAGTCAACATATCTGTCGTCTATCACCAGGCCTAACCCAAACCAATCCCCATCGAGAAAACAGCTGTAAACCCAGGGGCGACGCGACGCCCAGTTGACTGGTGTGATGGAAATCGACGAGCGAAAACAGCTGACCCCCAGCAAGTACTTTCCCGCGCCTTGTTACTGACATGGTCCCATGGAGTTTTGACCATCCACCAACATTAGGGTGTGTCACTAAAAATCGTTTTGGCAAAATACCATACTGAACCGCTCTAAATGTTTTATTGACCGTTCCAGAGCGCAAAATATCTATGCGAACCGTAATCGGACGTACTTTAGTGACACGCCCTTAATTTGCTTACAAGTCAAATACTCAACTCATATGGTAGCATAATTATCGTAGCATAATTCAATTCATTGATTTCTGGTTTCTAATTCAAGTTGGAGAGTGAAACGGTATACTGCAATGAAGCGCACAAGTCTTCGATATTGATACACATTCAGTGCACCGTACTGAAAAATGTTAGACCACGAACCAATATGGTACTATTGCACATATATTATATTTTTTAACACACGTAGTGTTTTTCAAAAATTGTGTATTGTGAAAGCGAAGCTGATTGTACTGAAGCGTTGGGCATCGTCGAAGCGCGCTACTCGCCCTTCTCCAACTAAATATACGTGGGTTGGAGCTCATTTGCCTCTACCCACGTCTCTCATTTTTCAAACGGCTCAGTCAACTTTCCCGCTCTAGCTTTTCTCCCGTTCAAGCTGGCTAAGACTAGAACTTTGCCTCGCGGCGTGTCTCCCTCGACTCGTCTCTCCGTCATTTTTAAGTTTCACCGATCCGTCATGGCTCCAACTACGAATAATCGCGGCGAGTCCAACGTCGTCACCGGCCACCCCAATTCCGAGTCTACTCGCCAAGCCCCGGAAATTGCGGGCGACCGGCGCAACAAGCGTCGGGCAGAAGAAGGGGCGGCCGCCCCAACTGGGGTTGACGTTCTGCTGGGAGGGGGCGAGGTATACAGTCAGCCTGCTGACGCGCCCCCGCCCCCTTCTGAGCCACACGCGCAAGTGGCTGGGCAGAGCCAGCCACTCGCGCCTGACGCCGAGCAGCAGCACGCGCCAGCCCCGCAAGTGGCGGGTCCTTCTCGCCAGCGAAAAAGGGGGCGCGCGGCTGCCTCGTCTGACGTGCCGCCCACCCCGACATTGACCCCGTCGTTGACCCCTGCGCAGGTCAACGCGCTGTTGACGCTGTTGCAGCAGCAGGCGACGAGTGTTACGGCCGCCGAAACTGCTCAACCTGCTGCTTCTGAATCTGCTAAAAAAGAACCTGCAAAAACAGAAAATGCCACACGCGGAACCAAGACGCCACGCCTCGCCAAAGACGCCGTCGCCAGCATCCCGCCTGCCCCGGCGGCCGACAACGACAGCGACGACTCCGACAATGACGCTGGTGAGGTCCCCGGCACTGCTGCAAATTCAATTCCCATGGAGCACCTCCCACCACTCCCGTCCACTAACACCACCCTCTCGGCGGTGTCTTTCCTCAACGCGGCCGTGCGCGAGCAAGCGGAAGTCCTGGAGGACCTTCGGGCATACATGAAGCACGCCGAGTTCAAGGTGCAGCACGGCGACGCGCCGGGCGGCCTCGAATTCCTCGCCGACGCGCTCGCCCTCATATCGCGACGCTTCGAAGTTCTCCAAGTCGAAGACGCCTCCGACTTCCGCACGGCCAAGCGTTTCAAGCTGTACCAGCAGAAAAGTCTGCTTACCTCAAGGCCTTTCAAGCAGGCCGTCGCTGACGTGGCCGCAATGGACCGCGCCGAGGGCGGGTTTGCTCGTGGAAATCGCGGAGGCGGCCGCATGCCCATGTCGTTCGTGCCAAAGCGTGGTCCGCCGCCTACGGGATAATTCCGTGGCTTCCGAGGCACTTGCTTCCGCAGTGGCCAGCCGGGGCATGTGGCCAGCGGCTGCCCGGCGATTGGGCATGGTGGCCAAAGACTCGCACCAGTGGTGTAGGGGTCGGGCCATGGGCGCTTGCGCAAGTGGCGCAAGGCGCAAGGCACCCGGTGTGTGCGTAGGCCATTGGGCCCACCCCTTAGGGGCACGGGTGGCAGAGGGCCAGCCCTAGTGTAGGCCAATCGAAGGCCCTAGGCTCAGAGCAAGGGAAGGGGAACATACCCCCTCGGTCCCAAATGATAGCCCGACCTTGCAAGGCGGACTTTGCATGCCTAGGAGCATCGTTGAGTAGAGATGAAGCTTGGTTAAAATAAGGAGCCGCGGTCCTTCATTTTTTTTTCAGGCCTTGGTCCCCTAATATAACCAGAGAAATGGGGGAGCAGCACCGTAAGAGGCGCATAAAAAAAAAAAAAAAAAAAAAAAGGGGGGGGGGGGGGGGGGGGGGAGATTGAGCACGGAACGGGGAAGCATAGTGGGTGGCTCAACCCCCGCTGCATGTCACGCAGCACCCCCGGCCAGAGAAGGAAGGCCATCAGGAACAACAATGGCCCGCCACTTACCCACACAGAGTTGCTCCCCGATTGGACATGCAAAAAAAAAAAAAAAAAAACCAGAATTCAAGCATTATGCGAGCCTTACAAGGCGCCTACCCTCCAACCCGGTGTGCTACACCCTGGACCCTACGCATTACCCCTCCATGGGCATACAGGAACAGCCACACCAGCCTCATCTAGGGCTGCCCAGCTTGGCATTGGAAGAAAAAAAAAAAAAAACGAGTCACACAAGCATGCGCGCACGCACGTGGTATGGCCCACGAACGGGAACAGCAACAAAACACCGCACGCATGCCACACAAGCACACAAGAGGTGGCTAGAAGAGAGACACAAAAGAAAAGAAAAGAAAAGAAAAGAAAAGAAAAAACACGGGCGTTGAGTCTCAAAACCCAAGAAATGAGAACGCAAGCGAAGGAGGCAATAAGAGGGTAACATGCGTTCGCGAGTAGAAGCGCGAGTGAAGGCACAAGTTGTGGGAATACGAGGGCACAAAGGGAAGCAAACGTCGGGGCTCAGGTTCGAACGCAAGCTCGGCATGCGCGGGCGTGCAAACCGACACACACGCAGGTCACGCCGCTCAGACCCGCTCAAAGCGCAGGCAACCACCGACCTAAGCATCTTGCTCGCATGTGGCACTTCAACCCGGCACGCCCTCCTCAGCCACTAGGCTTCACACTCCCCCTCCCCCACGCTCTAGGTTTCCGGCAGGCATCAGCCCAGCAGATGAACTCAAGTATTCGTCCCTTGCTTCTCCTTGCGTGATGGCACTCCCACAGGCACCAGACTTCGCGAATGCGCTCACAACAGTGACCCCTATGAATACGCGGTTACTGAGAAGATGGTCACCCAAATGCGTGGCCGCCTACGTACCACTTTCGCTTGGTGGAGCTCGTGGTGCACTAGCAGTTTCATCCTCTCAGTCATTGCCAAAGGATACTGGATGCCATGGAAACTCGGGCCGCCGCCGGCCTTTCACGATCGCAACCATGCCGGCGCACTCACCCACGAAGCATTCACGCGCACGGCCATCCTTGAACTCACCGAGACCGGCGCGGCCATCCAAATTCCTGCGGCGAAACTGAGATGCATAAGCCCACTCAACGTGGTCGAGCAGAAAGACAAGTGTCGCCTGATTCTGGATCTCCGAAAGGTGAACGACGCAATAATCGTCCCCACATTTAAATACGAGGGACTCAACCGCGTAGCGGACCTCGCCCGCCAAGGAGATTGGATGTTCTCCATCGACTTGAAATCAGGCTATCACCATGTCGACATCCATCCCTCGTGCTGGACGTTCCTCGGCTTTGAATTCGACGGGTGCACATACGCCTTCCGATCCTTGCCGTTCGGCCTCGCCACAGCACCATTCGTCTTCACGCAGCTCATCAAGCAATTAGCTCGGCGATGGCGGGAGCAGGGGGTCCGCGTGATATCGTACGTGGACGATATCCTCTTCCTGTGCCCGACCCAGGCACACGCTCAAGCCACGTGCCAACGGATCGTTATCGATCTCAAAGCTGCCGGGCTCGTACTCAACTCAAAAAAGTCAAAGCTGATACCAACACAGCACCTTCGGTTCCTTGGCGTAGAACTTGACACACAGGCCGGCCGGTTCTCCATCGGCGAGGAGTGGCGAGCCACACTCAACGCCACCCTCCATGCCCTACTGCGCGCAAGCTCAGCTCAGCGAAAAGTCCCAGTCCGGCAACTGGCCCGAGTTACAGGCATGCTGGCATCGATGGCTGTCGCACTCGGCACCACCACCCGAGCGTTCAGCCACGCCATGCTAGAAACAATCAACGACACGCCGACATGGACCAGCATGGTTATCCTCTCCCCACCCGCCATCAAAGAGCTGAGATTCTGGATCCAAGAGTTCGACCGTTTCAACGGTGCCCCGTTCCATGTGCGCCACAGCTACGATGCAGTCATCCACGTAGACGCAAGTGCCCACAGCTGGGGTGCCACGCTGAACACATTCCCTGGAGCCGCGATAGAGGCCAGCGCGGCAATGCCCGGAGCCCTTCATCCAACCTCCAGCACACAAAGAGAGCTCGCCGGCGTGCTGTGGGCGCTACAGACGTACGCGCCTAGAATCCGGAAGAAACACGTGCTAGTGCGGGTGGACAACCAGGGCGTGTTCTTCATCCTTCGCAAAGGAGGTTCACGAAGTCCCGACCTCACCACCACATGCAAAGGCATCATCCAAAAATGCATGGAGTTCGAGATTCGGCTAATCATCGAATGGATCCCACGCAATCTGAATGGTCGCGCAGACGAGCTCTCCAAGCTAGTCGACCACGATGACTACTCGTTGAAGTTCCCATGGTTTCGCCTCCTCGAGCGTCGCTGGGGGCCCCACTCCATTGACCTATTCGCCAACCCCCAAAATGCACACCTGCCGCGTTTCAGCTCTAAGGTCCCCCACCCCGATGCCACAGCAGCCGACGCCTTCTCACTTGCCTGGACGGCTGAGAACAGCTTTGCATTCCCACCGCCCCAACTCATCCCCGCAGTACTCCATCACGCACAACGCACGAGCGCATCTCTCACCCTCATAGTCCCACACTGGCCTGGCGCAAGCTGGTGGCCGCTCCTCCAGCCCTCCCCTCCATCGTGGGACCCACACATCCAAGCACATATCCCTCTTACACACGGCAGCCAGTGTCTTACAGTCGGCACACATAGTCAAGCATTCTCAGGCACAGGATTACCCAACAGCACTATCGTCGCACTCCGCGTGATATTTGACTAACTAGACTCCCTTGCCTGTCCCCAGATCTGCTTTTAAAGCTCCAACACGACCTGCTTTCCATGCTCGCCCGCTCTCGTGCCGACTCGACCATCCGAACATACGAGCCTTACTGGGTGAAGTTCCGCGCCTTCTGCACGAAGGTCAACCTAACGTTCTTGCCGGCATCGGAAATGACCCTCGCGCTCTACCTTGTGTACGTCATCCAATGCAAGGCCTCCTTGTCGGTTGTTCAGCTCACATGCTCCGCCGTGAGCTTTGCCCACAGGATGACAGGCTCAACATGCCCAACCACCGGCCCTTTCACCTCCCAAGTGCGCGACTTCGCGAAGCGACACTGCCCGCGCCCTAACAGGATTAAAGAGCCAGTCTCACTCCATCAGGTCCACGATATGGCAGCCTCCTTCCTACAGTCAACTAACCCAGCTGTATTCCAAAAAGGACTGATCCCGATTCTCATGTACGCCGGCTTCTTGCGCTACTCGGACCTGGTGGCCATCCAATGGCAGGACATCCAATTTAAAGATGAAGCGATGTGGCTACTCATCCCCCACTCAAAACCGACCAAGCCGGCCAAGGCACATGGATCCCTATCGCGGCAAGCCCCGGACCCTTTTGTCCGGTCCAGGGCACCCAGAGGCTCATCCAACTCGCAGGATACTGCCCCCAGTCCTCGGGACCGCTCATCCGGGTCTTCGGACCCCACCTAGCGAGCCACGGCACAACCAGACCGCCCTCATACACCACAATCCGCAACTGGTGCAAGGAAGCCTTCGCGAAAATCGGTCTGGGAGAAGAGCACCTCGGCACCCACTCCTTTCGGAAAGGCACGGCCATGGTTGCTGCCAACTCCGGGGTTCCTGACAGGATCTTCAAACGCCTGGGCCGTTGGCGTAGTGAAACCGCGAAAGAGATGTACGTCACGCCCGCGACCGATCATCTGGTTGGCGCGTCTCGACGCCTGCAAGACCTGGCGGCGGCACCATCCTCTGCACAACACGCTGAGGCACTTCTCCGCCACCGCAAGCCCCCACTGCATATGTCTCAACGACCCCACTTGAAATGAGAACGATGCCTATTGCAAAGGACAAGAAAGCAAGCTTTCTCAATATTATAATTTTTAACACACGTAGTGTTTTTCAAAAATAGTGTACTGTGAAAGCGAAGCTGATTGTACTGAAGCGTTGGGCATCGTCGAAGCGCGCTACTCGCCCTTCTCCAACTACATATACGTGGGTTGGAGCTCATTTACCTCCACCCACGTCTCTCATTTTTCAAACGGCTCAGTCAACTTTCCCACCCACCCCCCCCTCTAGACAATCGCCCATCTCCAATTGACAGCCGGTCACTTGAACGGGAGCGCACAACTAGGATCATGATGTGTGCATGTTTAGATTCTTATAAGCTAGTAAGCGACTATTGTACCATGCGACTTGAAATGAGAACGATGCCTATTGCAAAGGACAAGAAAGCAAGCTTTCTCAATACAAAACATTGTCAGAGTGGTGTGGAAGTTTGCAAGCTTGTTCCTTGTTAGCGTAACGAGTCATACGGTAAAAAGCCTGACTTTGTCCACAAGATGCCAACCAAAGCCAACCACCCACTGTCTCCTGCATGGACTTGATTTGTTCTCTCACTGCATCAAACTACAGCAAAAGCCGCTAGCAGATGCCATTTCTTTGACACGCATCAGAAGTCAAGATCAGCCAGTAGCTACCTATGGTATTTCTGACGGGGCTCATCAGAAGTCAATGGCCTTGGCGGCAAGTTAACCGTCGTACCTCCGGCTCCACCTCCCTGAGATCTGCAATGCACCACCGGCAGAGAAGAACAGGTCAATGCATAGAGCAGAGCAGGTGCATTATGAGTCGACTCAGTATACCATTAGCAAGTCAACCGTCGTACCTCCGGCTCCACCTCCCTGAGATCTGCAATGCACCACCGGCAGAGAAGCGAATAGCAATGCATAGAGCAGAGCAGGTGCATTCTGAGTAGTCTCAATGGTATATTATCGGCAAGTCAACCGTCGTACTTCCGACTCCACCTCCCTGAGATCTGCAATGCAGTGGATCAGAGAAGAGCACAGGGCAGTGCATAGAGCAGAGCAGGTGCGTTATGAATCGACTCGATATATTATCGGCAAGTCAACCATCGTACTTCCGGCTCCAACAGCCAGAAATCTGCAATGCGCCACAGTGAAGCACAGCATTGCATAGAGCAGAGCAGCGAAGAGCAGAGCAGAACAGAACGGAACAGAGCAGAACAGAACAGAACAGAACAGAACAGAACAGAACAGAACAGAACAGAACAGAACAGAACAGGGAAGAACAGAACAGAACCGAACAGAACAGAACAGAACAGAACAGAACAGAACAGAACAGAACAGAACAGAACAGAACAGAACAGAACAGAACAGAACAGAGCAGAGCAGAGCAGAGCAGAGCAGAACAGAACAGAACAGAACAGAACAGAACAGAGCAGAACAGAACAGAACAGAACAGAGCAGAACAGAACAGAACAGAACAGAACAGATCTGAACAGAACAGAACAGAACAGAACAGAACAGAACAGAACAGAACAGAACAGAACCGAACAGAACCGAACAGAACAGAACAGAACAGAACAGAACAGGGAAGAACAGAACCGAGCAAAAGATAGAAGAGAAGAGGAACATGAAAGGAGCGGCACAAGGCCGAGGCAGAACACCCCCGCCATATACTTACACTACACCATGCACGAGATTGAAATTGCACTGTATATGTGCACGAGATCAGCAACAGCACTGTACATGTGGAAGTATGTAGAACGAAAATTCTCTCCACAAACAGAAAGTCAACCACGTTTTGAAAGCCTTTGCATCAAAGCCTACCAGTCGGTCCTCATTGTCCAAGACTCATAACGAGGTGACTTTTGAGTCAACTCAAAAGTCATCTCGTTACAATGTCACACAACACTTTTCAGTCAACTCAAAAGTCACCTCAAAGCCCACCAGTCGGTCCTCATTGTCCAGGACTCATACCACCTTTTGCAACCTGGCGGCGGAACACCACTTAGCAACACGGCGACGGAACGAGCACGCTAAGGAAAACGCAGTGTTTCACAAGTTTACCTACCAGGGCCTATCAAGAGAAAAAACTACCTCTCAAGGCCCACCTGTCTGCCTCCTAGCCGTTGCCTGGGCTATGTCGAGTGTCTGCCCTTGCATTGGGAGGAGCTGATAACAAGGAACCTACCTCTCAATGCCTACCTGTCTACCCCTCAGGAGTTGGCTGTGCCGAGTGCCTGCCCCTGACTCCTAACCAGCGCCTGCTGCAGCATGAGTGCGCATACCAGATTTAGCAGCCAAGTCAAATTATAACAAGGAGCCTCCCTACCATGGCCTACCTATCAAGGCCCACCTGTCTGCCTCCCAGCCGTTGGCTGTGCCGAGTGCCTGCCCCTGCCTCCTGCCCAGCTCCTGCAGCAGCAGCAGACTCCCCATGGGTTTCCCCAGGATTCCCCCCAGCATCGCCCCCAGCATTCCCCCCAGCATTTCCCCCAGCATTTCCCCGAACATTCTCACCAACAGTCACCCCAGGCGTTTCTAAAATTCCTCCCTTGCTCCCTACTCCACCCGCTCCCCCGATTCCTCCTAAGACCCCCACCCCTGCCCCTTCACCGCTTTCTGTTCTCAACACTCCGAAACGCCCTGTGTTTAGTGCACCATCCACTCCCGCAACGCCCTCCCAGCCCCCCCCTCTCCCCCATCTTCCACCTCCTCCCCTGACCCCTCTGCCAACCCCACCACTCGCTCTCCCATGGCCCCTGCTTGCCCCCCTCCCTCTGCCGCCCCTTACTTTACCCTCCTGGATCGACCCCCCAGAACCAGTGCCAGCAGCAGCGGCTGCAAAAGCAGGGATAGCACCATTCCCTGCAGCAGCAGCAGCAGCAGCAGCAGCAGCGATAGAGCCATTTCCAGCACTGGTCCCTGCCCCCTTAGCTCCCCCTGCAGTGAGATGGGGAGAGAATCCCCTGAGCTGACTGTTATAGGCTCCTAGAGCCATAAGCCCCGTCTCTGCTTCTCTGCCTGCTTCGTTTTGAGCTGCCACGTGCCCTTCGTTTTGAGCCGCCACGTGCCCTTCGTTTTGAGCCGCCACGTGCCCTTCACTTTGAGCCGCCACGTGCCGTGCTTCCTGTGCGACCACTCCCCCTGCTTCGTGCACAGCGGTCCTCGCTGCTTTCTCTACCACCACTTTCTCTCCACGCTCGACTGCCACCACCTCATCATGCCTCTCCTTCCGTTGATCGCGCCCTTCCCCTTCAGCACACCCCACTTCTTCTACTACTTCTTCCTCCTCATTCGTCCAATCACGCCCTCCCTCCTCTTTTTCCCCCTCGTCCCCATCATACCCCCCCTCTCCAAGTACCCCCTCTCCAAGTACCCCCTCTCCAAGTACCCCCTCTCCAAGTACCCCCTCTCCAAGTACCCCCTCTCCAAGTACCCCCTCTCCAAGCACCCCCTCTCCAAGTACCCCCTCTCCAAGTACCCCCTCTCCAAGTACCCCCTTTCCTTGTACCATTATGGAATGCACCTCTCCATTCCCCCCCTCTGCATGCCCCGCCTTTGCATCCCCTGCTATATGCCCCTCTGCATGCCCCGCCTTTGCATCCCCTGCTATATGCCCCTCTGCATGCCCCTCCCCATTCCGACCCATAACCTCCACTCGTCCCACCCCTTTCATTCTCTTAATCACACTCCCCTTCTCCCCTCCCTCTCCCTCCACACCTGCTCCCCTTCCCTCCTTTGCACACCTTCCCTCTCTCTGGTCTGCTCCTTCTCTCTTCCCTTCCATCTCTCCCTTCCTCCCTCCTTCCAACTTTCCTTCTCCTGCTGCTCCACCTGCTGCTCCTCCTGCTGCTTGTCCTGCATCCCGCCCAGCCATCGCTGCCTCCCCCCCTAACTCTCGCTCTCCCCTCCTCTCCCGTTCGCCCTCCCTTCTCTCTCCAAATCCCTTATTATCCCTCTCCCAAAAATGCTCCCTTAGTATCGCCCCCTCTCCTTCCACCACTCGCCCTGTCCCTTCCTCGCCTCCTCCCAATCCCTCTTCCATCATCCCCCCACCTCCTTCCATCACCTCCCCATCTCCTTCCATCACCCCCCCATTTCCTTCCATGCCCTCACCCTCTCTACACTCCCTCACACCACCCTCAGCCACTTTCCCCTTTCCGCTGCTGCAACTGTCAGGACCTTGCTTTATCTCCTCATCCCCTTTGCCCTTTCTGCTACTTTCAGCCACCATTTCCCCTACCACCGAGCCTCCTTCCTCTTCCCCAGAAATTTCTTCGCCTGCTGCCCCCCCTCCAGTTTCACCTGCCCCTTTCCGCTTTTTTGCTGCCCGTATACCGTCCCCCTTCTTGCACCCCACACCCCGTCCCCTTCCCCCTCCTCTCTCTCCTCCTCCCTCGTTCTCCTGCATCCCCATATCCCCCCCATGAGAAGCGTCAGCCATTCCTCCTTCCCCTTCTCCGTCCCCCTCCCCTTGCCCCTCCCCCTCCCTCTCACCCTCCCCCTCATGGCGTCTTGCTCGTTTCCTCTTAACCGCACTCCCTCCCCCCTTGATGCTTCCCTGCCCACGGAGTATCCTCAACACCATTGCCTCCCTATCCTCCTCCTCCTGCGTTCCCCCTTCCTTCTTCCCTATTCCAACTTTCTTGGAACCAGCAGCCAACCCTTCTCCCCTTTCCCCCTTAGCTGCAGTCGCTGCCTCCTTGCCTTTTAGAACTTGCACAGCAGCCGTCCCCTTTCCTGTTGGAATAGCCAAACTAGCACCAGAACCACCACCCGCAGTAGGGCCAGCAGCAGCAGCAGCACCCACACCACCATGTCTCTCCTTGCCCCTTCCCCTCCCTCTCTCTCCTCTACCCCGTCCAAATCCTGCCGCTGTCCTTCCCCCTCTCATTCCCCTGCTCCCCCCAGCCAGCGCTGTTGCTGCAGCTGCTTCTCTTTCTGCTTCAACTGCTACAGCCAAAGCCCCTCCCCTGACTGCTGCTGTTGAACCCTTCGTCCCTCTCCCTCTAACCACCCTCCCCCCCTTGTTCTCCTCCTCTTCCCTTACCAACCTACTTTGCCCAGGGACAGTCACTTTGCCACCAACCCCAACCACCATCTTAGTTCCTGGTAACTCTAGTTCCTTCGCCACCTTAGTGGGCTTGAGAGCAGCTCCCATCTCGGTTCCCCCCTTGCTTTGAGGTGCCCCAAGGCTAGTCTCTAGGATTTTTCCCACGGCATCCATTCGTTTCCGCTTCACAGGTTGCTTCCTGACTGCCCCCCGCCCTTCCTCAACAACTCTCCCCTCTCCAGAAACTGCTGCTGCCGGGGCCACCGCTGCTGCTGCTGCTGCTGCTGCTGCTGGTGCTGCTGATTTCGCGTCTGGTGATTTTGTGTCTGCTGTGGGTCTTGTTCCTGCTGTTGTTTTCTTCTTCCGTCTTTGGTGCCGCCACCTGCCTTCGTTCTTCCCTTTCTCCTCCGTCTCCCATTTCTCCTCTTTCTCTTTCTGCTCCTGCACCTCAACCACCTCCTCTTTCTCCTCCTTCTCCTCCTTCTCCTGTTTGCTTATCTCATCCACACTCATTAGCAGAAGCTCTAATAGCTCGCCACCTTGTTCCCTCTCCTCCGTCCCAGATTCCGATTTCCCTCCTTCTCTCACATCTTCCTCCTCTTCTTCCTCTTCTTCCGCATTTTCGTCTTCCTCCTCTTCTTTCTCCTCGTCTTCCTCCTCTTCTTCCTCCTCCTCTTCCTCCTCTTCTTCCTCCTCCTCTTCCTCCACCTCTCCCTCCACTTCATCCTCCTTTGTCGCCTCCTCATCCTCCTCACTCACCTGCCCAGATCCACCATTTTTCTCCTCCATTCCGCATTCCGCTCCCTCCTCACCTCCCTCCTCCTCTCCCACCCTTTCTCCCTCCTCCTCTACCCCTTCCCATCCCCCCCTCTCCATCCCACCATCCAGCCCCTCCTCTCCCTCCTCCTCCCCTCCTCCTCTCCTCTCCGCCCCACAAGTCAGCCCCTGCACGGCTGCAGCTACAAGCAACAACTCTGTAGGATCAATCTCATTCTCCTCCCCATGCTCCCCCCCGTTTTCCCCCCCATGCTCCTCCCAATTCTCCTCCTCCCCACCTTGTCCTTCGATATCCATATTTTCCGGTACACCACCTTCAGGATAAGTGCGATAAGCAAGAGCAGCCGGAGCAGCAGCAGCAGCAGCAGCTAATGCACCCGTTTTCGGTGGTGATTTTAGGCGCTTTGCTTCAGGCGCCAGGAGCTCCCTTACAGTCGCCAGGCCCTGTGCTCCAGCCCCTGTGTCCTTTCTGGCCGCTATCTCCATTCCCATTGCCTCCTTTCCTTGAATCTTCCTTCCAGCCCCTTTCGTTGCATTCACCCCCCATTGAGTCACATCCTTCGCCTTTTGCTTCCCGTCTCCCTTTGCCTTGACCTGCCCTGCTTCCCCCTGACCCGGCTTCTTTGCCTCTTTCATACCCTTGCCTTTAGACGTACCCGCGGCGGCGGCAGCAGCAGCAGGAACGGCAGCAGCAGCCACAGTAGGACCAGTAACAGCCACAGTACCAGGAACAACTAGTGACTTGTCCAATCCTGCGTCCCTTCCAGCTCCTGCTACTCCTGTCAGTGACGCTCCTGCTCCTCCTGCTCCTCCTGTTCCTCCTCCTCCCCCTGCTGCTGCTGCTTCTCCTCTTCCTCCTGCTGCTGCTCTTGCCATTTGCTCAACGAATCCGTTTTCTCCTGCTACTGCAGTCGCTGCTCCTGTTGCTACTCCTACCACTCCTGCGGCTGGCACCACTCCCGCTACAGGTGTGGAGTCACCTCCTCCTCCCCCAGCCGCCGCCGCCGCCGCCGCTGCTGCTGCTGCTCTAGCACCGACTGAACCAGTCACTACTTCTGCTGTAGTGAGTACTGCACTATCTGCTGCTGCTGCCTCTACTCCTGTGCTACCGTCTGAGTGCCTAAAGAATCCACCTGTGGCGCCCATTGAACGGCCTGCTGCTGCTGCTGCTCCTGCTGCTGCTGTGGCGGCGGTTGTTGCAGGTGCTGCTGCATCAGCCATGGTAGGAGCTGAACGATCTGATGCTGCCCCTTTCCACACAGCTTCCCCGTTTCCTGCCTGAGGGTTTAGGGTCAGTGCAGCGCCTCCAGCAGCCAAGAATCCAAGAGCCCTTGGTTGAGCAGATGCCTTCCGCGATGTTTCCTTCTGAGTCACCTCCCTTTGAGGTGCCTCGCTTTGAGTCGCCTCAAGTGCCATCAGGGCGACATCATCAACAGCCACGAAGCCAAGAGCCCTTGGCTGAACAGCTGCCGTCTGACTAGTCTCGTGCTGAGGAGCCTCCCTTTGAGGAGCCTCCCTTTGAGGCGTCTCCCTTTGGGGCGTCTCCCTGTGAGTCGCCTCGCTTTGAGTCGGCTCAAGTGCCATCAGGGCGACGTCATCAACAGCCACGAAGCCAAGAGCGCGCGGGTGAGGAACCACAGCTGGGGAAGGAGGGGCAGATTTCCCCCCTGGAACATGCGCTGCCCCCGAGGCCAAAACCCTCGCCCCTGCAGCCACAGCAGCAGCCCGAACGCCAGAACCAGCAGCAGAGGCACCAGCAGCACTTAGTGAGGTGTCAGAGGGCCACTGGAGAGTGTTCGGAGGAGCAAGGAGAGTTTGAAACGGGGGAAGAAGAGGAGATGGAGGAGGAGGAGGAGGAGGGACGCCGTTGCCCACGAGTTGTAGGCTGTAGCTGCCATGGTGCTGGCGCTGGGCAGCCCAGGTCAGGTACGTGGTATCATCTATAGCATCCACAGGCACACTCACGGCTCCATCCGCCAACCCCTCCCTGCCCCCCCACCCGTCATCATGCAAGGTGAACAGCGCAACGCGCATCGAAGCATCCCCACCAAACCCGCCACCACCACCCGTGCTGCCATCGCTGCGGCTATTGGGAAAAACCTCAGGGGAATTTACCCTGGAAACTCCACCCGACGCTCGGCTGGGAGCCATTCCTGTGAGAGCAGCCACAGCAGGAGTGATCCCCCCCTGACCAAACCCTAACGATAATGACCCCCCGCCGCCTCCTCCTCCTCTACCCCCAGGTCCCAGGTTAGGTCCAAGGCCAGGTCCACCTGCTGCCACTTTGAGGCTATTATTATGTATGACCATTTTCTGCCCCCTGCCCATACTCCCACCCACCCCCCCTCCCACGCCCATGCCTCCTCCCCCTCCCGAACCAGGCACCCCCGGCCCAGGCCTGGAAACCCCCGAACCAAGCGCCGAGCCTCCACGTCCGGTTGGGGAGAGAGGGACTCCGAGGGTGTAGAAGGAAGGGAGGCGCAGGGCTAAGCCTGAGGTCCCTGTGGCTCCGAAGCTTGTGGAGTGAAGCAGCTTGATTGGGGATGGTGCAGGCCGAGAGGAAAGCGAGGCAAAAGGGATAGCAGCAGCAGTGCCAGCGCCAGCACCAGTGGCAGTGCCGGCACCAGCGCCAGAGGCAGCAGCAGCAGCAGCAGCAGCAGCGGCAGGTAGGGGGTTAGTGCCTCCTGCGTTCTGTGCTTCAAGGGCTTTCAGCTTGGCCTCTAGCTTTTCTGCCTGCTTCTTGTTCTCCAGCAGCCGCTGCTCCAGCTGCTTGGTCTGATGGCAGGGGGAAAGGGTTGGGACGAAAGGGGAAGAAGGAAACAAAGGGGAAGAAGGAAACAAAGGGAAAGGCAATGAAGCGGGTGGTTGAAAAGGGCACCGACAGAGTCAGCCCCAGCAGCAGGGAGGGTAGGGGCGCCTCCTGGCCTCTCTGCTTCTAGGGCTTTCAGCTTGGCCTCCACCAGCTCTTCTGCCTGCTTCTTGTTCTCCACCAGCTCCAGCTGCTTGGTCTGATGGCAGGGGGTACGGGTTGGGACGACAGGGAAGAAAGGAAAAGGCCAGACGTAGGTTGTTGGAAAGGGAAGCAACACTGGCAGCGCGACAACAGGGAGGGTAGCAGCTCCTGCCGCCTGTGCTTCAACGGCTTTCAGCACGGCCTCTAGCTCTTCTGCCTGCTTCTTATTCTCCAACAGCTGCTGCTCCAGCTGCTTGGTCTGCACAGAGGTTTAGGGTAGGAAAGAGAGTGAGAATCAGAATGGAAGACGGGTAAAGGATGTTCAGCATGGCTTCTAGGTCTTCTGCCTGCCTCTCATTCCCCACCAGCTGCTGCTCCAGCTGCTTGGAAGGGGCCAAGAAGACGATGGGGGAAGATGAGGAAACAAAAATGTTTTGTGATGGGATATGTTCGCATGTCTCTTCCTCAACAAGCTCGCCCCTTCAGGGATATGAGTAGCAGAGGATAGGAGAAAGGGAAAGAAGCAAGACGAAGTTGTTGTCCAGATACAGGGCGTTCGTTACTAGGGCGTTCTTTAATAGGGCGTTCGTTAATGGGGCGTTCGTTAATAGGTCGTCAAGAAATCTCAACCTCGCCTGCATGAGCTTCTCCTCTAACCGTTTTGTCTCCGTTTGTACTTTTCGTCCGCTTGACGGGAATAAATATACTCGTGCACACTGAAGCTGCACACAGTGGCAATCACAAATGCGTCCCTCTGTTAACCACGACCATGCGGTAAAAGTTGTTGCCATTGCTGTGCTCAGTGGCATATTTCACCCCACAATATTGTGACTCGCTGGCCTACACCTGTCTAGGCTCAGTTCATCTTGTTGAAATCTTGGAAGTTTTCGATATACGCCTGCTTGGACAGCCCTCAATGCCGTGTAATTTGGCTGCAGGTGAAAGTACTGCAGGTCAAAATACTGCTGTCAAGCGTCACCAATAAGTGAAGGAAACGAAACTCAATTTGCAAAATTATTCGGTATAAATAGAAGAAAAAGTAGCCAAGCCGAAGACATAATATTCTCGAGCAGAACAGTAAACATTGATGCACCAGTGACTTTGATGCTTACCTTAGCATCGACATTTAGCTGCATTCTCTCCAGCATAGTGGCTGCTTTCTCCTTCACATCTCCCAGCGTTTGCTCCAGAACAGCCAATCGCATCTCCGCATAGCTCGCGCGGATCGCGGAGTCCTTCACAATCTGCTCCGCCACGCTGGCAGTCATCTGCTGGACTCTTCCCGCGAGTTCCGGGTCTGCTACTAACGAGGACGCGAACTGGTGACTTGGGGTTGACGCGGGAGCTTCAGCCGCTGCGGATGCGGCTGCATCCGTAGCTTCAGGTGCTGATGACTGAGTTGGTGGTTGAGTTGGTGGTTGAGTTGGCCGGAATGTTGATGGTTGTGCTGGTCCATGGATCCCGTCGCGGCTCGGAGCCAATGAAGCAAGACTAAATTCTGAAGCAGGACCGGACATTGATATGATCGAACGAGACTCACAGTCAGTTCATAAATAAACTTAGCGGGCGATGCGGGTCCGTAAGAAGTATACGCGAGTGTTCGAGCCCTAAAAAACAGCAGCAAGTCGCCAGCACCAGGCACGACCATTTCAGGACAACCCTGGATAAAGGTTAACCGTTGACGGAAGCGCCAATGCCAAGGTTACTAGAAGCAACATCGCAGTAGCTTAGACTAACATTGTGTATAGAATCAGAGACCCTCAAAAGCGAGCCATTGAGAGAAAAGCCAGAAACTGAGCAAGGAAGAAAGGTCAAGCCTTGGGAATTGCTGGTGGGAGGGAGAGTGAGCGGAGAAATCGAGGGAGAGGGAAAAGGGAGGGAAGGGAAGCAATCTGGCGGCTCGTGGTGTAGCTCAAACCCGCAATGTCGCGAAGGAAATCGGCTGTGGCGAACTCTGGAAATGAATGGTCGACTGGCTTTTAGCATACCTGAGCTGTCCTGTGTTACATCGTGTAGTATTTGAAGGATATCACGTGATAGAGCCTCAAAGAAAATCCTCACACCACATTAACCAACCTCAATCATTGCACTAGAATAATATATTGCTAGCTAATGGATAGAGCATAGCATGCTGAAAGGTCATCCGTAAATGTAGCACGCTAGGAGCACGCAAAACTATGGCATGTGGGACAGCTGCACCAGCATCACTTCTCTGGCTGAAGAACTCTACTGACGCCTTGTGCAACAAGGCACTGGCCTTTGTACACATCTTTGCTTATTATCTCAGCTCGTCTGCCCAAACCAACTACACCCAAGCTCATCCCTGTCCCCTTCCAACCTGCAAGTCCATCAGACCCTTCATATCTCGCGATCTTCTTTTTAGAATGCATTGTTTGGATTCCTGTACCTTTAGGAGTTGACTTGAAGGTACTGTAGCTATAGGAACCAGGAATTGTATTCACCTTTACTATATCCCCGACCTTCTTAGAGCCTGTGATTAGACCCCATAAGTTACGGGGGTCCAAACCCGCCAATACAATGGCACGATTGGTGGGGATAAGAAGTGTGGTTGTTGGGACTCCAGGAACGGACGTGTCGCCCTCTGCATAGGATGAAAACGCAGTAGATGTGAGGATCAAAGGACGGAGTATAATTCTATGAATTGAGACCTGAAGTATGGAATAATGAAGACACAAAACGGAACAGATATTGCGAAACTCCGTTTCATAAGAGCAGAACGACGAAACAGGGACTGCGGTAAATTCGAATAGAGAAAGCGAAGGGAAGCACTCACCGAGCTCCTTGATCGCTCGTCTCAGCACGAGAGCCATGGCCCGGTATTTCCTCGAATTCCCTCTAATAAAAGCAGAGCGACGAAGGGAACTGGATTCGCATATACAACGCGATAGGAAGCGGTTGGAAGCACTCACCGAGCTCCTTGATCGCTCGTTTCAGCACGAGAGCCATGACCCGGTATTTCCTCGGCCGTTTTGCTAAGGCTTTCCGCAGCTGCTTCATCTCCCCGACGAATTGCTTCCACGTGCACACGGTACCACCAGAGCCGACGCCAGGAACAGGAATCGGTAAGGGGAATGGTAAGAGACCGCCTGCGACTTGGCCGAGGAAGAGGAAAAACAGCGCTGCTAGGATTGGCCAGCGTGGCGCCATCTGACTAATGACGGATTAGAGACACAGAATCGGGTTGTGGGGGTTCTAACTAGCAAGGTTGAAAACATAACTGGTATAGACACCATGATAAATAACGTGTCGCGAATCGTGTTGTTTGAGAAAATGCAAGATTCTGGAAAGCATGCTTGCTGCATGCAAACCTGGTGAGCCACCGCCACGCCACCAACCGACAGACACCCATGTCGACATTCTCGGGGGAATTCTGATGCAATGCAGGCACAAGGCTACTGTATTGTAACTTCCTATCGTGGCGCGAGGCTATTGTTCCGTTTTGAGCCTTGCGGTTCACCCAAATCGAAACCTGACCTACTCCGTACCGTACCCAAGCCAGAAACCTAGTTTCACACGAAGCGGCACGCTGATTGGCTTGGTCCGAACCTCCGCAAGCGCCAAGTTCATGTTCCGTCACTCCGTACCCTGATGGCGAGTCACGCTATCATCATCGTGTGGACACTGCGGAGTGAGGCACCGCCCCTAGGACTACAGTTTCAATACCATATCCTGTATGCAAATCATTTCCTTATACAAGGGTATATTTTCTTTTCCCCTGCTCATCAGTGTCCCAACAGGAGTCCTAGACGTCACGCTGAGTATCCTTCTTTCCATGCCCCAACGCCCTGCTCCATATCGAGCCCCCAGATGCCTTCTCCTTCTCACCACCAATTCCACTCCCATGCCCAATCAAACCACTACCAATATAGGTCTCCCCTGCCTTCCCGCCTCCTCCATTCCCCGGGCCATAATGAACGCCTGGAAGAAGTGTGCTTTGGCCAGGTACTCCTGGTCCAGATGTACCTGCACCGGGGGCTCCAGCCGACTGAGAGTCCAGAACCTTAGGCATGGACAGGTAGTCTTCAGCCGAACGTTGTGCTGGATGAGCTAATAAAGAGGATGTTGCTCGGAAGATATACCTGGCTACATTGCTGCTGTACTCCCAGATAAAAGGTTCGGGCATGGAAACTGCCTCCAGGGCAGCGGTCAGCCCGTCGAAAACGGCCTGCGGGCAGTTGAAATTGTTCGGGCGGTCGTGCCAGTAGATGCAATCCGCTGTGAAGGGGATGGACGGGCGAGGGACATGGAGAGGCGGAGGGCCGGGGATGCAGGAGGAGCGACAGAAGAAGAGAATCTGGACGGTGTGGATGAGGGGGGAACCGGGGGGGGGTGGGGGGGAGACAGGAAGGGGGAGTGAAGAAACAGTTGATATTGTTGCGGCGGTCGTGCCAAAAGATGCAGTCAGCAGTGAAGGGGACCGAGTGGCGAGGGACACGGAGAGGCGGAGGGCCGGGGATGCAGGAGGAGCGACAGAAGAAGAGAATCTGGATTGGGAGAGAGGGTCTATTTTTGAGGCGCCTCAAAAGAAGAAGAGAATCTGGAGTGGGAGAGAGGGTGGTAAGGACCAGTAAGAAGGGGAAGAAGAGAAAACGGTTTGAGGGGCACAGGATGGGATAGGGAGGGGCGATGTGAATGCGGGAGAAGCGACAGAAAAGGAGAATCTGGAGGCACTGGGAGGGGGGAGGGGGAGAGGTGAGAAAGAATTTGTGCGGAAAGAGAGGGGCACGAAGCAAAGAGGGAAAGGAAACGAGGGGAAAGGCAGGGAATCCAGGCACAAAGCAGACGAGGTGTATTTTGAGTCGACTCAAAATACACCAGGAAATTCAGGCACAAAGCGGACGAGGGACAGGGTCAAAAGGAGGCGACGAGACGAGCACAGGCAAGATTGTACGAGGGACTACGATCGGTCAGTGGAGAAAGGAAGAAGCGATAAACATGGGAGAGAGTGCACCAGGCGCAATGAACGGCCACGATCAGCCGAGCGTTGGGACTCAGATGCGAGGGTGCGGAAGAGAGGGGAGAGGTCCACAGAGGAGAAGCATGACGTGGCGTGCAGTGATTGGAAGCCGGAGATGAGAGTGTTCATGTCGTTAGTGAAATGCTCCACGACCTGATGGAGTGATTGGGGCGGGGAAGAGAGGGGGTAGGGGAGAGGGGAGAGGGGGGGAGGAGAGTAGGGAAATGGGCGAGAGGATTGACAGAGGTAGTGGCAACGAGGAGGGTATTCATGTTGTTAGTGAAGTGCTCCACGACCCGATGGAGTGATTGGGGCGGGGGGGAGAGGATAGGGGAATGGTCGAGGGAAAGGGGGGAAGAGGATAGTAGAGGAATGGCCGAGAGGGTTGACAGGAGGTAGTGGGAACGAGGAGAGCATTCATGCCACTAGCGAAACGCTCCATGACCTGGTGGATGGCGTAGCAAATAACAGCACAGCACATTAATAAAAATAAAAAACAAAAAGCAGTTACGACAACAACAAAAAAACAAAAGCTCATGCTCTGAAAGTAACAGCTGTCTAAAAAAGAAACAGCAGCGACCACATGGAGTGTATTTATCAGACCGTACCCAGGAGAACTGTGGCTGGCGGGGGCTCGAACCAGGGGAGGCAGCACCCTCTGTGGCAGGCAGTGCAACTGCTGCAGTGGCTGTGTTGCCCTTAAGGGTGGCCAGGGCGAATCTATACGGGCAAGTGAAGCGAGAGGGATTTGGAGAAAAACGGCGGATTCATGGATGTGTGTGGGGGGGGGAGGGGGGGAGACGAAGGGATGGAGGGAAGAGAGGGGGGGGGTGTGGGACCCCGGGTGACAAGAATCAGAGCCACACCTGTGCGAGGGGCTCATGGCGAGCTTCGAGTGCGTGCAGAGCAGCAGAAGCCATGTGTGGCAAGCAAGCGTTGGAATGAGAGACGCAGCACGGGGTGATTCCGGGTTACGGGAATCAGAGCAGCGCCTGTGCGAGGTGACTTTTGAGTCGACTCAAAAGTCATAACAAGAATCCGAGCAGCGCCTGTGCGAGGGGTTTATGGCGAGCTTCGAGTGCGTGTACAGCAACAGGGGCCATGTGTGAGGTAAGCAAGGGTTTGAGTGAGAGATGCAGCACGGGTCAATCCCGGGTAACTTCAATCAGAGCGGCACCTGTGGGAGGGGTTCACCTGGGGGAGGGGCTCACCTGAGGGAGGGGCTCACCTGGGGGAGGGGCTCACCTGGGGAGGGGTTCACCTGTGGGAGGGGTTCACCTGGGGGAGGGGTTCACCTGTGGGAGGGGTTCACCTGGGGGAGGGCCTCACCTGGGGGAGGGGTTCACCTGAGGGAGGGGCTCACCTGGGGGAGGGGTTTACCTGTGGGAGGGGTTCACTTGTGGGAGGGGTTCACCTGGGGGAGGGGTTCACCTGTGGGAGGGGTTCACCTGTGGGAGGGGTTCACCGATGGGAGGGGCTCACCTGTGGGAGGGGTTCACCTGTGGGAAGGGTTCACCTGTGGGAGGGGTTCACCTGGGGGAGGGGTTCACCTGTGGGAGGGGTTCACCTGTGGGAGGGGTTCACCGATGGGAGGGGCTCACCTGGGGGAGGGGTTTACCTGAGGGAGGGGCTCACCTGGGGGAGGGGTTCACCTGTGAGAGGGTTTCACCTGTGGGAGGGGTTCACCTGTGAGAGGGGTTCACCGATGGGAGGGGCTCACCTGTGGGAGGGGTTCACCTGTGGGAAGGGTTCACCTGTGGGAGGGGTTCACCTGGGGGAGGGGTTCACCTGTGGGAGGGGTTCACCTGTGGGAGGGGTTCACCGATGGGAGGGGCTCACCTGGGGGAGGGGTTCACCTGAGGGAGGGGCTCACCTGGGGGAGGGGTTCACCTGGGGGAGGGGTTCACCTGTGGGAGGGGTTCACCGATGGGAGGGGCTCACCTGGGGGAGGGGTTCACCTGAGGGAGGGGCTCACCTGGGGGAGGGGCTCACCTGGGGGAGGGGCTCACCTGGGGGAGGGGCTCACCTGAGGGAGGGGCTCACCTGGGGGAGGGGCTCACCTGGGGAGGGGTTCACCTGTGGGAGGGGTTCACCTGGGGGAGGGGTTCACCTGTGGGAGGGGTTCACCTGGGGGAGGGCCTCACCTGGGGGAGGGGTTCACCTGAGGGAGGGGCTCACCTGGGGGAGGGGTTTACCTGTGGGAGGGGTTCACTTGTGGGAGGGGTTCACCTGGGGGAGGGGTTCACCTGTGGGAGGGGTTCACCTGTGGGAGGGGTTCACCGATGGGAGGGGCTCACCTGTGGGAGGGGTTCACCTGTGGGAAGGGTTCACCTGTGGGAGGGGTTCACCTGGGGGAGGGGTTCACCTGTGGGAGGGGTTCACCTGTGGGAGGGGTTCACCGATGGGAGGGGCTCACCTGGGGGAGGGGTTTACCTGAGGGAGGGGCTCACCTGGGGGAGGGGTTCACCTGTGAGAGGGTTTCACCTGTGGGAGGGGTTCACCTGTGAGAGGGGTTCACCGATGGGAGGGGCTCACCTGTGGGAGGGGTTCACCTGTGGGAAGGGTTCACCTGTGGGAGGGGTTCACCTGGGGGAGGGGTTCACCTGTGGGAGGGGTTCACCTGTGGGAGGGGTTCACCGATGGGAGGGGCTCACCTGGGGGAGGGGTTCACCTGAGGGAGGGGCTCACCTGGGGGAGGGGTTCACCTGGGGGAGGGGTTCACCTGTGGGAGGGGTTCACCGATGGGAGGGGCTCACCTGGGGGAGGGGTTCACCTGAGGGAGGGGCTCACCTGGGGGAGGGGCTCACCTGGGGGAGGGGCTCACCTGGGGGAGGGGTTCACCTGTGAGAGGGTTTCACCTGTGGGAGGGGTTCACCTGTGAGAGGGGTTCACCGATGGGAGGGGCTCACCTGTGGGAGGGGTTCACCTGTGGGAAGGGTTCACCTGTGGGAGGGGTTCACCTGGGGGAGGGGTTCACCTGTGGGAGGGGTTCACCTGTGGGAGGGGTTCACCGATGGGAGGGGCTCACCTGGGGGAGGGGTTCACCTGAGGGAGGGGCTCACCTGGGGGAGGGGTTCACCTGGGGGAGGGGTTCACCTGTGGGAGGGGTTCACCGATGGGAGGGGCTCACCTGGGGGAGGGGTTCACCTGAGGGAGGGGCTCACCTGGGGGAGGGGCTCACCTGGGGGAGGGGCTCACCTGGGGGAGGGGTTCACCTGTGAGAGGGTTTCACCTGTGGGAGGGGTTCACCTGTGAGAGGGGTTCATGGCGAGCTTCGAATGCGTGTACAGCAGCAGAGCCTGCCGTATGGCATCTAGCCGCGTCAGCGATGCTGCTGCTGCTGCTGCTGCTGCTGCTGACGATGATGCTGCTGCTGCTCCTGTTGCTCCCCCTGCCGCTCCTCCTGTTTCCGGTGCGTATTGTGCGCTTGATACCCCTCCGGCCCCCTCTCCTCCGGCCCCATCCCCGCCTGTAGCGGCTGCAGCGCTGCTGGATGACTTTAACTCGCGCGCCGCCTCTATGTCGGTGTCTATGCAGAAGACTATGTCCTCTGGGACAGCCGTTGCTAGTCTCCGCGCATCGAAAATGGCTGGCTGTGACGCCGATTGCGTCGCTGGTTGTAACCCGGGATGGAACGCGGAAAGTAATCCTGGTTGTACCACTCCTGGATGCGACATTCTTGGTTGTAACGCGTGGCTTGGTGAAAGTTCGCCCAAGTAACGCACCTGATTCTGGTTGTTAGCAAGCTCGTAACGGTCACGCGTGCATAGATTGAGGCAGTGAAAGCGAGAGAGATTAAAAGAGACACCGATGTGATATACTTGTACAGCTGGAGAGGATAAAGTCGCAGACAGATTCGTAGAGGATTATACAGTATTCTGGTTGTTTCTGATTCGTACAGTATTATCCTCGAAATTGCTCTTGATAAAGAGAGACTACGCCGAATTTCTGACCGTCGTGTGTCTTGCGAGATGTTCGGAGGAGACGAGATCAGGCTCTCACCGCGTTGGTCCTAAAACGGAAGGACACGGAGATGTATGTGTGAGACGCAGTGTCTCCTAAACTCGTGGAAGAAACCATGTACAGTACAGAACTGCAATGAATAAAATCCCGACTCGCTGTTTGCACATCGCGTTTGTTTGAAAGTACAGTTGGTCGAGGCTCATCACTTATGTGATAGCTACTGTATACAGTTTACAGAATTCAGAAGAGTATAGTGCTCCCCGCTAAACAGCTATCCAGTCAGTTGAAGATATTTCCACCCTTCTCCAATCGGAGGTTCCCGTAGCGCGAGCGCAAGCGGGCAGTCGAGCATCGACCAATCGAAACCCCTGGTGTTATCGCTGACAGGTCAACAATCTCATCAAATGGGTGACAGCGTGGCGCATCCATGTCACGCCTGTCCCTGTCACTCGATGATTTTCCGACTTTTCGCCTCCTTTTGCTCCCGTCACAGCTTCCCTCGAGATCACCTTGTCATGTCATCACAACCTTTCCTTGTCATCTTCACGCGCAACCGCTACCACCAATAGAGTTGAAGCAAAACCAAACCCTCTCTCACATGAAGCGTTTACGACAGCGGATTTCGGCTAGTTTCTCATATCCCTGTTGGGGTTTCCACAGAGCATCACGATTCACGACCAGCATAAATTGTCGTGAACCTGTTTTCTGGTCGGAGTTGCATCTCAAATCGCAATGTTGTTTCATGACATCTCTAAACGAGTCTTACCTTAAACACCCCTTACCAATCTCCATCGATTTGGATTTGCCTGATCCAGCTATGCCTCCACAAATCTCGAGGCATATGGAACTCCCTAGGCCTGCTGCTTGCAGCCTCAACAATAAGGTGGTGTGTGGGCTGGGCGAAAATACATTTTCCGTTTCCATCCTAGTTCGGCTGCTACCTTTTTGCTGCTGCTTCCTCCCAGGTGCTGGTACTCTTGCTGGTTCTCTTGCAGGTGCTGCTACGCCTGACTCTCCAGCTGCATCTTCTGCGTTAAAACTACCCAGCATCCCTCAGCTCCTCTCTTACTAGCAGCTCCAGGAAATGGCAGCAGCTCTTGCTGACGTCACCATGCAGGCAGCAGCCTTCGCTTCGCTGCCGGCTCGCACGGCCGCGGCTACCGCCACCGCCAGGCCCCTGGTTTCCAGTTTCGCAGGGATGTCGCTGGCGACAAAGGCGTCGCGCAAGGCCGTCGCACGTCGCGCAGTGGCGATTCGGTGCGACGGTGACGGATCAGCTGCGACAGCGACTGCGACCGAGGCTGACGCGATTCCCATTGAACGATGTGAGTCACGGCTGCCTTGCTATCCGTACGTTGCACGACTTGTCGCGCCTTTCCGTGCTTGCCCTCCGCTCCCCTCTCTCTCCTCCCCCCCCTCTCTCCTCCCCCCCCTCTCTCCTCCCCCCCCTCTCTCCTCCCCCCCCTCTCTTCCTTCCCTCCCTCATTTCTTCCCTCGCTTCCCCTCTCCCTCCCCCTGTCGTTAGTTACATCCACGCATTTCAGGCCAACCCCTGCCTTTACATATATCAACTGTCCGTGACGCCCTTCCAGTTTCCTATCTCTCAGAAGTCTCTACCAACCCCTGTCTTTTCTTGTCTTTCCGCAGCGTTCACCAACGCCCCTGCCGTCTTGGATATCAACAAGATCAAGGAGCTCCTGCCGCACAGGTGAGCCCTCCCTGCCGCACAGGTGAGCACTATGTGTCCCTCGCCCTGAGACACCTAGAGAACAGATGCACCTGCCGTCTTGGACATCAACAAGATCAAGGAGCTCCTGCCGCACAGGTGAGCCCTCCCTGCCGCACAGGTGAGGCCTACATGTCCCTCTTATCGTTGAGGAGTTTCCGAGACACCTACAGAACAGATGCACCTGCCGTCTTGGACATCAACAAGATCAAGGAGCTCCTGCCGCACAGGTGAGTCCTAGATGCCGCACAGATGAGTCCTAAATGCCGCACAGATGAGCCCTAGATGCCGCACAGGTGAGCCGTAGATGCTGCACAGGAGAGCCGTAGATGCCGCACAGGTGAGCCGTAGATGCCGCACAGGTGAGCCGTAGATGCCGCACAGGTGAGCCGTAGATGCCGCACAGGTGAGCCCTAGATGTCGCACAGGTGAGCCCTAGATGCCGCACAGGTGAGCCCTAGATGCCGCACAGGTGAGCCCTAGATGCCGCACAGGTGAGTCCTAGATGCCGCACAGGTGAGCCCTAGATGCCGCACAGATGAGCCCTAGAGCAGACGTCTCTGCCGTCGTGGACATGAGTTGTCGGAATGGTGAGCGAAGGGTGTTTGAATCATACCTGTATGCAAACATTCGAAATCGTGCCTGTACCTTTCCCTTCGTCTCTTGTCCCTCTCCAGATACCCCTTCCTACTGGTGGACCGTGTCATCGAGTACCAGCCAGGCGTGACAGCCTTGGGCATCAAGAACGTCGGCGTTTCCTAAAACCTGCCCCCTTTCTTTTCCTATCCCTTCCCTTGCCCCTGTGCCTCTCCAGATATCCCTTCCTCCTGGTCGACCGCGTCATCGAGTACCAGCCGGGCGTCACGGCGGTCGGCATCAAGAACGTGACGGTCAACGACAACTTCTTCCCCGGCCACTTCCCCGAGCGCCCCATCATGCCGGGCGTGCTCATGGTCGAGGTACGCCGGCTCAAAGCCCCTCTTGGATCGGCCGCTCTTGGATCGGCCCCTCATGGGTCAGCACTCCTTAGACTGCTACCTGCCCTCCTCGATCTCCCTCTACTTCTTCCCCGGCCACTTCCCCGATCGGCCCATCATGCCGGGCGTGCTCATGGTCCAGGTACGCCTTGAAGCTTCTTACCATCTACCGCCCATTAACCGCCTGCTCCCCTTCCTCCCCCGCCCCCACCCCCACCCCCCCTCTCTCTATTCGTCAACTTTTTCTCCAGTCGTTTCCGCGTGCGGCCCATCATGCCGTGCCTGCTCATGGTCGGGTTGCGTGCTCTTGTGATCACTGTCACCTTCCCCCTACTCTTCAACTCCTGCCCTTATTCTCCCTCTTCTCGTTCGGCACTCTTCTCTCCCCCTCATTTCCAGGCCATGGCTCAGCTGGGCGGCGTTGTGATGCTTTTGAGGCGCCTCAAAAGCACTCTCAGTCTTGAGGCGCCTCAAGAGCACTCTCAGCTGGGCGGCGTTGTGATGCTTTTGAGGCGCCTCAAAAGCACTTTCAGTTTTGAGGCACCTCATAAGCACTCTCAGCAGGGCGGCGTTGTGATGCTCACTGACGACTGACGCTCAGCACTAGTCGAGACCCCGCCCTCACCCTTCATTCCCCCCCGTCTCCCCCGCCCTCACCCTTCATTCCCCCCCGTCTCCCCCGCTCCCCCCCCTGCCCCCACCCACCCCCGCCCCCTCGTCTCCTGTAATGCAGGCCATGGCTCAGCTGGGCGGCATTGTGATGCTCACTGACGACTGACGCTCAGCCCCTGTCGAAACCCCATCGCAACTCTTCACCCTTCATTCCCCCGCTTTCCCCCCCCCGTCCCCCCCCGTTCCCCCCCGTTCCCCCCGTCCCCCCGCGTCCGCCCTTTTCCTCCAGGCCATGGCTCAGCTGGGCGGCATCGTGATGCTCACTGACGACTTTGGCGGCAAGAGAGACGCGTTCTTCTTTGCTGGCGTCGATGGGGTGAGTGTCAACTGTGGGGAAACAGGGACACGGGTGCGTGAACAACGCGAGGAATAGCTCTTGCCACCCTGTTTGGAAAAGCTCTTATCATGCGCGTGACTCTACCAAGTACCAGAAGCGGCTGACATTCACACAGCCCTGGCCCTCCTCACCTCATAAGGCCCCTACCGGTCTTCCGTGCTCCCCAACTCCCTCCCCCCGCACGTGCGCTGGCGCAAGCCAGTGGTTGCCGGAGACACTCTGCTCTTGCACACGACTCCCCTGTCTTTTTACCAGAGGCGGTTCAATTGAGTCCCAACGTTTCCCCTGTCCCCGTCCGCCCTCTCTCTCTCTCTCTTTCTGTTGTCAGGTGCGCTGGCGCAAGCCCGTGGTACCTGGTGACACTCTGGTGATCCGGATGACGTGCACCAAGTACCAGAAGTGGCTCAAAGTTAAACAACCCTTGTCTCTCCCCCCTTATTCCCATCTCCCTCCGCCTGCAGGTCCGCTGGCGCAAGCCAGTGGTTCCTGGAGACACCCTGGTGATGCGCATGACGCTCACCAAGTACCAGAAGCGGTTTGGCATTGCCAAGCTGGCAGGGAAGGCGTACGTGGGCAACGACCTCGTGTGCGAGGGCGAGTTTATGCTCGCTCTTGGTAGCTAAACTTTTTGCGCCATAGGTGAAAAAAAACAAGAATTTTGGCACTCTAGAACCTTACCATAGGTGCTCTTTATTCTGAAATCTCGTGTTTCGGTTCAAGGAGAGTCAACAGCAGCTCAGATGCACTTGAGGATACCATACCTATAGTAGGAATTCTTTTTACTCAGTCATACTGTGTTAATGGACTGTGAAAGCACCAGCTCTTGACCAGAAGCCTTGACGAGTGAGACTATGAGGTGGATAGAAAGTACGAGGGGAGACACAAGTTGTGTGTTGTTCTCGTCAAGAGCTGATCTAGCTAGGTTAACAGGAACAAACATGACTATACTATCCAGTATAGATGTGTAGTCAATATGTTTATTGACATGACGTTGCAGTTGTTTATCCAACACACCATATGTCAATACGTGGCAAAAGTAGAAGAGGGAAAAACACTTCCTACTGAACTCAAATATTACCTTGCTGGTACCACCATTTCGTATGGTTCCTCCTCTGCTTGAAATTTGCATCATTATAAGAGCCTCAGCCAGTACGCATGCTGAAGAGGGCTATTTTAGCCGATGGCTTAAATATCGCCAAACATACTGGTAGAGTTGCTTAGCCAAGCGACTTGGGGTGCATCTAAAGGAGGATATGCCCCAGCAGCAGTGCTTTGAGGCTCCTCAAGAATTTCTATGGCCCAGCAGCAGAACCTGCTCCCTCCTCCTTGTCGCTCCCTCGTCGCCATCCTCTTCATCCCCATCCGCACGCTCAAACTGCCCCCGATCCCTCGGGTAACACCTGCCCCCCACCACCAAACTATGACCCAGCAGCAGCACCTGCTCCCTCCTCCTCCTCTCCTTCGTCCTCCTCATCCGCATCTTCAAACTGCCCCGGATCTCCCTCAGGTAACACCTGTCGAATAGCAACACCAAGTGGGAAAAGAATGAAGACAAGCGCAGTGTAAATGCACTGAGCCAAGGCGCGCATGCACTACACAAGAATGACTAGGCAAGCATAATGCAAGAATAATTTATGCAAAAAAACGCAAAAACAGCTTCCTGTCACTCCTTCCGCTCTTTCTTCTCTCGCTCTTGCTTTCTCTCTCACTCTCCCTCTCTCGCTCCTCTCCCCCCCCAACTCACTATCCGTGCATTGCGCAACACTTCATCCTCGTTATAGAACCACTCGCCCTCCCCCTCTTGCTCCGCTGCAGGGAAGACCACACGTCAAGAGCAGAATGGAGAGTATCATGATAAAACCGGACTCACGCACATTGGGAAAGAAAGACGCAGGTATGGAGTCAATTTTTGAGGCGCCTCAAAGAAAGAAAGACGCAGGTATGAAACTGACTCAGGCCTCAAATCACAACACAGAACGTGATTTGCACACTAAAAAAACTTACTACAGACATGGGGAAACGTAATTTATACACTCAACTTCAGTAGGAACCATTTCAATTTAGGCACCTCAAGGGCAAGAGCTTGCAAGCACCTACAGGCAAGACCTTGCAAACACTTACAGGCAAGACCTTGCAAGCACCTACAGGCAAGACCTTGCAAACACTTACTGGCAGAACTGGCAAACACTGAAGAGCAAGCCCTTGCAAGCCAACACTTCAATGCATTTCAAGCCTGAACTCACCTCCCTCTGAACTCACCTCCCTCTGAGCTAGCCTCCCTCTGAACTCACCTCCCTCTGAACTCACCTCCCTCTGAACTCACCTCCCTCTGAACTCACCGCCCTCTGAACTCACCTCCCTCTGGGTCGGGATTCAGCGCAGCACTGTCACACAGAGCCTTGAAAATCGCCTCCACTGCTCAGAGAACGAAGTTTGGCCCGGTAAGGGGGGGTGAGGGAGTGGGGGGGGGAGGGGGAGAAGAGGCACTTAGAGCAGCACTGTCACACAGAGCCTTGAAAATGGCCTCCACTGCTCAGAGAACGATGTTTGGGGCGGTAAGAGAGATAAGGAAGGGAGGCGGGGTAGGGACGAAGGCGAGAAGGAGAGGAGAGAAGGAGAGGGGAGAAGGAGAGGAGAGAAGGAGAGGGGAGAAGGAGAGGAGAGAAGGAGAGGAGAGAAGGAGAGGAGAGAAGGAGAGGTGAGAAGGAGAGGAGAGAAGGAGAGGAGAGGAGGAGAGGAGAGAAGGAGAGGAGAGAAGGAGAGGGGAGAAGGAGAATAGAGAAGGAGAGGCGAGAAGGAGAGGAGAGAAGGAGAGGAGAGAAGGAGAGGAGAGAAGGAGAGAAGAGAAGGAGAGGAGAGAAGGAGAGGAGAGAAGGAGTAGAGATAAGGAGAGGAGAGAAGGAGAGGAGAGAAGGAGAGGAGATAAGGAGAGGAGAGAAGGAGAGGAGATAAGGAGAGGGAGGAATCTGGTGTAGCTGTCACAGAGAGTGTTGAAAATGGCCGCCATTGCTCAGAAAATGGAGGGGTGGTAAGCGAAAGAAGGAAGGGAGGAGCAGAAGGGACAAAGGGGAGAAGAGAGGAGAGGGGTTGAGTGCAGCACTGTCACACAAAGCCCTGGACCCCAAAATTGGTACAGAAACGACCGCAGCAGAAAGGACATGCCCAGATTGAAGGGGGCAAGGGGTAAAACGGCGCGGGAGGAGGAGGGGGGAGGGGGGAAGGGGAAATGGCATTAAGTTCGGGGCCCCTCTAGCTGAATTGAAGATTGAAGGAAGAGGAAGGTTTTTGGATAGAGCAGGAAGGACAGGGAGAGAAGGGGCTAAATACAAGCAGCTTCATCTCTGGGCACAAGCCTCATCGCCGTCTATCTCTCATGGCCTACGGCAGGAGCAGCCGCAGAAGCAGCCGCAGAAGCAGCCGCAGAAGCAGCCGCAGAAGCAGCAGCAGCAGCAACAGCAGCAGCAGCAGCAGCAAGGGAGGTGGAAAAACCACTTACAAGGTGCTCCGTCTCTGGGCACAAGCCTCATCTCAGGCACAAGCAGGAAGAAACGGGATAGGGGGCCACAAAAAATGACAAAAGAGGGAGTGATGCTTACAAGCCGCTTCGTCTCTTGGCACGAGCCGCATCTCAGACACAAGCGACAGATGCTCGAAGACGTGTGCCACATTCCCATTCCCCACAGCAGCAGCCGCAGCACCACCACTACCACCAGCAGCACCACCAGTACCAGCAGAAGCAGCAGCGGGCGCATCGCTTCCCACTGCCTCCCCTTCCGCCTCCCTCATCTCTTCGTCCTCCTCGCCCTCTCTTCTCCCTCCCGCCCCTCCTCCCGAACCACCTACGTGGTTTGCCTGCTCTGCTGCCCCTGCTCCCCCTTCCCCCTCTTCTTCTCCTTCCTCTTCCTCTTCCTCTTCCTCGTCCTCCTCCTCGTCTTCCCAATCGCCACTGTCCACCTGAAGGGAAAAGCGAGTGGGGGAGGGATGAGGGATGAAGAACAGAAGCAATCTTATCCTCCTCCTCGTCCTCGTCCTCCTCCTCGTCTATCACCACTGTCAACCTGAAGGGAAAAGGGAGGGATGAGGGCGAATGAATGCACGAATGCAGGGTTCAGGGTTTAAACAAAATATATGTCTTGGTATCCGGGTTCTCCCAATATCATGCTCCAGTGTACAACTGATGTATTTCGTACAGAACAGAACTGTCGTGTTGAGTGGCGAGAAGAAGAGAAGAAGAGAAGAAGAGAAGAGAAGAAGGGTGAGCCTCACAGCTGCGACTCAAGACGACGTTTTGTATTTCGCACAAAACGCGAAAACAGGAGTGAGCCTCACAGCTGCGTGTAGATACAGGGTTTAGGGTTAGAATGTCAAAGTTTGGGTTTCGGGGTTCAGGTCAGGGTTTAGGGACGGGATGCACCGCAGCTGTATTTTGAGTCGACTCAAAATACAACTGGTTTCAGGTCAGGGTTTAGGGACGGGATGCACCACAGCTCCTTAACGCACTGCGAGCGGGGCGGTTGGGGTTTGGGTTCGCTTCGAGGTCCCTCGATAGAAATGGCTACCAGCCTAGGCCCATGCTCAGGTCAGACCTACTAGGTTACTGGCTAGCTTTGAAGGATGAGTGAGAGTAAATGCCAGACTGATAAGGGATGAGGGATGAGGGATGAGGGTAAATTCACCACAACTGACAGCGATCTCTAACTAACCTGAGTGTAGATGCAGGGCTTGGAGTATGCTTTGAGGTATTTTTGAAAATTCTACAACATGAGGGATATGGCGTGCATGCTCAGATCGACTAGATCGACTGACCGCGCGCTCTAAGTCTAACCAACCTGAGTGTGCATTCAAGTCTACAAGGCTGGCCAAAGATCAGATGGATCAGATGGGCCGCGATACAATCATATTTTGAGTTTTGAGGCGCCTCAATACTTGAGTCGACTCAAAATACATTAAGTCTACAAGGCTGACCGAAGATCAGATGGACCAGATGGTCCGCGATACAATCATTCTCACTAACCTGCGTGTAGTGTAGACGCCCTGCCTGGGGTGATTTTCGAGTCGACTCAAATAGAGTTTTTTTAGCCGACCCAAAAATCACCTGTAGTGTAGACGCCCTGCCTGGGATTTGCATCCAGATCACTGGATATGGCGTGCATGCTCAGATCCACAAGATCGACTGGCACTTAATGTACCCATATAATGATAATCACGAACCTGCGTGTAGATGCAGGGCTTGGGGTATGCATCGAGGTCTCTGGATATGGCGTGCATGCTCAGGTCTACTAGGCTGACCGCCACGCCGCGAGGGGTCAGCGAGGACTGCCACACCACACGCCTGAGAGGACAAGGAAAAAGGGGAAGGATGGGGAATCAGATAATAGTTAGCAGGGCGTTTTTGAGAGTTTTGAGGCGCCTCAAAACTAAAGTTAGCAGGGTGTTTTTGAGAGTTCGCACAAACAGGAAGCTCTCCTCACCTGGATCTAGGAAAGAGGAAAAAAAGGGGGAAGGGTGGGGGATAAGAGCAGGTTGGTTTTGGCATCCCCCAGGTCTACTTTTGAGGCGCCTCAAAAAGGGTGGGGGATAAGAGCAGGTTGGTTTTGGCATCCCCCGGGTCTACTAGGCTGACCGCCATGCCGTGAGGGGTCAGGGAGGACTGCCACACGACAAAAAACGAGACGCCTGGGGATTCAGGCAAGTAAGGAGGGCTGGGACAAAAAAAGGAGAGGAAATGTGGTTGGAAGACATGGAAAGAACGAGTGATAGAATGAAGAATACAAACAATTAAAACGCGAATATTAAATCATTCGAACGAATATCGGTTAGGTTAATCAGCAATCTCACTTGGATGTGATGTATAAGCTCCCTGATTCGTCCACGTCAGACTCGCCAAGGACCAATCCCACGTCGGGCTGGGAATGCAGAAGAACCTCCCCCGGTTCGCCCTCCTCCCCGGGCTCCAGCACCGGACCACCGTCCGATGCCCGCTGATCAACGGCGGTCAATCCGCCCATTGCGAGAATTTGACGGCCGGTTAAAAATCGGATCAAATGAGTTGAAACACAGCGAAGCGCCTCAAATAACAGAAAAGAAGCTATCAGTCCAGTCCTTTGCCCTCGATCCTCAAAAGTGGTGACTCGTTCCGCGCTGCGCTCTAAAAAAGCTATCAGTCCAGTACTAGGCTTCAATTCTTGAGGCGCCTCGAGATTAACGACACGTGAAGCAGCGATCAATCCAGTACTAGGCTTCGCAGCGCGCGTAACTAACGCGTCTGACTACAGCTGAGCGGGAAGGAGTGGAAATAAGGTCCCGTGTCGTTACCAGACTACGATCGACCAGGCCTCTATCAATTTCGGAACGCTGATCGCGCGATGGCGAGAATGGTTGCGAGGACGGTGTGCCTGCTTGCTATTGATTTCGGAACCTGTCTCAAGATTACCGATCTCCTCAACAAAAACGATTGACTTAGTGCGTATTCCTGCGGCGCGGACTCCTCTGCATAGTTCAGATCATTTCTGGACACGAAAAGACTACGCTTTCTCGAGTCGCGGCAATTTCAGGGTTTGGGGTTGAAAAGCCACAAGCCTGAAGAAGATGTCAACAGCTCTCAAATCGACATAATATCGACAAAATAATGGAATATGAAACGTACATTGTACTGTAGCTGAGTTTGAATCGAATATTTCTCGTCCAGAAATACGCAATAGGTTTGTCTAACATACAAGTACAAATACGCCTCTAGGTTTGTACTTGCACTGTAAAACCTGTTTCAGCCAATCTTCGGACCCGCGGATTAGGCGATCCGCCTAGGCGCGCACTTCAATGCACAGCCCACCTGAACTCATCACCCCTCCCGTTTCTCGACCTGCCGACCTAACCGGCTCTTTGGACTGCTGGCCGTCCGAGTGCTGCCGGCCTTCCGGTACCTGCCGGTAGCAATTCCCGTGAACGTCTACACTCAGTATCGGCTCGCTATATTCTCATCTGCCATAGCGAGCCATGTTCCGTAGATTACGGGCTCTATGGAGCCCTGCACGAAACGCGTCCAAGTCCACGTCAGCCATGTCTCCTGCTGACGTGTACGAGGGCTTGTGGTCCCCCCGTTTGCCGATGCCGACACGTGTCTCTCGCATGCTTTTCGACCGGTTATTGCGGTTCGCGCCTCCGGAGCCGCTGCTGCCGATTCTTATAGCGAATGCCGCGGGATTCTATACGGGTATCACACTCGCTGCAATCACGGAACAAAGATACAAGGTGAGAAAAGAAATAACACTGTTTCCGCATGTCTTTTCCCTTCCCATTTCCCCTCCCCAGCTCTCCGCCCTCCCCCTCCCCCCAGCCCCCCCACCCCTCCCCGCGCCCCCTCCCCCGTCCCTCCGCCCCTTCCCCCCTCCTCCCTCCTTTTGAAAGGCTTTCTTCCCTCTACTTTTGTGGCGCCTCAACGATCTGTTTTTAAGTCGTTTCCTTTCCTCTTGGAAGGCGTTAAGTACCTTTATCTGGGTTTCTCCACTAAGCTTTTCCCTGCCCCCATGGATACGTGAGGAGTCTATTTTTGAGGCGCCTCAAAAAAAGGTTTTTCCCTGTCCCCATGGATACACGCGAATTCTCTCATTGTATAATCCGTGTGTAATGAGTCGATTTTTGAGTCGACTCAAAAATCGACTCATTACGCACGGATTATACAATGATAGAATCCACTAAGCTTTTCCCTGCCCCCACGGATGCACACTCTGTTTCCGGGAGGGTTTAGAAGAATGCCTTAAATCCTCGGGCATCGTCATTGTGCGTATCCGTACCCGTGTGACAAGGCTTTTTACCAGTATTTGTTGGTGTAAAGTTGTAAGAGATTCTGCCGATTAGGTTTCTTTTGCAGGAGGCATATTGGGAGCACTCAGGAGAAGCCGCCGCTCTAGTGCCGCCATCTTCCCTCTGATGCGTTCGCTCTTTGACTTTGAGGGAAGACTGCACTAACTCAAAGACCGGTCTCCAGTTGTTACCTTACCAGTTGTTCCCATTGTTCTCACCCTCCCTTCCAGGAGGCGTCTATTTTTGAGGCGCCTAAAAAATGTACTCTTCCCATTGTCCTCACCCTCCTTTCCAGGAGGCGTATTGGGAGGAGCACCCTGGGGAAGCCATGCCTTCAAAGCGGTCGTCCCTGTATTTCAGCAAGTACAGAAATACGAAGGGAAAATCACAGCGACGAGGGGGAGGCGCCTCAAAAGTATTTCTGAGGCACCTCAAAAGTATTTCCCGATCTTCTCTATAATGCGCCTTTCCTGCTCTTCCCTGCTGTTGTCTTGGCCCCCCACCTTCCAGGAAGCTTACTGGGAGGAGCATCCAGGGGAGGCCGTGCCTCTGATGCGGTCGTCCTTGTATTTCGGCAAGTACAGAATACGAAGAGAGGACTTCAGTGAGGAGGGGGAGGCAGGCACTGGTGCAGGCGGTGCTGGTGCTGCTGGTGCTTCTGGTGCTTCTGGTGCTGCTGGTGGTGGAAGCAGCAGCAGTGGCAGTGGGAGCAGCAGATGACACCGGCAGTGGTGAGATTCGAGAGAGGGAGGCCGTGCCTCTGATGCGGTCGTCCCTGTGTTTCGGCAAGTACAGAATACGAAGGGAGGTCTTCAGTGAGGAGGGGGAGGCTGGTCCTGGGGCGGGTGGTGCTGGGGGGGGGTGGTGCTGGGGCGGGTAGTGCTGGTGCGGGTGCAGGTGGTGCTGGTGGTGCTGGTGGGAGCAGCAGATGACACCGGCAGTGGTGAGATTCGAGAGAGGGAGGCCGTGCCTCTGATGCGGCCGTCCCCCTCTCAGAGGCACCGCCTCGTATTCTGTGTTTTGGCTTTGAGAATTCTCAAAAACATAAGTACAGAATGCGAAGGGAGGGTTTCAGTGAGGAGGGGGAGGCAGGCACTGGGGCGGGTGGTGCTGGTGGTGGCGTTGCTGGTGCTGGTGGTGCTGGTGGTGCTGGTGGCACTGGCACTGGCAGTGGTTCTGATGGTGAAAAGGGCAGCAGCAGCAGCAGCAGCAGCAGCAGCAGCAGCAGTGGTGACAACAGATAACAGCAGTACCCCTGCTGCTGTGGCAGGGGCTCTGCAGTGGTAGCAGCAATGACAATTCGCTGGGGTGGCAGTAGCGCTGTTGCTATTGTGCAGAGAGTGCAGCAGCGCTGTTGTTATTGGGGTGGAGACTGCACTCTCCACCCCAATAACAGCGCTGCTGCACTCTCTGCACAATAGCAACAGCACTACTGCCAAAGGCCATGCCAGGAGGTGATTGCTCCTTACTAGTCATTCCAAACCAACAGACAGTGACTTCTTCAGTAACACAGTACTGTTGACTGCATTACTGTCCCTGAAGCCACTGAAACACTGTACCCATTTTTCGTGGATGGACATCTGGACCAGCAACAGGGGGCTCTATAGTGAGAATAAACGGTGTACATGTGTTACTGTACTCTACACCCAATGCTCTGTATAGCATGCCTCGTTACACATTAGGGTTACTTAGGGGCTGCATTTCTCGCTATTTTGCAGAGCTTGGCCATCAAGCCAGACAGTTGCAACACCGACCCCACTCCGTCTGCTATTCTCATGTGGCAAAACCCAACCTCCTGCAGCAAGGGGCAAGAAGGAAAGGACGAGACGAATAGAAGACACTTTGAATTTGAAAGCAGGGGGAGAAGAGGGTGGATGGAAGAGGAGGGCAGGAGAGGAGGGAGGGGTGAGAAAGCAGAGACGTGGCACATGTGTCCACTCCATTGGTGAGTCTGAGTCAACTCAAAAGTCACCTAGAGGAGGGAGGGGTGAGAAAGCAGAGACGTGGCACATGTGTCCATTCGTGATTTTTGAGTCGACTAAAAAATCAGTCCATTCCTTCATTCCCAAGTGTGACAGAAATGGAAAAGAGGGTGGGAGAGGAGAGGACGGCAGGAGAGGAGGGTGGGAGAGGAGAGGACGGCAGGAGAGGAGGGGGGGGGGGCGAGAAAGCAGCAGGCAGGGGAGACACATGGATACGGTAGTAGCATACACGAGAGAAGGGCTAGTGGTATTGGAATTGGAAAATGGTGACCTGGCGTACTATTCAACGGCAGTAACCTTATGCCAAAGAGTATGCTTCTGATCCGAGCCATGTGTGATGAGTCGATTTTTGAGTCGACTAAAAAAACGACTCATTACACACGAATAGTGTGCTCCTGATCCGAGCCAGCCGCTCTAAATCCTCTGAACACCCTGCTTGAGGAGTCTATTTTTGAGGCGCCTCAAACGTAACCTTATGCCAGATAGTGTGCTTCTGATCCGAGCCAGCCACTCAAACTCTGACCACCCTGCTCTTGAAGTATCGTTCTCTGGAAGCATGCTTCCAAGGGCGATCTGATGTAGTTCTGAAGAGCGTGGTGATGACGCCAGACACAGCATAGCCCAGCGCAAACAGCAAGCACCCCCTTTATCCACCCTAATGACACTTGGAATGCGGAATTCCGCAACCATCTCCCCTCTCCCCTCCCCTCCCCCCCTTCCCCCCCTGGGCCCCTTCACCAGAAGAACTTGACTCACCCGGATAAACTCCAGCTTCAAGAACTCGGGCATGTCGTAGTTCTTGACGATTCTGAAGAGCGTGGTGATGATGTCCGACGCAGCATAGCCCAGCGCAACGAGCAGGCACCCCCTCCATCCATCCTACTCACCCTCGGATGTCGGGATTCCGCAACCATCTCCCTTCTCCCCTCCCCTCCCCCCGCCCCTCCCTGTGCCCCTTTGCCAGAAGACCTTGACTCACCCTGATAAACTCGAGCTTAAAAAACTCGGGCATGTCCTAGTTCTTGACGATTCTGAAGACCGTGGTGATGATGTCCGACGCAGCATAGCCCAGCGCAAACACCTACAGTCCCATCTGCGCAACCTACCGACTCCCTGGCAATGCCAAAAACGAGGCCTCTTCTCACCCGTATAAACTCCAGCTTCAAAAACTCGGGCATGTCGTAGTTCTTGACGATTCTGAAGAGCGTGGTGATGATGTCCGACGCAGCATAGCCCAGCGCAAAGAGATCCCGGATGCCGTCACAGGCCGTGTCAATGTCGCCTGCGAGACATGCCTTGACTGTCGCTGCCACCTTTAACGGGTGAGGCTGGTCGCACACCTGTTGCGGAAGGGATAAGGGAGAATGGCAAGGGGTATAGAGGGGAACAGCACAGGGCAGATGGGAGGAAGACAGCGGGATTCGGGTCACACATAGCTGATAGCCCAGCGCAAAGAGACCCCTGGATGCCGTCGCATGCCGTGCTGATAGTCTTCGGCAAGGCATGCCTTGACTGTCGCTGCCACCTTCAATGAGTGTGGCTGGTCACAAACCTGAAGGCAAGGGAGGGATATGGGGCAGGCGCGAGGGATATAGGATGAAAAGGAGAGAACTTTTGAGTCGACTCAAAAGGAAAGGGAGGGATATGGGCAGCCGCGAGGGGTAAAGGGTGAAAAGGAGAGGGTGTATAACTGTGGTGACTTTTGAGTCGACTCAAAAATCACCTTGAGTCGACTCAAAAATCACCTTGAGTCGACTCAAAAATCACCTTGAGTCGACTCAAAAATCACCTTGAGTCGACTCAAAAAATCACTATAGGGTGAAAAGGAGAGGGTGTAGAACTGTCATGCCCTCACTGTTGCAAGCCAAGGCTGCAGCCCAATTTCGATATAAGGTCCCTTAGGGGGGGCGACATTGGGCTCGAGCGGAACCAAATCCCGAGCCTGCGGCTCAATGTCGCACTGAAATGCCGAAATTTCTCACGAATTGGGACACGACATTGAGCCGCGCTCAAGCGTAAACAGTACCCAGACAAACTTCGCTCAGGAAAAGGCGAACGTGAACAGTGAGTGACGAAGCACACAGGCGAACGAATCGGCGCACGAAAAAAAAACAAAAACAAAAACAAAAACAAAAACACCCCCTGTGTCGCCAAACGCTGCTTCACCCCACTGCAGCTGAACATTGGTTTCCCCATTTTGTCGTTGGGTTACTCTGCATGTTTCGTTTTGTGCTGTTTGGTTGGTCGCGAATTTACAGTTTTCGCAACACTACACTGTAACACGTCCCTTGTCCAGGCTCGAGCCGGCGGCTTGTCCCGTCGATTTCGCACATTGAGCTCGCGGGCTGAGCGGGCGTCACATTGAGCCAAATGTCGGCCCCCCTTACAGATACAGCCACCTTCCTACGCATACAGTCACAAACACGCACCCGGAAGACGTTATCAGCGTTGACCAGCCCGAAGCCAGTGGCAGTGGCTTGAAGGTTGTTGAGCCCCTGCCTCATGTCCCCATCCGCTGTGAAGACAATGGCCTCCAACCCCTCTGGTACGTACGCCACCTGATGCAGTCACATGGGAATATGGCAGGACATGATACAGTCACGTCGGGATATAGGCAGGTAACTAGAGATACATTCCTTGCACGAGGCAGGGTCTCTTATGGTGTTTGTTGCAGTAATTAACATAATGGCCTCCAATTCCTCCGGTATATACGCCACCTGAGGGCAAAATCCTGCTTCATGTCATCCGACATTTGCCCGTGCGCCAGCTTCGGCCGAGCCTAACTCACAGGCAGGTTCTGATGACATTCGTGGGTGACACGATGCAGGAATTTGCCCTGATAGGTGATTTTTGAGTCGACTCGAAAATCACCTACAGGAATTTGCCCTGATAGTATCACACGCGATAAGGGCAGAGGGGGGAGATTTTTTAGGCGCCTCAAAAATCACACGCGAAAAGGGCAGAGGGGGGAGAGAATGAGAGCAGTTGAAATGCAACCAATCCAACACCCCCCGGGTCGTCGTCACTCATGGTACTGCCTTTGAGGCGTCTCAAAAGCCGATCCAACATCCCCCCTCACCCACCTTCTCCTCTTGCACCACAAGCAAGAGCCTCGTCAGCACTCGAGTGCCGGTGAGCCAGGGGAATGAAGGAAAGAACGGGGGCAGGGGGGAGACAGAAAAGACACGACAGACAACTGTTCCACGTATCGAAACTCACCTTCTCCTCTTGCACCACCAGTATCAGCCTGGCCAGCACTTGAGTGTGGGTGAGCCGGGAGAATGGGGGAGAGAACAGGAGGTTGGACAGAAATACACGACCCAGACAACCATTCCCAGCGTACCACGTATTGAAACTCACCTTCTCCTCTTGCACCACCAGCATCAGCCTGGCCAGCACTTGAGTGTGGGTGAGCCAGGAGAATGGGGGAGAGAACTGGAGGTTGGACAGAAATACACGACCCAGACAACCATCCCCAGCGTACCACATATTGAAACTCACCTTCTCCTCTTGCACCACCAGCAACAGCCTGGCCAGCACTTGAGCGTGGGTGAGCCGGGAGAATGGGGGAGAGAACTGGAGGTTGGACAGAAATACACGACCCAGACAACCATTCCCAGCGTACCACGTATTGAAACTCACCTTCTCCTCTTGCACCACCAGCATCAGCCTGGACAGCACTGGAGTGTGGACCGAAACAAACAAGGGGGGGGACAGAGCACCTGTGGTGCCATTACTCGAGTGTCTCACCATCTCCTCCTGTTTTTGAGAATTCTAAAAAATTGCAGGGTATTTTTGAGAATTCTTAAAATTTGCAGGGTATTTTTGAGAATTCTAAAAAATACCCTGTGGTGCCATTACTCGAGTGTCTCACCATCTCCTGCACCACCAGCAGCGTGAGCCTGGCCAGCACTTGAGCGCCGGTAGGCAGCGAAAATGGGAGAGAGAAGGGGGGAGAGGCAGAATGCGCACAGTAGGACCGTCCCCATGTCTCACCTTCTCCTCCTGCACCACCAACATGAGTCTGGCCAGCACTTGAGCGCCGGTAGGCAGTGAAAATGGGAGAGAAAACGGGGGAGAAGCAGAGTAGGACGCGGGGGGGGGGGGGGGGCAGTAGGACGTCCCCATATCTCACCTTCTCCTCCTGCACCACCAGCATGAGCCTGGCCAGCACTTGAGCGTCCGTGAGGCGGGAGAAGCGCACCACGGCGCAGCGGCTCTGGATGGGCTCGATGATCTTCGAGGACACGTTGCACGCCAGGGCGAATCGGGTTGTCGACGAGTAGATCTCCATGGTTCTTCTCAGGGCCTGCTGGGCCCCTGCTGTCATGCTGCCACGGGGTAACGGGGGATTGGTGACTTTTGAGTCGACTTAAAAGTTCCCTGCTGTCATGCTGCCATGGGGTAACGGGGGATCGGGGATCATGCTGTCATGCCCTGCTGTGCATTGGCTCTGGATGGGTTCGATGATCGTAGACGATACGTTGCACGCCAGGGCAAACCAGGTGGTAGAGGAGTAGATCTCTATGGTTCTTCGTAGCGCCTGCTACGCCCCTGCTGTCATGCTGTGGTGGAAGTGTCACGGGGATAGAGGGGGGGAGAGGGGGGGGAGAGAGGAGGGGGGGTGTTCACATCATGGCGCAGCGGCTCTGGATGAACTCGATGATCTTGGACGACACGTTGCACGCCAGGGCGAAGCGAGTTGTAGAGGAGCAGATCTGTGCATGGTTTGTCTCAGGGCGATTTTTGAGGCGCCTCAAAAATTGTAGAGGAGCAGATCTGTGCATGGTTTGTCTCAGGGCGATTTTTGAGGCGCCTCAAAAATTGTAGAGGAGCAGATCTGTGCATGGTTTGTCTCAGGGCGCGCTGCGCCCCTGCTGTCATGCTGTGGTGGGGAAGAAGGGGGATAGCGGGGAGAAGGGAAGGGGGAGGGGGGGAGGAGGAGGGGTCGCACCACGGCGCAGTGGCTCTGGTTGTGCTCGATGATCTCAGACGACACGTTGCGCGCCAGGGCAAAGCGAGCCGTAGAGGAGCAGATATTTGACGGCATGGTGCACGGTGCACGGTGCACGGTGGTAGGGCAGGGCGAGTGTTAGGAAGAAATCTCTAAGGTTCGCAGTCGGTAGACTTGGCACATACCTGTCAGCTTCATCCAATACCATTATCGAGATGCCTTTTTGAGTCGACTCAAAAGTCACATTGAAAAATTGGCCTTTGGCTTGGTAACCCCAGGCACATACCTGTCAGCCTCATCCAATAGAATTATCTTGTGCCGCCCGGGCGGCAGAGTGACTTTCTTCTGGGCGAACATCTTGATCTTGTTGCGAACCACATCAATGCCTCTATCGTCAGATGCATTCAGTTCTAAGACAGCGTCTCGGTAGCTGGGGCCTAGTAGCGCGTGGGCCAGCGCCAGCACGCTGGTGGTTTTTCCAGTGCCAGGGGGGCCCTGAAGGGTGGAGGAAGGGGGGAGGGAGGAAGGAAACGGAGGGTGGCAAAGTGTGTCGGTCGTTGGCTGGGACCCTGTAATGCGTGCGCCAGCGCCAGCACACTGGTGAAATTTCCAGTGCCAGGGGGGCCCTGAGACATGGCGGGAACAGAAAGGAGTGAAACAATTTGATCTGATTGCGAACCACACGATTTTATCATCTGACGGTTCAGCTCTACAACAGCCTCCCCCTCAACGAGACTAGTAGTGCATGGGCCAGCGCGAGCACGCTCGTGATCGTGCCGGTACCAGGGGGGCCCTGAGCGATGGAGGGAGGGGAGCAGGGAGGAAAGGGAGGGTGGCAACGCGTATCGGTAGCTCGGGCCTAGTAATGCATGGGCCAGGGTGAGAACACTCGTGGTCGTGCCGGTACCAGGGGGTCCCTGAGCGATGGAGGGAAGGGAGCAGAGGGGAGATGGAGCAGGGATTGAGGGGGGAGAGACGGGAAAGTGGACTTCCCCGCGACACACGAGGGGGATTCCTTGTAAAGTCACCAGATATTTTCTACACTGTCAAGTGACTGTAGGGGAGGGACCCCTGTCATTCCGCTAGCGATCCGCACATACAGCGAAGATGAGATTCGGCATGTTGCCATCGCGTGCGATCACGCATAATCGCGACACCGCGTCCTCGTTCCCCACTATGTCTTCTACGCGCTGCGGTCGATACTTCTCCACCCACGGTATGTCGTACACGCGATCGCGCTCTGACCGGCCAGATTTCCCGCCGGGATTCCCGGCTTCGGCAGCGTTGCTACTCCCCGGTTTGCTGCTGCCCGCGACGCCAGCCTCCGCGACAGCAGCCATTCAGGCTCTGCCACGTGGTGGCTCGAGAGAGGCTTTTGTTGTCTACCAGCAGACTATGACTGCTACCGTTCTTTCGGAACAATCCCGATGCGCCTGGAAAAGGAGGGTGAACTCTAGAAACTCACTAGGTACAAACTGACTTCTGAGTCGACTCAGAAGCTAACTCTAGGAATCCACTAGGTACATAATAACGCAAGGAGGTTCCACGGAACCTATTTTAGTGAGTAGGAGCCAAAGCACCATGATTGACGGCTAAGCAGAATCCATACAACTCGCAGCAGCGCAGTGAGGGAATGTCGCAACTCAACAGTCCGTCTTCTCCTCAGAACCCAACCCAACCTTTCTAGGCTCCAATGTAAAGCAGTTAATCTCAAAGGAGCCCAGTGAACCACATAACACGCCCTAAAACGTTGTTTTACAGTAAACAATCTAGCATTATATCATTTAGTATCACAAATTTGCCACTTCGTAAACAAATATTGCGTCAGATCGCCTTCCAAATCAGCAATTCTGTAATGTTGCATTGGTGAGCACAATATAGGTGTAGACTGTACATATCATAAATCACAACGAGCCAACCTTTCCCGTTATGACCTCGGATTTCCCTTCCCGCCAAAATGTGCTCCCCTTGGGTTTGGTTTGGGGCCCAGCTCAACAGTTGTTATCTGGTCAATCCCAGCCCTCAGCCGCTCTGCTCGGCCACTCTGCTCGGCCGCTCTGCTCGGCTCTTTAGCTGTACCTCTCTGCTCAGCTCTCCTGCTGCTATCGTTTCGACAGACGGACGAAAGCGGTTGACAATCTTCCAGCCTTTCTTTTACACCCCCGCGAACCCTCTCTTTCAAGCCTTCTCATCGCGCTCCGTCGCACTCTCGCCTTAGTCCGTTTCGCCTCTTATTTAGGGACGTCCTCGTTGCGAAGCTTCCCTTTTTCTCAAGGGAAGAACAGGAGCGAACGTGAGGCCAGTATTCTTTCGGGGCTTCGCTGCCGCAGGCGACTTCGGCAAAGGAGAGAAAAGAAAGGGCATTTAGAACCGACGCGACTCGCTCGTTGTTGACGTGGTCCTTTGAGTCGCTACATACGCCTCTGCCAGCTGCTTGAAACGAATAGCTTCTAATGCTTCGTAGCGGATGGCATTGCCAGCAGCGGACACACCTAGCATAGGCTCAGACCTGTTCGTTCAGCGGTAGAACTTGGTAGATCTTAGGAGGCAGTGCAGGACGCACCCACAATTTACTTGGTTTCTTCCTTTCAAGATATGAGACGAAGTTATTGGCAGTGCAGGGATAGTTATTGAAGCCTCGAAACGCGTCACTGAGCAATGACACTTGGAGACATAGGCATAGGCATTAACATCGCGGGTAATTTTTTGAGAATTCTAAAAAATGGCTCGAAACGCGTGAGTCAGCAATGACAGCTGGAGGCATAGGCATTAACATCGCGGGTGTCTAACACTTCCGCCGGCGATGCCGTTTTTGGTGTTAGGTTCAGCCGATTCCGCCGGTTCTGTAGAAATCGCATTTTTTTTCAGTTACGCTAATTCTGTCAAGTACGCTACTATGCCGTAAGTCAATCAGAATATGAATTCGTTATAGCGCTCTAGGTTCAGACGGAAGGCGTAATTCTCTACGTTCAGACGAACGCGTGACTCTCTAGGTTCAGACTATCCGATAGCATAGATTAGGACACTTAAAAGCGAGAGGAAAAGATACCCGTGCAAATTTTGAGTCAAGGAGTCGGGAGGCGTTGGTAACTGCGTCACATGCAACAGTGTAACAGCAGTAACAGGAGCTGTTCGCAATGGGTCAGCTGGATACGACTCTGGGGTCGGTGGTGGTGGCAGCAATGGCATTCGCAGCTTACGTTCTCATGATGTTTGCCGAGCACACCAAGGTGAGTCTTCTTATAACGGAGGCAAGAGATATTTCTGCCGGTTGTTACCTTCGCAGGCTCATATCTTTCTCTCCCTCCTCACCCTTTCTTCATTCAGCAGAGGCTTGCACTCTTCCTACACTCGCCTGCATTCCCCCTCCCTCCCATCCTGCCTTTTTTGCACCTTCATACCTCTTCAATCCCCCCCGCTCCCCCTCCCTCCCAGGCCCCCCTATAAGATGACTGCACTGCTACGCCTGCCTCTTGCGGCGTTCTACAGGGGCCGGGTCCAACAGTGGGTTTCGGGCTCATAACTTTCTCTCCCTCCCCACCCGTTCTCCCTCCCAGCCCTTTCTTTCTCTCCAGCCCCCCATACCAGAAGACTGCATTTCCACTCGTGCCCCTTGCGGCATTCCCCCATACATATCCCTTCCGCCCTCCCCTTGCTTCCTTCCAGCCCCCCACACCCGAGCACTGCACTTCTGCCCCTGCCTCTTGCAGCAGTCCCCCTGCCTCCCGTCCTGTCGTTTTACCACCTTCACCTCTCTTAAAGCCCGCAGTCCGGATTGTCCAAGAAGGGGGGTTTGTTGAACACTTGAAGCGGTGTGGCGAACTCTTTTCTAGGGCCCCAGAGGTTGGCGAACTTTTTTAGGGTTCACTATCCAACCATAACTTTCCCCCCCGTTCAACTGCGTAACTTTTGGACAATCCGGACTGCAGGCTTTAAATAATCCGCGCTTTAAATTCTCCACGCCCTTCCTCCCTCCCAGCCCTTCCTCCCTCCCATACCAGAAGACTGCACTTCTGCCCCTGCCTCTTACGGCAGTCCCCCTGCCTTCCGTCCTGTCGTTTGACCACCTTCACCTCTCTTAAATTCTCCGCGCCCTTCCTCCCTCCCAGCCCCCCATACCAGAAGACTGCACTTTTGCCCCTGCCTCTTGCGGCATTTCCCCCTGCCTCTTTTCCTGCCTTTTTTCCGCGCCCTCCCCATACATTCTTTTCTCCTTTCACCTTTCCTCTTTCCAGCCCGCCATACCAGAAGACTGCACTACGCCTGCCACTTGCGGCATTGCCGCAGGCCCAACAGTGGGCCTGGGGATTGGAGCCATCTGCTGCTGCTTCCTCGCAGCTTGCTTCGCCCACTTGGCAGTCCGTGGGCCCCACGCTGTTTACCTCTCGATGACCAAGGCGTTTGTGAAGCACCACAGACGGGGGGTAGCCCTCTGGTACTGCTTGGCTTGGTACGTTGCTGCTTTGCACCGCATAGCACAATGTAGTGCTCTTTTCGCGAGCACTACGACGGCCACTTGGCGCCCGTGGGCCCCACATCATTTACTTCTCGATGGCCAAGGCGTTTGTGAACCACCACAGACGGGGGGTGGCCCTCTAGTACTGCTTGGCATGGTAAGATGGCACAGGCTGCAGACTCCCCCGCGCCGCCCCTTCAACCCCCTCCCCCCTCCTCTTCAACATCTCCCAGGGCCTTCACGCTTTCACCAGCGTGCTACAGCGCGCATCTGGCTTGATTGAAACCAGTTGCTTGATGCAATAATTCTCCCTTGTTCTCACCCAACCCCTCTCAAACTCCCCCCCACCACCCCTCCAACCCCAACCCCCCCACCCCTCCTCTTGAACATCTCCCAGGGCCTTTACGCTACTGCCGGTGTGCTACAGCTTGCATGTGGCTTGAATGGAAACCAGTTGCTTGATGCAATAAATTCTCCTTGTTCGAATCCAATCCATATCGCTCCTCTCAACCCCCCCCTTCCAACCCCCCACCCCTCCTCTTCAACATCTCCCAGGGCCTTCACGCTGGTGCCAGTGTGCTACAGCTCGTACCTAGTTTCGAAGCAATCAACAGGCAGTGGGGTTGTCCCGGTGAGTGCTTTTCAAATAGCGCTTCCTCTTTTCTGCCCTTAATCTGTTCCGTTGCTTGAAGCCCAACCTTATTCGCAGCTGGTATGTAAACTGTCGGTCTCAATGTGAGTAAGTGAGCTCCTAGAATCCAAGGGCGTCCCTTCTAAGAGCGGGCATCCCTGTTCCTTCATTGTCCCAGAATGGTCTTCGGGATGCTCTTCTTTCAGCTTGTCCGATTTTTGAGTTGACTCAAAAATCATCTTCTTTCAGCTTGTTTGATGGCCATTCGCCCCCGAGTTTGCAGGGTTTTTTTTTTTTTTTTTTTTTTTTAATTCTCAAAAACATCCCTGTTCCTTCATTATCCCTTCCAGGAAGACAATGGGATGCTCTTCTTTCTGCTTGTCTGGCGGCCGTTCGCCCCCTGTCTCAGGAGCGGCCGTTTGCAGGCATGCGCCCATGGCGCTTGCTAGTTTTGAGGCGCCTCAAAACCAGACTTCTGCCGCTCGATCCGTGGCTTGTTTGGCAGCCGTTGCCCCCCCGTCTGACTCGGGATCGATTTTTGAGGCGCCTCAAAAATCGTTTCCCCCCCGTCTGACTCGGGAGCGGCTGCTTGCAGGCTTGCGCCCATGGCGCTTGCTATGCTGAGCCAGCTAGAGCAGATTCTCTTCACGCCACGATCTCTCAAAGCGGGCCTGTATGCCGACGCCAATCCCCCAATCCCCATCTCGGCTGGGCCTTTTTGCCGGCGTGGGGCTGATGATGCTATGTTCGGGAGTGCTATGGGTGGGCATTCTTACTATCAGTCTAAGCCGTGCCTTATCTGCCTTGCCGTTCCTTTCCTTTCCGACCCCCCATACGACCCCCCATACGACCCCCCATACGAACCCCCATATAACCCATCATATGACCCCCCATACGACCCATCATACGACCCCCCATCTCAGGTGGGCCTGTTTGCGGGCGTGGGCCTGATCATGCTGTGTTCAGGAGTGCTGTGGGTGAGATTCGTCCTCTCTCCTTTCCTTACCAACCCTTGTCTCCCTTCCTCCTCTTCTCTCCTCTTCCACCTTAGGTGGGCCTGTTTGCGGGCGTGGGCCTGGTCATGCTGTGCTCGGGAGTGCTGTTGGTGGGCTTCCCTCACTATTCTAGGGCTGTGCCTTCACTCCTCTTCTCTCCCCTCTCCATGTGTTTGTCGCAGGTGGGCCTGTTTGCCGGCATGGGCCTGATGATCATGCTGTCTTCAGGAGTGCTGTGGGTGGGCTTCTGTGCTACCATTCTAGGCTGTCCCTCACCCCACCCTCCCTCCCTCCCTTGTTGTCTCTTGTCTTCCCTGCGCCCATCTCAGGTGGGGTTGTTTGCCGGCATGGGGCTGATCATGCTATGTTCAGGAGTGCTCTGGGTGGGATTCATTCTGATGAATTTCAACGCGGAGAAGCTTATACTGAGCGGGGTGGCGGATGACGACGACGATGATGTAAGTAGCGACACATGGTGTGTATGTGAGACAGATATGACATGTGGGTGTGTGGTTAGGGCTTCATTCTAATGAATTTCAATGCGGAGAAGCTAATACTGAGCGGGGTGGCGGATGACGACGACGATGATGTGAGTAGGACACATGAATCGTGGCAACAAGTATGACATGGTTGTGCTTTTTTCTAATGAATTTCAAGGCGGAGAAGCTAATACTGAGCGGGGTGGCGGATGACGTCAATGATGATGTGATTATGGGGTATGACATGTTAATATTATGTGTATGGGGTATCTGGTGTGCATGAGAGACAAATATGACATGTGAATACATGGTTGTGATTTTATTCTCATGAATTGCAGTGCGGAGAGGCTTACCCTAAGCAGAGTAAGACAATAACAAGGATGACGATAATGACGATGATGATCATGTGAGACTACATACAGCATGGCATATGGGTTATGCATGCATGGTGTTTTTGAGCCTGCAAAAACGAGGATGTGAGACTACAGCATGACATGGACTACGCATGCATGCATGCATGCCAGTGCTACATGAACTGAGAGGCTTGGATTGGAATGGGTGCCGAGTGACGATGCCATGAGTGTTTGGAGGTGCCTTTTGAATCGACTCAAAAGTCACCAGGGACTCATCTGCTGCTGTGAATCATTCATCGTGCTGCTGGGAATGATCATGCTGCTGTGAATCATTCATCATGCTGCTGGGAATCATCATGCTGCTGGGAATCATCATGCTGCTATGAATCATTCATCATGCTGCTGGGAATCATCATGCTGCTGGGAATCATCATGCTGCTGTGAATCATTCATCATGCTGCTGGGAATCATCATGCTGCTGGGAATAATTCATCATGCTGCTGGGAATCATTCAGCAACGGCTGGGAATCATTCATCATGCTGCTGGGAATTATACATCATGCTGCTGGGAATCATTCATCATGCTGCTGGGAATCATTCAACATGCTGCTGGTTATTCATCATGCTGCTGGGAATCATTCATCATGCTGCTGGGCATCATTCATCATGCTGCTGGGAATCATTCAGCAACGGCTGCTGGGAATCATTCATCATGCTGCTGGGAATCATTCATCATTCAGCAACGGCTGGGAATGACCCGCTCCCCGTGCATCGGCGCCATTCCGATGGGGAGAACCATGGCCGATGGGGAGCACCATGGCCGATGGGGAGCACCATGGCTGCTCCCCGTGCATCGGCGCCATTCGAGCCAACTCAAAACTACGTGGGTTTTAGTTAGGTCGGCTAAAAAAGTAAGCGGCATGACGATGCAATCATTGCTAAAAGGTAGGCACTCCTCCCTGATTCTCCAGGTCCCACTCCTAGTACGAATCACTCTCCCACTCCCTCACTCTCCCCCCCCCACAACCTCCCCCCCCCCCCCAAATCCTCTTCCACTCCTTCCCACTTCCCAGGAGCAGTTCGCCATGTTCTTCCACCCACCACCTTGCGAACAAGACGGATATTTAGCTGCCTAAAAAAGACCGTTTGCTTCCCCCCCTCCCCTCTCCTCCCTCTTTCACGCCTTCCCTCTTCCCTGGTGCAGTTCGCCATGTTCTTCCCACCACCAGCTCGCTAACAAGACAGATATTTTCGGTGACTCAATAATCCCCTTTGCTTCCCCTCTCCCCCTCCCTCCTCTTCCACTCTTTCCCCCGTCCCTGGTGCAGTTCGCCATGTTCTTCCCACCACCAGCTCGCTAACAAGACGGATTTTGTAGGTGCCTAAAAAACCCGCCTTTGCTTTCCCCCCTCCCCTCCCTCTTCTTGCACCCTTTCCTCTTCCCTGTTGCAGTTCGCCATGTTCTTCCACCCACCAGCTCGCTAACAAGACATATTTTTTTAGGTGCCTCAAAAATCGCCTCTTCCCTGGAGCAGTCTGCCATCACCTTTTGACCTCCAGCTCGTTAGCAGCTCACAGTGTTTCCCCTTGAGGCGTGGGTGGGAGAGTAGGGGAGGGGAGAAGGGCGGCATGCCTCTGGGTGGTTCTGACTGTTGGAAATATCTCAAAGGACTTAAGCGTTTCTGAAGTATAACACTGCACTCGAGGAAGACTACAGGGGAGCACGCGAGTCAACGGAGGTTGCACGAGGGGGCGGACAAAGAATCCGAAAAGACTCGAAAGGTCGCAACTGGAGGTTACGACTGACCGTTACAACATCACGGATGGTAACCGAAGCGGCAATCGAGTCGCTGTGCGACTCGATAAACCGTTCCCGTAACTGTATTCTACAACTGCTTTCTTATCTTCTATACCGTAATCCCCCGGATATAACACCCGCCGGAATAAAACACCCAGTGCAGGGCTCAAATTAGCCGGGTAAAATGCCCTGATTGCCCTGATTTTTCAGGGCATTTTTTCATTTGGTCTTAAGAATCAGACTTACGAAATTTATTACCCTGATCCAAAAAGTGTTACGAAAATATTACCCTGCCGAAACTAGGGTTGCGGGGCCCCGAACCCTGACCCTTCAGGGCGTCCTGAAAACTACCCTGGTATCGAAACTCCGAGATTCCGACTAAGTCCTTGGCGGCCAGAAACATTTCCCCCAAAACACCCTGCAACCAAAAATTTCGACGAAGTCCCTGGCAGCCAGAGTCATTCCTCCCACCCCACGCACCATGCAAGCCAGCAATTTCGGCTAAGTCGTAGCCAGAGTCATAGCTCCCTCACCCCCTCGCAACCCAGAAATGGCTAAGTCCCCCACAAGAGACATGCCTCCCAACCACACCCCCGCTACTTTTTTTTTTTCGCTAAGTCCTCCACACCACAGCAAGACACGTCACGTCGTATACGCCCTTCTGACACCCAACCAATCACGAGCAGATGGTTTTTTTCCCGCCCCTCTGCCGCCCATGTAAATCTGATTCCCCTCTCGCGCCCCAGAATCGTTTTCCGTCCCATCCCATCCCCCAATCTCCCCCAACACGCGCAAATCCGCTACACCCTTCTTTCCACACCTCAGTGCAGCCCACTTCATTCATGTAAAATGTTCCTTAAATGGCCAAGGCTAGAAAGGGTGCAAAGAGTTCTACACTAGAAGCAAAGACTTCGAATTTTTTTACCCTGCCAAATCAGACTTAGAATTTTTTTAGCTCTGACCGTCAGGGCATTTTTTTTTTCCTACTCTGATCTCAAAGAGTGGCCTAAAACCAATTTTGGGCCCTGCCCCAGTGGTGTTATATCCGGGGTGGGTGTTCTATTGACGAACCCGCAATTATACACCCACCTTTTGAGGAACTTGGGATAGCACCCACCCCATTGTTTTTGCATACTTTTCAATTTGCGGAGTATACTACAATGTTAATATAAGTTTAGGCACCATCAATCACTACAGTTGCCCTACTACACATGCCATACTAGCAACTACACTATGCATGTTTCATGCCAGTTCGCACATTCGTGCGGCCTCTTTCCAGCCAACCTCTTCCCAGACTCGCGCGCTACAGTGTCGCGTAATTATGACGCGAAACAGTTTAGTGTGGTTCCGTGTGGTGTACAAGAGACTGTGATTGTCGAGATTCAAGTGTTTTCAAATCTCGTTTTGGGGCCCAAAATTTCAGACATGCACGAATCTCTACAGTGTGATTTTGACGAGAGCTGATTCATTGCGGTGAAGAACGCGATTCTAAAACGAACTGGCTGGAAAAACGATTCTTCGAACATGCTCTCATGCAAGGGCTGATTTGGGAGGAGGATAGCCTGGGAAGAGGTTGGTAAGAACACGCTCTAAAACGGGCTAGACCCACAGGCGGACTTTGACCCTTCAGATCGCCCACACTTGCGGTCCTTTCGAGCCCAAAACAACATGGTCGGAAAGCTTATTGCACAAGGAACACAATGCAACCTTAAAAAATATATCCTCAAATATAACACCAGAGTGCTATAGCGTAAACGCGAAATAGAACACCCTGTCAACTTATACATATTATCTATGTAGAAGTTATAGGCTAGACTGAGGTATGCTTCTAGTGAGTACAACCAACTAGTATTTGTTCTAGGTTTCCACCTCTAGTAATCATTCGTTTCTACGTTAACATGGTATCACGCTTAGGTTAGGATCCCCCCGCCTACCGCTTCCGCCCGTCGCACCTCCTAGGCCCCGTCGCGCCCCCTAGGCCCCGTCGCGCCCCCCCTGGGCCCCGTCGCGCTCGTTAGGCCCCGTCGCGCCCCCCCTGGGCCCCGTCGTGCCCGCTGGGCCCCGTCGCGCCTCCTAGGCCCCGTCGCGCTCCCCCTAGGCCCCGTCGCGCCCGCTGGGTCCCGTCGCGACCCCTAGGCCCTAACGCGCCCCCGCTGGGCCCCGTTGCGCCTCCTAGGCCCCGTCGCGCCCCCCATGGGCCCCGTCGAGCCCGCTGAGCCCCGTCGTGCCTCCTAGGCATCGTCGCGCCTCCTAAGCCTCGTCGCTTTGGCCCGGCCCCGGACCTCCCTGACTGGCACAGCCTGCTCCGCCAGGGCGTGCCGATCTTTGAGTTAGACATGGATCAGATAGGTGCTGCTTTGCATGCTTTGTATGCTGACGCTTCTAGTGTTGATGGATCTTACTACCCTGTGTACTCTAGTTTAGGTGTTTCACCCTTGTGTAGCTTAGCTTCCCCTGCTGCGACAGGCGTAGGACTGCCTAGGTTGCCTAGTCTAGTCGCTGCACCGGCTCCGTCCCCGGCCCCCGCCACTGCGTCGCTGTCCTTCACTCTCGACTCTGGTGCTTCTGCCTGCTTCTTCCGCGACTGCTCCTCACTCCTCCTCGCTGCGTCCTGCTACTGCCCCTCTTCAGACCCTGCACTTGGACGTTTGGGGCCCTGCCCCCGTCCCCGGACCGCGCGGTGAGCGCTACTTCCTTGTGCTTGTCGACGACTACACGCGCTACACCACGGTGTTTCCCCTGGAGCGGAAGGCCGACGTGCCCGACGTTCTTCTCCCGTGGGTTGTGGCTGCGCGTCTCCACCGCGGTCTCCCCGTGTTGTGTCTCCACTCCGACCGTGGCGGCGAGTTCGCCTCTGGTCGGCTTGGACAGTTCTGTCGTGCGGAGGGCATCACCCAGTCGTACACGTTGCCGGACTCGCCACAGCAGAATGGGGTTGCTGAGCGCCGCATCGGCTTGGTCATGGAGGTCGCCCGTACCTCCATGATCCATGCCGATGCCCCCCATTTTCTGTGGCCGTTCGCTGTTCGCTACGCGGCTCACCAGCTTAACCTGTGGCCACGCTCCCAGCGGCCGCAGGTTTCGCCGACCCTCCTTTGGACCGGGTCCCCCGGTGACGCGTCTGCGTTCCACGTCTGGGGCTGCCTTGCTCACGTTCGTGCCTCTGGCACGGACAAGCTCACTGCCCGCACTGTCCCCTGTGTCTTCCTCGGTTTCCCCCTGGACTCGTCTGACTGGCTTTTCTACCACCCGCCGTCTCACCGCTTCCTCCACTCTCGTGACGTCACCTTTGATGAGTCCGTCTCCTTCTACCGCCGCTTCCCTCACCGAGGTCTCCCAGTTGCCCCCCCCCTTTTCCTTGCTCCCTCTCCCCCGGTAGCCCCTGCCCCTCTCCCGCCTCGTCCTGCCCCGTCTGGTGTCTCCCACGTCACTCCCCTCCCGTCGGTTGTCCCCGTTGAGGAGTCTGCTGACTCTGGTGGTACCCCCGGTCCGTCCTTGCCGCGTCCCCCTTCCCCGGTGCCTCCGCCCCCACTGTCGCAGTCGCCGACCCCGCTGCCGCCGCCGTCGCCGTCGCCGCCGCAGCCGTCGCCGCTGTCGTCGCCGCCGCCGCCGCTGTCGCTGCCGCAGCCGTCGCCGCTGTCGCCGCCGCCGCAGCCGTTGCCGCCACTGCCGCCGCTGCTCTCGGCCCCTGGGGGTGCTGGTGTGGAGGAGGGTGTTCGTCCTGCGGCTTCTGGGGGTGCCGCTGGTGTTGGAGGGGGTTCTCGCTCTGGGGGTGTTGGTTCTGGGGGTGCTGCTGTTGAGTGTTCTGCCGACGGTCGTTCTGCCTCTGCTGGTCCGAGAGTTCCGGCCCAGCCGTCGTCGCCGCTGCAGCAGCCGTCGCCGCCGGTTTCCGCTCTCCGCCTGCTCGGCCTTCCCTCCCCGGACCGCGCGCCGGTGTCTCCCCCACCGCCTCCTGACCTCCCTGTCTACGGTCCTGTGTTCCCGCCGCCAGACTCGTCTCCGGCCCGTCTTCCTCCTCGTTCCCCTCCTGTGTCTCCTCCGCTGTCCCCTGACCCTACCCCTCCGTCTCACGTTTGGGCTCGCCGTCCCTCCCGTGCTCGTCCCGTCTCTCCTGTCCTGCCCACCCACCCTATGTTGCTCCGTTCCCACTCGTCTCGTCCTCCCCTCCTCCCGTCCCCTCCTCCCTCGTCCCTTGCTGTTGCACCTCCTCCGTTCTCTGACTACCTCCGTGCTGCTCGTCCCCTTGTCCCTCGGGTCCTTGCCTCTCTTGTTACCGACCCTGCTGTTCCTGTCTCGCGCCTTGACGCGCTTGTCGCTGCTGTCGCTGACTTCGCTTCTACCCGCCGCCTTGACTACGCTACCGCTCTGGTCTCTGACCCTGCCCGTCCTCTGTCCGTCGGGGGTGCTCCTGCCCTTGGCAGTGACGTCCTAGAGGACAGGCAGTACGAGTTGGCTTTCCTTTCCGAGGCTGCTCCCCGTCTCTGCTCCATGCTGTTAGTCCCTGAGGGTGACCCAGACGCCTTCGACATCCCGACCCCTCGCACCTACGCTGAGGCCACCTCGGGACCTTGGGCCTCTCAGTGGATAGCTGCCATGGAGCAGGAGATGGCATCTTGGAGATCCACCGGCACTTACGTCGACGCAGTTCCCCCGCCTGGGGTGAACGTAGTCGATGGTCGGTGGCTCTTCAAGGTGAAGCGCCTCCCTGGAGAGCCGCCTGTCTTCAAGGCGCGCTACGTGGCCAGAGGTTTCAGTCAGCGCGAGGGGGTTGACTTCTTCCAGACCTTCGCCCCGACCCCGAAGATGACCACTCTTCGGGCGCTGCTACACGTAGCAGCACAGCGTGACTACGAGCTTCACTCCCTCGACTTCTCTACTGCCTTTCTTCAGGGCAGCCTACACGAGCAGGTCTACCTGCGCCGACCACAGGGCTTCACTGGTACCTTCCCTCCTGGGACCCAGTGGCTTCTCAGGCGCCCGGTCTACGGCCTGCGTCAGGCTCCCCGCGAGTGGCACGACACGCTACGTGCCACGTTAGCAGACCTGCAGTTCTTTCCGTCCTCTGCTGACCCTTCACTGTTTGTGCGTTCCGGCCAGACTCCGTTCTACATCCTTGTCTACGTAGACGACCTGGTCTTCGCTACTCCTGACAGGGACGCACTGGCCTCTGTGAAGGCTGAGCTGCTGAAGAGACACACCTGCACTGACCTTGGAGAGCTGCGTCGCTATCTTGGCCTGCAGATCTCTAGGGACAGAGCAGCACGCACCATCACTCTGACCCAGTCACACTTGGTGCGTCAGGTCCTTCAGAGGTTCGGTCTTCAGTTCTCCTCCGCACAGCCCACACCTCTACCCGTAGACCATGGGCTCTCTGCTCCCGTTCCTGAGGAGCCAGTAGAGCCCAGTGGCCCCTACGCAGAGCTGGTGGGTTGCCTCATGTACCTGATGACTTGCACTCGCCCAGATCTCGCATACCCTCTCAGCATCCTGGCTCGCTTTGTGGCTACAGGCAGACACCGACCTCAGCACTGGTCTGCCGCTAAGAGGGTTTTGCGTTATCTTGCTAGTACATCAGGCATGGGGTTAGTGCTAGGAGGACGCAGACCAGTGGTCCTTACTGGGCACACAGACGCTTCTTGGGCAGACGACGCTGAGACGCTCAGGTCGTCGCAGGGCTACTGTTTCAGCCTTGGTTCGGGTGCTATCTCTTGGAGATCCACTCGCTCGTCGTCTGTGGCTCAGTCTAGCTGTGAGGCTGAGATCTACGCTGGTGCCATGGCGGCACAGGAGCTCCGCTGGCTGACCTTCTTGCTCACAGACTTAGGTGAGCGGCCTAGCTCTGCCCCGGTCCTGTACGCTGACAACAGGGCCATGATACTCCTGTGTCAGGAGCCTCGGCTTGAGGGCAGAGCGAAGCATATCCAGCTGCGGTACTTCCTCCTGCGCGAGCTACAGCAGCGCCGCCAGGCCCGCGTAGTTCACTTGGCCTCAGGTGCCAACACAGCTGATATCTTTACTAAGGCGCTTGCGCCTAAAGATCATCAGCGGCACTGTGTACAGCTTGGTCTTGTTCCTATAGCTGCTCCCCTGTTAGGATCCTGATTGTGTACTCTCTATTATATATGCTTGTCAGACTGGCCTTGTGGCCTTACCTCCAGTGGCTGGACTAGTAGTGCCACCCTGGCTTGCTTCAGTTTTGGTTGTATTCTTGCTGACTGGTCTCCAGACCCCTGCCTCAGTGGTTGGACTAGTAGTGCCGCCCTGAGCTGTTTGCTTCTTGTTTAGTTTCACCCCTTGTCTAGCCTAGGGGGTGTGTCAACTTATACATATTATCTATGTAGAAGTTATAGGCTAGACTGAGGTATGCTTCTAGTGAGTACAACCAACTAGTATTTGTTCTAGGTTTCCACCTCTAGTAATCATTCGTTTCTACGTTAACACACCCACCCCCCCATTTTTGCCAGAATTTTGTACTACACCCGGGGTGTTATATCCGGGGGATTACGGTATATTGCTGTATGCTTGTTTCTTTAATCAATCACTTGTTCTCACATACTAGTACAAGGGTTCAACCGTCTCAACTTCCGCTGCACTACTCAAAGTCTCAAGTCTTCACAGCTGGGACTTAGTCTCTGAAAGGATCCTAAAGGCTTTTTCTCAGCCCAACACTAACTTATAACCTTGAGCACTAACGTGGATGGTGTATATGATGATTCTAAAAAACACCCTGCAAAAACGTGGATGGTGTATGATAGTGTGAGACTGGTAGTATTGATGTTTCTTGAGAAATTCAACTTCTCGGATCGTTTGGCGCATCTAGTGTGCTTGCTGCAGATCATTGCGTTATTTGAATGGAGGAATGGCCTAACACGAATTTAAATAGAGAAATCTAACGGATCTGCGGGCTGCTTAGCGAGCAGGCGTACTCTTACTGTACACATGGTTGAAACCAAATGCCCGTGGGTCCTACTGCTGCCAGCCTTGGAACGGGGCGTTTCTCTCTTGCCGCTTGTTACCTGATGCTCATTTGCTACTGTTTGCCCATGGCTGCCAGTTTTCTCGTCGTTGCATTGCTTATCGGTACACAGCAGAACACTACACGCACCAATAGCAGGGGACGGCACCGCTCCTGCTGCTGCTGATGATGATGTTGCTGTTGCTGCTTCTGTACTGGCTTCTCCTGTAGTTGCTGCTTCTGCTCCTGCTGCTCCTGCTGCTCCTAATGTTGCAGCGTCTCTCACACACCCCTCGTCTCGAGGTGCAGACAAGACCTCCCTGTTTTGAGCTGCCTTAAAACCCTTGTCTCGAGGCGCAACCCGCTCCGCCTTGTCTCGTGGTGCAACCCACAGCTCTGCCCACGAATTCGCCTTCAACCTCCTCCGCCAATCAGCCTCAACCTCCCCCTTGCCTCCCCCCTCAACCTCATTTCCTTTTCCTGCAACCTGCTCTGTTGTCTTGATCTCCACCCCTTCCCTTCTCCCCCTCCCCACCACCTCTCTCCCCTTCCCTTCAATCTCCCCCTCCGCCTCCCCCTCTCTCGGCTCCCCCTCCTCCTCCCTCCTCTCCCCCTCCTCCCTCTGCTCCCCGCCCTCCCTCTCCCCTGCTTCCTCTAGCTCCAAAAACAGCATGATGTGCGCGCCTCCCCTCTGCACGCCCACTGCACTCTGCCCCTTCCTCCCCAGCAGCCGCAGCAACACTGCTGGAGTGAGATCCGATCCTGCTGTCTCACCGACCCTATAAAAGAGGTCTGGAAGGAGAATAGGCGCGGAGAGGGAGTCGCGGCAACATGGGTTTGCAGGCGAGCGGGCATGGCCGTTGATTTCTTGTGAATGCTGCCCGGCCCGTTTCTGTGTGTGTGACTCCTGCCCCTGCCCCGGAAACTCGATATTGTGTGATTCAGTAGTGTGTGAATGATGCTTCTGTGACATGCTCGAATGCTTCTCTCCTTCTGTTCCCTCTGGTACATGCAGCTTCCCATTCCCAAGACCACGCCCATGATTATACCGAGAACCATCCTCCTCTTTTTCTTTTTCCTCCTTCTCCTTCTCCTCCTCCTTCTCCTTCTCCTCCTCCTCCTCCTTCTCCTTCTCCTCCTCCTCCTCCTTCTCCTCCTCCTCCTTCTCCTCCTCCTTCTCCTTCACTATATCCTCCTCCTTCCCTTCCCCCTCCTCCTTCCCTTCTTCCTCCTCCCCCTCCTTCTCCTCCCTCGCTTCCTGATCCCCCATTCCCTCCTCCCCCTTCCCTGTGTCGTTCCTCTTCAGCTTCTGCATTCGCTCCACAGGTGGAAGCAGGGCGAAGACGGCTCTAGCAGGAGCGTCCATCCTAACAACACGCCCGGCTGCGTTGATGCGAAGCCGCCCAACCTGCATCGAAGGAGAGAACGAGATACAGATAGACGAGGGAAAGGGAGGGCATGGGTGCAATAACGACAAAGGCGGCTCGCATCAGCAATGGTGGTGGCAGAGGCTGCATTGCCCGCACAATACATTAAAAAAAAAAAAAAAAAAACACGGAAAAACATACATATACATGCCCATTCCGTTACCCCTCACTCCTCCCTCTCACCTCCGCCACAGAAGCCAGTTTGTTCCTCCTCCCTGCAGCCCTCCAGTGAAGCCTAAACAGGCTCGCAGCAATGGTGGAGTGGAGTATGGGGGCTGCACTGCTAAAACACCACACATGCACACTCGCACTCATACACTCTCACACGCACTCTCACATGCACACTCTCACACGCACACTCTCACATACACACTCTCACTCACGCACACACTCACTCTCACCTCTGCCACTGAAGCCAGCCTCCTCCGCAAGCTCCTCCCCCCAGCCGCCCACCAGTGCAGCCCGAACAGGCACACAGCAAGTGTGGAGGCCAGGGTCTGCACTGCTCGTACCACACACATGCATGCATTCCCCCCACCTCCACACTGCCACAGTGCACGGATGTAACATGCTCGCACTCTCCTTCACTCTCCTTCACTCACCTCCGCCACTGAAGCCATTCTCCTCCTCAAGCTCCTCCCCCCAGCCGCCCTCCAGTGCAGCCCGAACAGGCATGCAGCAACAGTGGAGGTGAGGGGCTGCACTGCTCGCACCATCGATTGGTTGTAACCACCGATGCGGTTACCAACCATTGCGACGCCCAGGATACAGGGTCCTGGGGAAGAGAGTGATGGCAGAGAGAAAGAGGAGGAGGAAATAAGCCAAGAAGATAGAAATGGGAATTCACATAAAACTGTACAAGCATTTAATGCCCCAAACTGTGGTGAGTAAATTGTGGGGAAGGGATACTCACCACAGTGGTTAAGTAGCTTAGTTTTGAGGCTCTCAAAAATAACCTGCTTAACCACCGTGTGATGTCCCACCAAACTGCGGTGAGTAGATTGTGGGGAAGGGGTACTCACCACAGGATCAGGGTAAGCAGAGAGCAGTAGTCACTTTGGGATGGCACTTGGGCAGAGCAGCAGCCGGCACAGCTTCATTCAGCCAAACAGCTCCCCCTTTCAGAGCCTACCACCATGTGCAATTCAACCAAGCCGATGCATGCAACGCAAGACTCACCGCAAGTCAAGAGGAAGCAGAGGGCAGTAGTCACTTGGGATGGCCGTTGGGCAGAGCAGCAGCCGACACGGCTTCATTCAGCCAAACAGCCTCCCTTTCAGCACCGCTCGGGCAAAGAGACCCGCGGGGCACAGGGGGGAGAGAAGAGACGTGGTACACTCACCGCACGTCAATGGCAGGCAGAGGGCTGAAGACAGCTTTGGGTGTCCTTTAGGCAGGGCAGCAGCCGGCACAGCATCGTTCGTCCAAACAGCCTCCCCTTTCAGGCCCGCTTGGGCAAAGAGACCCGAGGGGCACAGGGGGGAGAGCAGAAGCCCGTTGGAAGCGGAAGTGTCCAGGAAGATTCCCTGGAGCTGGTCTGTCCAGCCGACGTTGGAGACGGCGTGGGACCTAAGTGCTAGAGTGGGCTCGTGAGATGATGTTTCTGTGGGGCCTTGAGACGAAGTAAGTGCGAGTGTGGGCCCATGAAACGATGGTGTCGGCTCTTGAGGTGATTTAAGTGCTAGTGTGGGCTCTTGAGACGATCTAAGTGCAGGTGTGAGATCTTCAGTCGATCCAAGTGGTGGTGTGGAAAACTTGGATGCAGTAAGAGCCGGTGTGGGTCCGTCGGCAGGCATGAAATGAGGAAGAGTGTGGGAGAGCGATGGGCCATCAGGCACTAAGCAGAGAGAGGCGATGAAGCCTAAGGAAGAATCACTTAGGTCTAGGAGAGCGCTTAGGAGGTTGGCGAAGACGACTTGACCTGTTGAGGACTGGGAGGAGACAGGAGAGGAAGCAGAGAAGAGGGAGGAAGGGAAGGGGAGGGAGGAAGGGAGGAAGGGAGGGAAAGAGAGTGTAAACCGCTGGGGCATGAGGCAGAGGGAGGGAGGCGATGACACCAAAGGAAGAATCAGTGAGGTCAAGGAGAGCACTGAGGAGGTTGGCGAACACGACCTGACCTGTCTGTAGGGGACTGGGAGGGCAGGGGAGGGGAAGAGGGGAGGAGAGCAGGAGGGAGGAAGGGAGGGAAAGGAATTGTAAACTGTGGGGCACGAGGCAGAGGGAGTTGATGACGCCAAAGGATGATTCGGTGAGACCCAGGAGAGCGCTTAGGAGGTTGGATAACACGGCATGGCCTGATGGGGACTGGGAGGAGAGGAGGAAGGGAAGCAGGGAGGAGGGAAAGAGGGGAGGAGGGGAAGAGGAGAAGGATCAAGCCAATAATCCACCCAATATCCACACCACTCATCCCACTCACCACTCATTGAGTGCCCCATTTACTCACCCTGTCCTTCTTTATCTCCTGATGCGCTCTCTCAATAGCAGTCAGCAGCAAGGCACATTCACTGGATCTGTCAATTGCACAGTACCCCTCTCAACTCCTCGACACTACTCACTGAGTGTTCTATTGACTCACCCTGTCCTTCCTCATCTCCTGATGCGCTCTCTCAATAGCAGTCACCAACACCTCATTATCCACCTCCTCCTCTTCCTCCTCCTCCTCCTCTTCCTCCTCGTCGTCCTCCTCCTCCTCGTCCTCCTCTTCCTCCTCGTCCTCCTCTTCCTCCTCTTCCTCCTCTTCCTCCTCCTCCTCCCAGACTCCTACCTCCTCTTCCTCCTCCCTCCCTCCCCCTTCTTCATCCCCTTCGCCTTTCATTTCCCTGTCCCTCCTCCCCTGCCCTTCCTCCAACTCCACGTTTCCCCTCCTGCTGCCAAATTCCACCTCCTCAGCCGCTTGCTTTATCAAACCGAGGCCCCGTTTTTGCCGCTCTCTATTTCCTCCTCCTCGCCCTTCCTGCTTCTGTTGCGTCTGCTGCTTCTGCTGCTGCTGCTGCTGCTGCTGCTGCTGCTGCTGCTGCTGCTGCTGCTGCTGCTGCTGCTGCTGCTGCTGCTGCTGCTGCTGCTGCTGCAACCATGTTGCTGTTCGAGACAATAACTTACTCTCCCTTCCTGCCTCTTCTGTCCCTGCGACGTCCTCTCTCCCTGCAACCTCCTCTCTCCTCACAGCAGCACAGCCAGTGGAATCGTCACCGGTGCAATCACCGGCATTGCTAGGCGCATTACCAGAAGCAGCAGCACCAGAAGCAGCAGCACGAGAAGAAGTAGCACCAGAAGCAGGAGCAGCAGCAGCAGCAGAAGCAGCAGAACAATCGCCCCTCCTTGCCTGCATTATCCTCCCTGGACACGCACTGACCAATAGCGGCTTGACAGCTAAGCATTCCTCTGTCAACCGGGCCCCTGGTACTGGCCACAATCGCCCGGGATAAGCTTTCCTGCTACAGCTTCTGCCACACCTGCTGTTACGCCTGCTGCTACAGCTGCTGCCATAGCTGCCGCTACAGCTGCTGGTGCCATGATCCCTATTACAGCTGCTGTTTCTGCTTGTTCTGCATGCACAGTCAGTAACGTTTTCGCCTCCATTATTGGCGCTGCTACCACTGACAGAACCGCCGCCCCCCACATTCCGGCAGCAGCTACTGCTAATCCCCCTACTGCTGATTCCTCTACTGCCAACCCCCCTGGTGCACTTGCTGCTGCAGTGTCTTCGCCTGGTGCAGTGCTGACTCTCCTCCCGAAGCCTCTCCAGCACCGCCTGTTCAAAACTCTCCCACCGAATCCCATCCAAACACGGCCCTGACTGTAGATCACAAGGTTTACCCGGTCTCATGCATTCCGCCACACCACCACCACCCACCCCATCCCTCCCTTCTTCCAACCAGCCATGCCTACCACCATCCGTTTGACGCCCCACTGCCATGTTCCTCCCTCCAATCTCCCCTTCTGCACTACCGCTTCTCTCCCTCCCCTCCTCTGCCTCCCCTTCCTCCTCTGCGTGTTCATCCCTGCATCCACACTCCCACTCCTCACCCCCTCTCTCTTCTTCCCATTCCTCCTGCCACCCCTCCTCCCACTCTTCCCCATCGTCAGAAGAGCTGCTATCTGACTCCTCGTCTTCAACTATTTCCGCCAATATTTCTCCTACAAGCGCTGCCCCGGCCGAAGGTGATCTGGGCAGCTGACTAGCTCTCCGGGCAGGTGAAATAGGCGAAAGGGCAGACACGGGTGACAGTGCAGAGCCGGGAAAAAAATGCCCTCTGCCCGTTGGTGAGAGGAGGCGGTTGTTGGGTGAGAGAAGGTGGTTACCAGGCGAGAGAAAGTGGTTACCCTGTGAGCGAAAGCGGTTACCGGGTGAGAGGTGGTGGTTACTGGGGGAGAATATGTGTGCAGTAGGGGAGAGTTTGCTATGCACGCCTGTGAAGCTAGAACTTGGGCCCAGAGGGTGTTTCTGGTCTGGTGTATGGTGGTGCTGCAGTGATATAGGGTGTGGCACGTGTGACACACGCCCTGCTAATCCCGTGCTGCTGCCATGGCTGAGAGATGACCCGAACGACCTGCTTGCCAACACTCGCTCATGCTGCTGCTGCTGCTGCTGCTGTGGCTGCGGCTGCTGCTGTTGCTGATGGTGGTAGTGGTGCTGCTTGTTGTGCTGCTGGTTGTGCTGGTGATCTCTACTTCCCACCAGTTCTGAACCATTACTGGCAGCAGCAGCAGCAGCAGCATTAACAGCAGCAGCAGCGGCAGCAGCAGCAGCAGCAGCAGCAGCAGCAGCACTGGTCGCATGGTTTTGGGAGAGCACATTCTGCGACAGCATGGCAGCAGTAGAGAACGGGCTGTGCATCCCCCCGCCAAACGCCTCATCAAAACTAAAACTATCAGCAGACGCTGCCCGCCTGTGCCCTCTTCCCCACCTGCTCGTCCCCCCCGGGCTAGACCAGCGGGGGGGGCGGCCGTGCGAGGCAGCGATAGGGGAGTTGCCTTGGCGTTGGATATGCTGATTCTGATTATTTTGCTGGCTCGGGTGATTTTGCGAGTTGTTGTGCAAACAATGTTGAGTTTGCTGGTTCTGCAGGTGCTTCCCCCGGGGTTTAGGTGGGGATCGAGGGGGGAGAGAGGCGGAGGGGGAGAACGAAGGGGAGGTGGAGGGAGAGGGGGAGGAGGTGGTGGAGGCGAGGGATGGCGCATCAGGAGGGGAGGTTCGACGGGGGGGCAGTGGAGGGAGAGTGTGAGGAGAAAAGGCGTTGGGACTGAGGGAGTGAGGAGCAGCGTCAGGAGAGCAGGAGGAGCAGGAGGAGGGTGAGCTATGGCTTTTAGGGTAAACGTGCGAATTCCTTGGGTGGAAACGGGCGGTGGTGGTGGCGGTGGTGGGAGGGGAAACAGAGATGGGAGATGACGGCCTTGTGGACTTGCCATGCGCTACTCTGGCTGCTCCTGGCGCTGCTTCTGGTGCTGCTATTGTTGGCCGTATCGTTGCTACTATACCCGCAGCTGTTGCTGCTGGTGCCGCTTCTGGTGCTGCTTCTGGTGCTGTTTTTGGTGCTGCTGTTATTGCTCCTGTCGTTGCAGCAGCTGATGCAGCTGCCACCGCCGCCAACTCATCGGCTGCTGATACCGATCTACCTGCTGCTCCGACTCTGTCCCTCGCTCCTGCATCTGCGAATGCGTCTGCATCAACCCCTGCTCCACCAGTCATAGCTGCGGACATCACTACCTCCTTTCGGTCGCTCAAGGGGGATGCTGCTGCTTCTGCTCCTGCTGCTGAGGCTCCTCCTGTTGCTATGTGAGGAGCAACGACAACAGCAGCAGCAGCTGTAGCAGTGGTGGTGGTGGTGGTGGTAGCAGTGGTGATGCCGCTAGTGCCAGGCTTTTGGTCGCTCGATTGCAGCCCGTCCGCTTTAGCTCGCCCTTTATGCCACTGCAAGAGCAGCTGCTGCACACTCTGCTGCTGCTCCGATGTGGTGCCATATGCTAGCTTCGGCTGCTGCACACTCTGCTGCTGCTGTTGCTGCTGTAACAGCTCCTGCTGCTGCAGATGCTGCACCACCTGCAGGTGCTCCGATGTGGTGCCATGTGCTAGCTTCGGCTGCTGCACACTCTGCTGCTGTGGTTGAAACTCCTGCTGCTGTTCCGTGCTCTCCTGCTGTGGCACACTCTGCTGCTTCTGCTGCAACTGCTGCTGCTGACGCTTCCCCCTCTCCTGCTCCTGCTCTTGTTGCTGCTGCTGATGCTTCCGCCTCTCCTGTTTCTGCTCTTGTTGCTGCTGCTGCTGTTGTTTTTGCTCCTGCTGTTGTTGCTGCTGCTGCTGCTGTTCTTCCCTCTCCTCCTCGTCCTCCTCCTCCGCCTGCCCTTCCTTCACCTCTCCCCCATCAAGCACAGGCTGTTTCTCATGCACCATCTGCTGCTCCTGTACCCCCCCCTGACGTGGCACCTGCTGCTGCTGAAGTCGGCCTTCCAGCGGCTGCTGTTTTCCCGCCTGAAACGGCCGGCGCTGCCACCAGTGCCCTAGGCGTGCCTGCAGCTTCGTCCGCTGCATGTGGTGCAGCAATCTCATCGCCCCCTGCCACCTGGACCTCGCTTCCCCTTCGGAGCTCTCTTCCCCTCCGGATATCTCCTCCCCCCTGGCCCCTGACTTAGCATTTCTTAATTTTGCACTGTAAGACTTTCGGAAAATCATATCTGTGGTGTAGACAGGACCCTCGTTCCACCCAGCATGGTCCATTGAGTCCGTTTCTCCTCTTTCTCCTCTTTCCTCCCCTTCGTCGAGTTCTTCTCCTCCTCCTTCAACAGCAGCATCCTCACCGTCGATTTCGCCTCCATCTTTTACGCCAGATCGATGCTCCAGATCGTCTGACGGTAGGCTGTGAAATCGCGCCAGCTGACGCCTGTTCTTCCCAAGGTCCTGAATCTCTTGGGATTGCCGAGACCCACCGCTCGCACTGCTACCGCTGTCATTGCCGAGGCTAAGTTTCCCCCCAATACTGCTAACCTCTAGGGACTGCCGAGGCCTGCTGCTCGCATTGCCATCGCTGTCATTGCCGATGCTAAATTTCTCCGCAATGCTGTCAATTTCCTGGGATTGCCGAAGCCTGCTGCTCGCACTGCTGTCGCTGTCATCGCTGACGCGGCTAGGTATTTTCCCAATGCTGCTAATTTCCGTTTCGGCAGTACCACGGAAACTGCTGCTTCCAGGGAGAGAGCTCCTTCCTGTCCCGCTCCCGCTGCTCAGACGCCGGCTGCTGTCGTCGGTTTTGCTCGGACTAGCAAATCTCCAGCTGGCTGTCAGGCTGATGCTCCGTAACACTTTATCGGAGCTCTTCTTAACGGAGTCTGGTGGAGAATCCCGGTCTCTCCTATCGAATCTCCTAATCCAACCTCTCTTCGCGTCATTGACCGCTTCTTGTACGCGTTCAAATGACAGCCTTTTCGCAGAAGGCGCTCCGCTAAACGCGCCGTTATACGCGATATACGACTCCTCTGGAACGCTGCGTACTTTCTCTCTATCGGGGACAGTCTCGGCGACTGGGCTCAGCGGCAATGCGCTCAACTCGGAGAATGACGACGACTCCATTTAGCCGGAAAACACAGTTATTCTAAGCGAGTCAACTCATAACGCGGAATCGTCAGCATGCCATTCCCACACGACGCGACACGGAATCCTGAGGAAACACGATTCCGACGAGCCTATAGTAGACCTATGGCCTGTCCGCCATTCAGTCTAGCAACTGTAACCTAAGACGCGCCATGGAGAATTTAATCCAGTCCTTTCTGCCATGACGTGGCTCTCTGGAGTAGGTTGCTGAGGAAGCCTCGATTCCGTGGCAAGGGTGGTGGTGGCGAGTGGTGGCGACTCTCCTAGTTACCACAACAGGACTAATACCACGGGAGTGTTACTTATTGCTTCTAAAGTTTATGCAAGGAAATGCCATCACCTCTCATGCCCTAGCATGGTTAGCAACTAGAAGAAGAAGACATAGGAAATTTAAAGATATAGTACGAAAATGCCTATCAAATTTAACATTATCCATTTAGAAGCTACAGTTATATGATGCTTTTATACGGAAGGGAGATTGAGTTTTACCGCGTATAGATCTTGTGGCTGGTGTGTCGCCTCCAACCCAAGTCAGTCGCGTGTTCCAGAAGCTCTCCAGCTCAAGGGGTTACCGCTGGGAGGCGATATCGACGGCTATTTTCGTGTCAGATCGCTCACATCGACGGCTCACAATCACCTGCGCCGCAGTCATCTAGGTGTTCGCGAGGCTTTCCTTCCCTCCCAAGATTCTGCCGAACACCCCCCCGAGAGAGCCTCCCTCCAACCCACCAAGCAGAATCACCCAAGGAATCTCCCAGGCACAGTCCCCCCAGAAAGAAGTTACTTCTCTTGGTATTTGGCTAACTTGACAGAGTTTGATCTTGCACAGGGAGTTCCTGAGTTTCTGGTTCTTCCTCGCTCACACTTCTCTTCAGGCCTATGCGACTGGGAGCCAGCTCGCAACTTTCGCTCACTCGTAGCCTGCGCGTCGTCTAATCTCGGCTAGGAAGCGTTCGCTCTTGCTTGCCTGTAAAGTCCGCGGTCGCGCTTGCGATTTGCTTGTTTCTCCGGTCAAGTTCGTTGTGACGACGTTGTAACTACATCGCGACGAGATGGGTGGAGGCAACGGTCAGAAGGCCAAGATGGCTCGCGAGAAGGCGCAGGCTAAGATGCAAGGAAACCGAGGTACAACGGCTGGATCTCATTGGTATCAGAATTTTTGTTTTTTTTTCCCCTCGTTAGATTGTTAAATCATGACGCCGACAACTTCATGTTAGCGCGTGCATTTGGTTATGACGCAAAACTCATTGCCTGATTTTTTTAACCCCACGCCATGCTTGAGCTTTCGTTTGGAGAGCAGAAAGATTCTGTTTCTGACGTCGTCGTTCCGTTAGCATGTCCGTTATTAGGTCTACTTACGTTCTCTCTCGCTCCCCAACTCGCCCTCTCCTCCTTTATATTCCTTGCAGGCAGTCAGCTTGAGATTAACCAAAAGGCTATGAACATTCAGGTAAGATGATATCAGGCTGTCGTCGGTGAGATACTTTCATGATGTCGTTTGGTGGTTACCAGGCTTTTCGTTCCGTCAGCAGACTTCAGTTGGTCTCGTGGATATATTATTTCATGTTGCTTATCCAGTGTCCCCGCGTCTCGTCAGGGGAGCGATGAAGTGTTTGGTCAGATGACCCTTAAATGCTTTCTTGGACTTAAGACTATAGTTGTTCGACCAGTTACGATACATGTCATTGTCATATAGTTTAGACTTGACGCTCCTCGATTCCTCATCCCTCCCCTGCATCTCTCCCCTTCGTCCTCCACAATGCAAGGTGTGCATGCGGACTTTCATTCGCACGACCAACGAGGCCAAGTGCAGAGAGCATGCCGACGCCTGTTGAGCCGCCTTAACCCCCGTCCTCATTCTCCCCCCCTTTGTTCCGCCCCCCTTCCCCGTTCCCTGCAGTGCAAGGTGTGCATGCAGACGTTCATCTGCACGACCAACGAGGCCAAGTGCAGAGAGCATGCAGACGCGCGGCACCCGAAGAACGACTTCTACCAGTGCTTTCCTCACCTCAAGCAGTGACCAGACCCCGAGGTTCGGTTCCTTCTACTTTCGTTTCTGGGAGGGGACAGGGCGATAAAAGAGTAGCTGTGTGTGGGGGGGGGTTTGGGGGGGAAGTGCGGGAGTGGGGGGAGAAGGGGAGAAGCGGAGCGGGGGTGGGGAGTTATGGGAGCGGTGTCTTTCTGGTGCTAAAGGTGGATTTTATAGAACGAAGCGAGACTGATAACCAATATTGGGTGTGGTATCTGAGGTATGAATGGTGAGATCAGTGGGAATTACAACACAAACGGGGTTGGTGACAGAAACAGGATAAAGGGGTCTGATAGTGTGGTTTGTCATACCATTGGTCGCACAAGGGGGCGGATGTTTCACACAGATGGGATCGGTTGCGCAGTATAGGAGTGGTACACAGCCCGGGAGTGAAAGGGAGGAGAGGGAATTGGGTGTGCAGGTGTGTGTGTTCCAACCATGTCCACGGATGCACGTGCAAGGGTATGCGCATGCACCTTGCTCACACACGCGCATGCACACGCATACACATAAATCACATGCGCATGCTCGGAGGACACTCCTTTCGTCCAAGCCACACTCTGGCACAAGCACACGTGCATGCATTTGTGCACACCCCCCCCCCCCCCACATGCACACTTGCATGCGCGCTCACACACACACACGCACACAAACGCATGCTAGCACACACCTGCATGTGCCGGACGGATGGGGGCAGGAGAAGAGAAATGATATGTACATTGCTGGGTGAAGCTTTACCACGTCAAACACTTTCCTTGATTTGTTTTCTCCACCCAATCTTTGTGCAGGTCTGCTGTTTGTGGTCTGTGCTACATCAGGATTCAGGAGGCAAGGCGTGTTTCGGAGTTACTTACAAATCAGCTCACTTATGAAACCATTGCGTGACAGAGTATACTTCAACAGCGTGTACTGGCCAGGCCACTTGGCTTTGTGACTTCCTGTGTCGCAGAGCTCCGTGCTTGGCTTTTGCATGTTCTCTCTATGCAGTCGTTGGTTTTTGTGTGGATAGTTAGCTTTCTTGCTAGGTGGCCGTCAGACCTGATATGTCTTTTGGCAATCAGCTGCTTTCTGGGACCAGCTTGGGTACTTTCCCCAGATGGTGGTCTTGATGTGTGAAGGAATTTAATTCTACAATGCAATCTCTATATCTTCAGTAGTGCCTTGGTGAGTTAGCTGAGCTAACTTAGCTCACAGCTTCACACAGCTTCAGTAATAATATTTGGCAAGTTGGGAGGTTGATAGCTGAGTACCTCATGTCTAGGTACCATAAAGTAAGATTTATTTTGCAGGTCTTCACATTGCTACCGTATTACATGCAACTACCGTCCCATCTGAGATGCGATTATAGGCTGTTTGATCCGGCCAACCAAATGTGCTGAAAACGTATGCTACCGTATAAGCCAGTCATAAGTGTTACGTCCAGGCCTCGTTCAGCGCCACATGTCCCGAGTACAGCCTCCCATTGGTCGATCTCAGCTCGTCGATCAGACGGTTCCAGTTCGACGCGAGTGCGCCCACAAAGTAATCCGCCTGCGTGGTGATGAGCAGATTGGCAAAAATCTCGCCTGTGCGCTGCTTGTCCTTCACGTGCTCCTCCTGCATCTGCGTTGCACTTGTAACGCGCCCGCTTGTCGTGTAGTGGAAGGTCCAGTCAGGGAAGTTGGAGGTTTCGTCAATCACACTCTGACATGTGTACCAATGGGAAAGAAGAATGGGGAAGGAGAGGGAGAGTTTTGCAGGAGTCAGGTGGGGGGATAGAGGAGGGGGAGGAGGGAGAGGAGTCAGGTGGGGGATAGAGGAGGGAGAGGAGGGAGAGGAGTCAGATGGGGGGATAGAGGGGTGGGGGAAGGGGGGGGGGGAAGAAAGGAGAAAGGAGATTTGTGTTAAGTTGTTCAGGTTCAACTTGCTTCTTAGTTGCACTTGTAATGAGGTTGCAAGATAGTGGTTAGTTAAAGGACCAATCAGGGACGGTGGAAGATTCACCCCTATACTGCACAAGACATCTTACAGGCTACACCCTCACCTGGATCCCTGTACCCCATATAAGCCACCCTACAGGCACCTTCATCCCTGTACCCCATGTAAGGGCGTGTCCCTACGTGACACAATGTCACGCTACTTCGTATCAAAACTGTATTGACGGGCAAAGTTGACGGGCAAAATCTCAACTGACACGAAGTAGCCTGACATCGTGTCGCGTAGGAACAGGCCCTAAGTCACTCCACAGGCTCGCCTGCATCTCTGTACCCCATATAAGGCAACCCACAGGCGCACCGGCATCTCTGTACCCCAACCACCCCACATGATCACCTGCATCTCTGTACCCCACATGATCACCTGCATCTCTGTACCCCAACCACCCCACATGATCACGTGCATCTCTGTACCCCATACAAGCCACCCCACTTCTCACCTGCATCTCTCTACCCCATATAAACCACACCAAATTCTCACCCTTCACCTCTGTACCCCATATAAGCCACCCCACAGGCTCACCTGCATTTCTGTGCTCAGCCACACATGCTCCAGGTTCGGCACATGCTCCCGTAACTTGTACATAAAATACATGTAAGTCGCAAAAAAGTGTAGCTTCATCTCGAGGTATTTGTCGCTCAGCCGCACGTGCAGGCTCACGTACGGCCGGAATATAAACGGTTCATCTTGTAATGAGGCAAACTCCACCGCCGCCCCTCCCCCCGCGTTCGCACTCCCCGCCCCCGCGCACACCTCCGTTTCGTTACACCACGCTCCCATACACCCCGCAAACCCCCTCATTTGCCATACAGTCCCGGCTAGACTTGATTTAAAAACGACGGAGGGAGGGGTGGCAGATGAGCCGTCCGGGAGACTAGCCAGGTGTTGGGATGCCGGGGTGTTGGCGGGTGTGGATTGGAGGATCGATTGCTGTTTGGCTGTAGCGGCTACTAGTCGCTCCGCTACAGCTAGCCCGTAGGTGTTGTGCCGCACGCGGTTGGTGATGTGGCAGAGCAGGGCGGATGGCCAACGGAGAAGAAAACGTGCAGTTTGGGACCGCCACCAGCGCTCCTGTTGGGAAGAGGGAGAGAAGAAAGGGTTAGCGAACGGAAAGGAGTGGGGGGGGGGGGGTTAAGGGAGGGGGGACAACATGCCATGTGACAACAAACTCTGTTCGTCGTCACTGGGAGGACAACATACTATAAGCAGTGGAGTTATTTATGAGCATTCTCAAAAACTACGTACTGATAAGCCATGATCAACAATTGCGAAAGGATATGCCTGCTCACCCCAATGTGGTTGTCATAGGGAGGCCATATCCTCCCCAGCTGCTCTACGATGAATGGCTGCCGAATGTGGTGGCATTGTGCTATGTGGCAATATCTAATGTGACACCACACAGCATGGGAGCATGTGCATGAAACAGCTGCTCACCCCAATGTGGTTGTCATTGGGAGGCCATATCCTCCCCAGCTGCTCTATGGCTCATGGCTGCTCGTTTGGTGGCAATTGTGCCGAGACAACACACAATGTGGCACCAAGTGCAAGTGACAGCAACTCACCCCAATGTGGTTGTCATTGGGAGGCCATATCCTCCCCAGCTGCTCGATGGTGAACGGCTGCTCTAGCTCGGGAGGCCGGCCGTCAGGCGCAACCCAGAGGCTGCAGGGGGATGAGAGAGCAGAGAGAGTTTTTTTTTTTGAGGCGCCTCAAAAAGAGAGGGGGAGGGGAAGGAAGGGATAAGGCTGAGTGAGGCACAGGATAGGGAGAGGTTGACCACTGCTCTATGGTGAATGGCTGCTCTAGCTCTGGAGGTCTGTCGTCAGGAACAACCTAGAAGCTGCAGAAATAAGGGATCGATAGGGGTAAGGGAATGGCAGGGGTGAAGGAAAAGGAGTGAGAAGGTAGATACGAGTTCAAACGTGCGTGTCGCTGAGTATGGCCACCTGAGCACCCGACGCCAGCACTGTAGCACTCTCACTCACACCATACATTTAGCATACACACACCGTTACACACATCTGGCAGCCCTGGCAGCATCGTGGTGGTAGTGCGTGTCGTTGCAGAGCACCACCTGACCTGAGTAGCCGACGCCAGCACAGCACCTTACCACAACACGGATTCATACCTGTGGCATACGCACACACACACATCCGTGAGAGTCTATTTTTGAGGCGCCTCAAAACTATACGCACACACACACATCCACCACCAACCTGGCAGCCCTGGCAGCATCGTGGTGGTAGTGCGTGTCGTTGCAGATCACCACTAGAGTAGCTGAAGCCAGCACCGTCTCCTTGGTGTCGTTGAACAGAGCGATCCGTGCCGCTGCCTCTGCTGCCAATGATGGTGCACACCACAACCACACCCAACCACACTCAACCACAACCATGCACACCTTGCAGCCCTGGCAGCATCGTGGTGGTAGTGCGTGTCGTTGCAGATCACCACTAGAGTAGCTGAAGCCAGCACCGTCTCCTTGGTGTCGTTGAACAGAGCGATCGGCGCTGCTGCCTCTGCTGCCAGAGCCACCTTGAGGCACTCTGGAGATGCTACAGGGAAGAAGTAGCACTCCCACTCGCCCTCCTGGCCGATATCTGGGGTAGCGCAATAGAATGAGGAAAGGGGAAGCAGGGGGAGGGGCGAAGATACGGCGATGGGAGCGGGAAGGGAGGGGGGAATTTCACACGGAAGGAGCAATGGGAGCTGCTGCCTCTGCTGCCAGTGCCACCTTGAGGCACTCTGGAGATGCCACGGGGAAGAAGTAGCACTCCCACTCGCCCTCCTGGCCGAGATCTGGGGTAGGGCACCAGGAGAGCAGCAGGGGGGGATGGGTCATGGAATGTTGTTAGCCATGAAGGTTTGAAGCAAACAGGGGGGGAGGGGTCGTGGAATGTGGCATGGAAGAAGACGCCAGCACACATTGGAACGTGTGCCTCCTTGGATTAGGCTTGGCCCAACGCCAGCACACACCTGCTTGGTGCCGTTGCACGTAAGTGAGATCCCAAGGATCGTCACTCATTGGAGGAAGAGCTGCAGCGTGGAGTTTCTGTCAGCAGAAAGATCGCTTGCCTTGTGAGATTCTCCACTAAACAAGAACTAGGCTCTCAGTGAAGCTCACTCAAGATTAAAACACAAGGGGAGACAAACATGTTTCGGCCTTACTAGGGAGGGGAGTCCCGTTAGACCTTGGATTAGGCTGGGCCCAACGCCAGCACACGCTTTGAGTCGACTCAAAAGCAGATGTTTCGGCCTTACTAGGGAGGGGAATCCCGTTAGACCTTGGATTAGGCTTGGCCCAACGCCAGCACACGCCTGCTTGGTGCCGTTGCTCTGCTGCCTCTGCTGCCGGTGCGACTTTCAGGCATTCGCAGGATTTGCAGGGGGGGAGGGAGGGGTCACGGAATGGCATTTGAGTCGACTCACAGGTCACGGAATGTGGCATGGAAGCAGGTGCCAGCACCGTCTCCTTGGTGCCATTGAATAGAGCGATCGTCCCCACTAGCCGTGTGAAAGTTCCGTGGCGAATGACGAGCGTTCTGTTGTGGCGCACGGCAGCATTCAGAAACGACCTCATCACATGCACCATGTTGCCCCGTGGTGCTTGGAGGGTGAACCTTGGAAGGTGCTGTTTGTGATGGTGCGCGCTTGGGATGGCAGCTTTTTGGCAATCACTGTTCCATCCTCCTCACCCTCGCACTCGTCCGCAATCAATTGACGCTCGTCAATTGAGCGTCAGAAACGGCGAGGGTGAGGAGGATGGAACGCTCGTCCCTGCTAGCGCGGTGGAAGGTCCTCGGCCGGATCACAAGCGTTCTGTTGTTGTGGCACGAGGAGTCTATTTCTGTTGAGGAACGACAAACGTTCCTCAACAAAAACAAGCGTTCTGTTGTGGCACACAGCGGCGTTGAGGAACGACCCCATGATACGCACCACCATGCTGCCAAAAGAGTCTACTTTTGAGGCGCCTCAAAAAGCATGCGTGAGGAGTCTTTTTCTGAGGCGCCTCAAAAATAGACCCATGTTGCCATGGGTCGTGGCACCATGTTGCCATGGGTCGTGGCACCATGTTGCCATGGGTCGTGGCACCATGTTGCCATGGGTCGTGGCACCATGTTGCCATGGGTCGTGGCACCATGTTGCCATGGGTCGTGGCACCATGTTGCCATGGGTCGTGGCACCATGTTGCCATGGGTCGTGGCACCATGTTGCCATGGGTCGTGGCACCATGTTGCCATGGGTCGTGGCACCATGTTGCCATGGGTCGTGGCACCATGTTGCCATGGGTCGTGGCACCATGTTGCCATGGGTCGTGGCACCATGTTGCCATGGGTCGTGGCACCATGTTGCCATGGGTCGTGGCACCATGTTGCCATGGGTCGTGGCACCATGTTGCCATGGGTCGTGGCACCATGTTGCCATGGGTCGTGGCACCATGTTGCCATGGGTCGTGGCACCATGTTGCCATGGGTCGTGGCACCATGTTGCCATGGGTCGTGGCACCATGTTGCCATGGGTCGTGGCACCATGTTGCCATGGGTCGTGGCACCATGTTGCCAAAAGTCGTGGTACCATGTTGCCAAAAGTCGTGGAGTTTACTCCCATCCCATTCACTCTCCCTCTCACCTTTGCACTCGTCCCTGTTAGCCCCGTGGGTGGAAGGTTCTCACCCGAATGACCAGAGTCCTGTTGTGGCGCACGGCAGCACTGGGGAACGACCCCACCACATGCACCATGTTGCCCGTGCCGTGGTGCTTGGGGGGTGGTGCTTGGGAGGTGGTGCTTGGGGGTTGGTGCTCACTCACATTCACTCCTCCTCACCTTTGCACTCCTCCCCGCTAGCCCGGTGGAAGGTGCGAGGGCGGATGACCAGAGTCCGGTTGTGGCGCACAGCGGCATTGAGGAACGACCCCATCACATGCACCATGTTGCCCGTGCCGTGGTGCTTGGGCGGCCAGTCAGTAATCATTAGCCGCCGCCCGGCACAGCTGGCGGGAAACTGCCGCTCCCACAGGTCCCGCTGGAAGACACGTGTCAGCGCAAGATTGGCCGCATCAGAGCCACGGACCTGGGTTGGTGGGGTGGGGGCGTGGGAAATGGGGAGGGGAAGGAGGGGAAGGAGGGAGGGGAAGGGAGAAAAGAAGGCTGGGAAGTTGCGGGGTTGGGGCAAGGAGTTGGTTCTTGAGAATTCTCGATTCCAAACTGACTGGGAAAGTTAGGGAGTCGTGCAGATTGGGTTTACAACTCCCATCTGCACACACAGGGTAGGTGACTTTTGAGTTGACTCAAAAGCCACACAGGGCAGGTGACTTTTGAGTCGACTCAAAAGTCACCTCGAAGCAAACTGATTGGGGAAGTTAGGGAGTTGTGCAGATTGGGTTTACAACTCCATCTGCAAACACACGGTAGGGGCAAGGGGTTGATTTGAGTTGGCTTGTTACGTTTTCTCAGAAGCCAGTTGAGAAAAGAGAATTTGGGACTCGTGCAGACAGGAATCGGGGCAAGGGGTTGTGTTGAGTTGGTTTCTAAAAGAGGCGTTAGGCAGTCGTGCAGACGGGGCGGTAAGACAGGAATGAGGCAAGGAGGTGAGAGGAGGGGGGTGGGCTGACGAAGGAGGATAGGCAAAAGATGAGAGAAGGGAGGAAGAGAAAATATTCGGAGATTTTCACAGCTGTTGGGTGGGAAATCTCGGAAAAAAACACCAGGGGTGGGAAGACAGAAGAGATGTAGATAAGTTACTCGTGGGTGCTTGAGATTGGCAAAGAAACCGAACACCACTTACCCAAGGTGGCTGTGGCGTGCAGTTGCAGCATTTGGTGGGTCGCACCCACTCTGGGTCCGCACCATTCGCCCCCCTCGCCTCTGCTTTAACCCTCAACGCCGTCTTGGCGGTGCAATCCTCCAGGTGAGGCGCCGGGGGGACGTCCGCAGGGAAGGCGAGAGGGGAGGGGGAGCGGGTGGTGTCCTCTGCCAGGTTATACACCTTGGTCCACACCTTGTGGGGGGGGGCGGGGAGGGGAGGAGGTTGGTGGGGGGAGGGAGGGGACGGAACAGAGTGAGACAGCAGTCTTGGCAGGGGGGAGGCGAGAGGCGAGGGGGAGCGGGTGGTGTCCTGTGCGAGGCTATACACCTTGGTCCACACCTGGGGGGGGGGGGGAGGAAGGGGCGTATTAAGGGGCGTATTAAGGGGCGTATAAAGGGGCGTATTAAGGGGCGTATTAAGGGGCGTATTAAGGGGCGTATAAAGGGGCGTATTAAGGGGCGTATTAAGGGGCGTATAAAGGGGCGTATTAAGGGGCGTATTAAGGGGCGTATTAAGGGGCGTATTAAGGGGCGTGGAAGGGAAGGGGGAAACGGGAAGAGACAAGGGGAGAGGAAGGGGGAGAGCAGGCTCTTCGAGCAGTCTTACCGTTGCAGAGAAATCTGGGAAGGGCCTCTTGGAAGGAACCGTCGGGAAATCTTGGGATTCTGAGAGGTCTTGGGAGGTGATTTCTTTGGAGTTCTCAGAAATCTGGCAAGGGTCTTCCAAGAGACCTCATGCAAAGACTCGTAGGGAAATATTCCCAAGAGACCCTCGCTCCACCGCTGCTACACCACCGTTCCCCCCATATTTGACCATCGCTCCTCCCCCTAACCCACTTACTACACTGTCGCCCCTCGCCCTCCCCGCCCCTCACCCCCCCCTTGGCTACCTCGTGTAGCCTCTTCGCATGCAGCGTCCGCCAATTCCGAGGTGACTTGTGAGTCGACTCAGAGGTTATTTTTGAGTCGACTCAAAAATTCCGAGGTGACTTGTGAGTCGACTCAGAGGTTATTTTTGAGTCGACTCAAAAATTCCGAGGTGACTTGTGAGTCGACTCAGAGGTTATTTTTGAGTCGACTCAAAAATTCCGAGGTGACTTGTGAGTCGACTCAGAGGTTATTTTTGAGTCGACTCAAAAATTCCGAGGTGACTTGTGAGTCGACTCAGAGGTTTCCCCCCCTCCCCATCGCCCCCATCTCCTCTCCTTCTCCGCTCCCCAATTCCTCCCCCCCCCCCCTCCTCTTCCTCCTCTCCCCGCCCCTACCCCTCCCCCCCCCCCCCCCCCCCCCTTCCCACCCTTCCCCCCTGACCTACCTCGTGTAGCCTCTTCGCAGCGCCCGCCAATTCCGAGGTGACTTGTGAGTCGTCTCAAAGCGTTCTTCCCCTCCTCCAATCCCCCCCTCCCCCCCCTCCCCCCTCCCCCCTTCCCCACTTCCCCCCTCCCCCCTCCCCCACTTCCCCCCTTCCCCTTCCCCCATTTCCCCCACCCCATCCCTTCCCCCCCAAGCTACCTCGTGCAGCCTCTTCGCTGCCTCCGCCAATTCCGGGGTAACCTGAGGCATCCCCTCGCCCGCGGGAATCGCGGCGCCGATCACGCTGACTGCGAGCAGCGGGAGCAGAATCCATTTGCTCCACTCCATCCGCGATACGACGGTCCAGCGAGAAAGACGCAATACTACCAGAGCCGGGATCAGACCACCGTCCAAAAATTAATACTCCTGTCGAGCTGTTTTGTACTCTATTGTAACAGTAACCAGTCCTCGCATAGTACTGCCGGCATTTAGTGTCGCGAGTGATTCCGAGATGGTTGTCGATTGTCTTGAGTGATCTCGTTAGTGACTATAAGAAGGTCTAGCTGTGGATTAAGTGACAAAAACGAGGAACAACGAATTGGACAAATGCACGGAAGCTGGTAAGCAGGCTTTCATACTCGTCAGCATCCGAATGAATGTGATCGAAGCAATCTCGCCGCGCGACACTATGCCTGGAAAAGCCGGTTGATAGGAGCCGTGAGTTGGTGTTGAAGACGAAGGATGATTTCGGGCTCGGGCCGGAAGAAACGGACACATACGCGTTACAAGGCCACGTCACTGGACCAATCCGAGAGAGAGAAGATTGGTTGGTTGGCTCCGCAATTCCCAAGGTTGATACCCGATACAAACATCCCCGTGGATTCAAAATTACAATCAGCCTTAAAATCCTTCTCACCATCGTTACGAAATCAACTTCGGGGAGGGAGTTTTTTTCAAAAGGCCGCGCTAAGTTTGTCGCAGGTACTGGCGCGTAAAATCTGCTCAATCGATTATCTGAAACTTTTCAAACTTCCAATATTAGGGTTCTAGGTAACAGCTTGATAGTAGCCTTAGCTAAAAGCTGAATATACCCCACCACCCGTTGCTACTTAACGATAGCTGCTCTCTGAAACACGGCCTTTCTTCGCTACCCACCCACACCATCAGCCAACTCAAAGCCCATTGCCACTAATTCATTACGTTCCAGGAATTCATGACGCCACACTCAAAACAGATCACATCGCGCATCGGTTCGCAGGCGTCTCCCGTGAAGCAGCCATTGGTGCTCCCGTGGTTTCAGCACTAGCAGCCGTCGGCATCACTGCACTCGCGTTCACGGTTCTGCTGTCAGACGTCAACCTAAGCTGATCACTCTTGAGGCGCCTAAAAAATAGACGCCCAAGCTGACCATTCGCTCGCAGCTGCCATAATGTGTTCAGCCGTGCCAATGCAGGCTTCTCTGCCCTCGCCTACACTTTATTCCCGTTACAATCCAGACAGTATTCGCAAAAATTCCAACGTTTCGTTCCTTCAATGTCCGAAACCCCTCGTAAACCTCGCGCCGGAAACATCTCTCCGCCTGCGCCGATCCCGCACATCTCTTCCCCCCATGACCGCGCAAGCGGGGAAGGGCTTCGGGAAGAAGCCGGCGGCCGGCAGCAAGGCCAAGCCGGCCGGCAGCAAAGCCAATCCGGCCGGCAGCAGCAGCAAAGTCCTTGATGAGCTTAGCTCCGTCGCAGGGGGCTCAGTTTCCGCAGCGCCAGCAGCGGCGGCGGCGGCGGAAGCGGGGGAGGGGGGAGCGGCGGTGTGCCCGTGCGGGGGAGGGGCGGAGAAGCGCGGGTACAAGGAGTGCTGCGGGCGGTACCATGGGGGGGTGAAGGAACCAGACGCTGTTACGCTCATGAGTGAGTGTGGTAACCAGATGGTGTTACTCTAGTGAGTGGTAACCAGGTATGCCTGGGCGGGAGGGGGAGAGGAGGGGGGGTGGGTGGTGGTGTGGAGTGGAGAAGTGCGGTTACAAGGAGTGTTGCGGGGGGTTGAATGAACCAGACGCTGTAACGCTCATGAGTGAGTGATGGTGGTAACCCGTTACCAGATGGTGTTACACTAATGAGTGGTAACCAGATGTGTTCGTGCAGGCAGTACCATGGGGGGGGGGGGAAGGAACCAGACACCGTTACGCTCATGTGTGTGAGTGGTTCTTAGTGGTAACCCGACGCCAGTACTCTCTTTAGTGAGTGATTTTGAGTGGTAACCGGATGGTGCTACTATGTTCCTGAGTAACTGTTGGTCCGTTCAACGCATGGCAACGACCCCAAGGTGGCACCAGGAGGAGCGGAGGCGAGAAAGACGCTAGTCAGAACCCCCCTCACCTGCCCTCCCGCTTGTGTAACCCCCCTCCCTCTCTCTGTGTAACCCCCTTCCCTCCCTTACCAGAGGCGCGGTACTCTGCCTTCGCCAAAGGTGTGATCCCCGACATCGTCCGAACAACGCATGTCGACAACCCCAGCTTGTGACCAGGGGGAGCGGATGGGTGAAAAAAGCCTGTCCTAAACCACCTCACCTGCCCCCCTCGTTATAACTCCCATCCGTCCCTTTCCAGAGGCGCGGTATTCAGCCTTCGCCAAAGGTGTGATCCCCTACATCGTCCGAACGACGCATGATGACAACCCCAACTTGGGACCAGGGGGAGCGGAGGGGAGAAAGCAGTTGACTGCAGATTGTGAGGAGACGTGCAACCGCCTGGTGTTTAAACGCCTTGATATCATGTCAACCGAGGCAGGCTCGACAGAGGATGTGAGTGAAAAGGGTTTGAGGATAGTGGGGGGGGGATGCGAGGAGTGAGGAGGAAGGAACGGAGGGGCGGAAGAAGCCGACTGCTGATTGTGAGGAGATCCTGGTTGAAAAAAATTGCTTTGTGCGTGACACATCCTCCGGTCGGTGCCTCTACCGGGAAAGGATTCCCCTGGATGCTGCTGCAAAGGTCCTTGCATCCATCCCTGCACCCCTTCTCCCCTCCCCGTCCCCTCTTCCCCCTTCTCCCCCCCTTCCCCCCCCTTCCCCCCCCTTCCCAATCCCTCTCGAGGAGTCCTTTGTCTCGTTCCGTGCCGTGTACGCCTACAAGCACGGCACCACCACTGACAATCAGATCCCGGTCGAAGAACCCTGGTTCGTTCGCGACCCATCCTCTGGCCGGTGGCTCTACATTGAAAGGATCCCCTTGGATGCTGCTGTGGAGGCCCTAGCATCCATCCCTCCACCCCTCTCTCTCTCTCTCTCTCTCCCATCCACCCCCGCCACCAGGAATCTTGAGTCGACTCAAAAATCGACTCATTACACACGGATTTTAAGTCGACTCAAAAATCGACTCTCCCATCCACCCCCGCCACCAGGAATCTTTCGTCTCGTTCCGTGCCGTCTACGCCTACAAGCACGGCACCACCACTGACAATCAGATCCTCGTCGAAAAATCTCGGTTCGTTCTTGACCCATCCTCTGGCCGGTGGCTCTACATTGAGAGGATCCCCCTGGATGCTGCTGCGGAGGCGGCCTGGAGGTTGGGGCCAGAGCTGCTTCAGCAGGAGAAGCAGCAGGGGGGGAAGAAATCTTATGTCATGCAGGGAGCAGCACAGCCGAAGCTAAGGCCCAGATCGAGTTAAGTTGCAACGGAGAGACTTTTTCTTGATGATGCTGCTGCGGATGGGACCTGGAGGTTGGGTCCGGAGTTGCTTCAGCAGGAGAAGCAGCAGGGAGGGAAGAAGTCTTATTTGATGAAGGGAGCAGCACAGCCGAAGCTAAGGCCCCGATCAACTCAGATTGCAGAGAAAGGAACTCTCCTGCTGCTGTGGAGGCCGCCAGGAGGTTGAGTCCGGAGCTGATTCAGCAGGAGAGGCAGCAGGGGGGGAGGCTAAGGGATGTGATGAGGGGAGCAGCGCAACCAAAGCTAAGGCCCAGATCAAGCTAGGCTGGTAGAGCCAGGTAGACCGGTGGGTGGATGCGGCTGCAGAGGCAGCATGGAGGCTGGGACAGGCATTAGCACAGCAGGAGCAGGAGCAGGGGCAGGGTATTTTTGAGAATTCTAAAAAATATCCTGCAAATTCAGGGGCAGGGTGAGAATGGGAGGACGTGGACGAGGGAAGTGGCACAGTTGAAACGAAACTGAGAAGGCCCGGTTCAAGGTAGTGCTCTCAGTGCTGCACTGTGTTGCATTGTAATTCGTTAATTTACGGTACCAACTACGGTGCTTCTACACTACACGGCTACTTGAATGGGCAATTCCTGGCACCTGGATTGCAGATTACTTGTGCAGTGATTCCTGATATATCATCACCAGTGCTAGCACTAGTAATGGGATTCTCTTATAATGGGATCATGGGAGGACTACCAATGGCTGCGCCACTACAGAGTCAGCAACACTACTGTAGTTGAGCACCACTAGTGGTAGAGATCTAGCACCCTTTCACTGAGCAGGGGGAAGGTGGCGAAGGCAGGCAGGCGGGCACCGCTGGTGGTGGTTACAAATCGAGAGTGGCACCCCCACCCACTATTGGTACCGCTCTAGAACCTTCTCAATTAGCAGCGAGAATGCAGCAAAGCCAGCGCAGCCCATGCAGGCGGCTTGTGGGCCCGCTGCAAAAACAGAAGGGGTAGAGGGGAGGGAGGGGGGGGGAGAGCGGGGGGTGGGGAGAAGGGAGGAGAAATCGTTGGGGAGTGTTTGGAGGCATTCTTTATGATTCTAAAGAATCTCACAACGGGAAGGCGATGTGGTGTGAGGGGATGCAGGGTAGAAGACAAGGGGAGGAAGGGTGGTGTTGGTTTGCCTGGTAGGCAATTTACCTTCAAACTTCACACATACACACAAACACACCTCAAACTTACACACTTCACACTTGCACAAATCCACACTCCACACACACTCCACACTAACACACTTCACTCTCACCCCTGACTTTCACAGTCACTCCTGCCTTGTTGCTGCAGCTTCGTTTTGAGTCCATTCAACACGAAGCTACTTACACACTGATTCTATAGAATGCTAAAAAACAAAAGCTCCTACCTTCCCTGCCATACCCTACGATTCAGATAATACCTCCGCCAAAACCCTTAACCCGTACACGCACATGCGCACTTCTACTTGCCAACGCACCTCTAGCAGACAGCGCCTCTCCAGTGACACGCCCCTCCAGTGACACACCCCTCCAGTGACACACCCCGCAATGACTGTGTTCACTTCATCGTGCCGTGCTCTCGCCTTCTCGGCCACACACTCCGATGCCGAGAAGAACGCCCCCATCACAACATGCTATACTCCCACCTCTAGCAGTCAATGTCTCTCACAAGACGTACCTCTAGCAGACAGCGCTCCCCCAGTGACACACCCTGCGATGACTGTGTTCACTTCATCGTGCCTCGCCCTCGCTTTTTCTGCCACACACTCTGACGCTGAGAAGATGGCGCCCATCACTGCGAACGTCTTTCCCGTGTGCCAACTGCGCTGCGCCATCTGCCTGTCATAAGACAGAGACGCGGAAGACAGAGACGCGGAATGCGGAAAGGCACGGAGAGACGCGGAGCGAGACAGAGAAACTGAGGAGACGTGGACGCATGAGTGAGTTAGCTGAAAAAGCTGGTCCCATCAAGCATAGCGGCTAATAATAGTGCAAGGCATCTGCTTTGCCCCGCACACTCAAAACCACAAGGCACATCTGACCACGCATATCAATGGGAAAGCACAAGGCACCTCACTCACTTGAATCCGTGCACCACCTGCTGCCGCGTGCTCATGTCCTCCACGTGCAGGGGCTGGCCTACTTGCATGTCTTGACTCAACACAGCGCACACACGTGTGAAGGGAATAGTGCATCATTTGCACTCACTTGAATCCGTGCACCAGCTGCTGCCGTGTGCTCATATCCTCCACATGCAGGGGCTGATCCAAGGCGCCGAAGAGAAGCCCCATCATCACACCCATGCCCCCCCCTGGCGGAATGAAAGCAAGGGTTTTGGAGAGGGGAAAGATGAAAGGGAGAACAGAGGGGCTCTTGTCCTCCACATGCAGAGGCTGATCCAAGGCGCCGAAGAGAAGCCCCATCATCAACCCATGGCCTCCTCCTGGGATCCAATGGCATGCAGGGATTCGGGCAACAGAGGGGATGAGAGAAGAACAGGGGAGATGAGGCTCTTGTCCTCCACGTGCAGGGGCTGATCCCAGGCGCCGAAGAGAACACCCATCATGACCCCCATGGCCTCCTCCTGTGATGGGTCGGATAGACAGATGAAGGGAGCGAGGATGAAGAAAGGAGAAGGCACGGCCATACTATAACCCCTCAAGACCACACACCACGAAGCCATCAATGGCCGTGCCGTGCGCATGCCCCAGCGAGATGACTTTTGAGTCGACTCAAAAGAACACACACCACAAAGCCATCAATGGCCGTGCTGTGCGCATGCCGCAGCGAGATGACTTTTGAGTCGACTCAAAAGAGCACACACCACAAAGCCATCAATGGCCACGCGCATGCCGCAGGGTGCAGGAGCACTCGAGCCACCATATCCTCCTAAGCATTCGCAAAAAAACATTACTCACCCAGGACGCCACGTATAATGCTTCATCGTCTCCTGAGCCGCCATGCCCTCAGGTGTTCACGAAGCTGGAATGACGCCGTGTGACGATGACGTTATCAGATGTGGCTCTACCAGGTGTGACTCTGCTCTGCTCCAACAACTACGGTGCACCCTTCAACACCACTCACCCATGACGCCGCTAATGACGGTGCGCACGCCGCAGTGGTTCATCATCTCCTGAGCCGCCATGTCCTTTTGAGTCGACTAGGTGACTTTTGAGTCGACTCAAAAGTCACCTCGCCGCTGATGACTGTCCGCACGCCGCAGTGGTTCATCATCTCCTGAGCCGCCATGTCCTCCGGTGTGGGCAGCTTGAGCGGCGCCTTCGCCCTGCTGGGACTCTACCGGGTGTGACTCCACTGCAGTAACAGGGAAGAACCTTTCTACAGGGTGTTTTTGAGAATTCCCAAAAAACACCCTGCAAAAGCAGTAACAGGGAAGAACCTTTCTTACAACTGTCACCTTCAGGCAACAGGTTTTGAGGCGCCTCAAAACGTGACTCCCTTCTATTATGGCTAACTACAACTGTCACCTTCAGGCAACACTCACCCATGACGCCGCTGATGACGGTGCGCACGCCGCAGTGGTTCATCATCTCCTGAGCCGCCATGTCCTCGGGTGTGGGCAGCTTGAACGGCGCCTTCGCCGCTGGCGGCTCTGCCGGCGCCCCTCCGCTCGCCTCAGGCGGCGTAGCGGCGGCTGCGGAGAGACCGTCCGATTGAGACGGCTGAGAAGACGACATGGCGATCTGACCGTTAATCTGATTGACTGGGGCGACCTAGTCGAATCCTGGCCGTTGATGTGACAGACTGAGAGGACCCAGAGGTCGATCAGACAGGGGATTGAAGAAACGGAAGCGGACACGCCTTCCCGATACAAGGGTAGCGATCCTAGTCGACACCGTGAAATTGGGCCGGCAATGTGGCAGGGCTGCGGAAGAGCGGGTCGAACTCGAGGGATCGAACTCGAGGGATCGAACTTGAGGGATCGAACTCGATCAGCTAGTGAATCAAGTTTTATTCTGAACGCCGACTCAGTCGGCTTCGAGAGTGGCTTCAGAATCAGGTGAAAACTGGCTGGTCGCAACGCGGTTGTTCGGATCAAGGCTGCAAGGCTGCCGGATCGAGGCGCTGCAAGGCTGCTGGCGAATCGCGAAGAGCCAGGTGCTGCGAGGCGCACTTGGTGGCAAATGAGGGCGATTGGCGCTGAGGATTCGTCGGAGGATGGACGCGCTGTGCAGTTGCGTTTGAGTCTACTCAAAGGCTGAGGATTCGTGAGGATCGCCGCGCTGTGCAGTTGCGAAGAGATGGCGCGAAATGATCTCGAAACAAGGGATGGCGGCGAGTTGGCATGGAGTGACGTGGAATGAGCGGCGGAGAATGCGCCAGCAGCCGGCGCGGGGTTAGTGGTGGGAGAACAGCGGTGGTGGCGGTGATGGTGGTGTTGGGGGGAGCAAGCTGAGAAGGTGAAGGGAGGAGCGCAATGGAAGGGGAAGGAAGTTCTAGATCATTTTGGCTAGCGAAAAAGTCTCATAATTATGAGTTTCGTACATTGTGTAATAAAAGAAAGTTGACATCATTCATGGGCTTACGGATACTCTTACAACCAGCACCTTTTCTGTAGCGCGTACATCGAGGTTGGAGTGCATCTGGTTCGCTTGCTTTGTGCAATCTGAGCCGTCAGATAAGTTCCAAAACGAATTCCAGCGTGACTTGAGACCAGAATCCCAAGGCGCAAGGATCCCAACCAGCAGCCCTGGCCAGGACTAGTGTTGTTTACCACTTCCCTTAGCATTCAGAGAGGCTCGCACAACAGATTCTTACCCTAAAGATTAGACTTATGGCCATCACTCAACCAGTGGACTTCCACCTTAGCATTCAGAGAGGCTTGCACGAGTTATACATCTAGTCGCTTCAAGTTTCTAAGTTCCGTTCGGGCTTGCGGGGTTTGGGTTCGCGAGTACCAAATTCCGATCAGGTACCCAGCACAAAGACTTGTTAGATTGTCTTCATTGCGAGAATTTTGAAGCGCTAATTCGTGTCTTTCTCACACCCGAAACAGGAGCGGGAGAGATTTCGGCAATCCCAAGGCTTAGGGTTCCTACTCAAACCCTCCCTGACCGAGGGGAAACACACCTGAAGCAGCTATTTTCGAGACTTCTAGAACAAAACATCAGGTCTCGCAGTTAGGGTTTGGTGTCGCCGCTGCGTCAGCTCAGACGACGCCTTTGTTACAGATCGCAAAGAGCGATCAAGCATTCACGTCTCACAGGGAGCGATCTAAAGCCAGGGAGCGATCTAAATCCAGGGAGCGTGTTAAAGCCAGGGAGCGTTCTAAATCCAGGGAGCGATCTAAAGCCAGAGGTCGCTCTAAAGCCAGGGAGCGATCTAAATCCAGGGAGCGTTTTAAAGCCAGGGAGCGATCTAAAGCCTACCCTGATGTCCGAAGCCAGTGAAAATCAGGGAAGTATAGAGATTCAAGGAATAACAGGGAGCGGAGAGGGTCATGAAGGGGTGGAGAGGAAGGAGGGAGAGATGAAGGAAGGGATAGAGGAGGACGCGAGAGAGGGAGGAGGAGGGGTGAATGGGGGAAAGGAGGAGGAGGAGGAGTGGCAGCAAGCGACAAGGCAACGGTCACGATCAGGTGTGCAGCAGCAGCGAGGGGGGGGAGGAGGAAGAGGAGGCAGGGGGGAAAGAGGACGAGGGGGAGGAAGAGGAGGAAGGGGGGAGAGAGGATGGGGAGTTGGTGGGAGAGGATGGGGGCAAAGAGGGCAACAGGGGCAGCAGAGGAGCCCACAGCCACGTCAGCAGCCGTACAGGCAACAACAACACCAACAACAGCAGCAGCAACAGCAGCAGCAGCAGCAGCAGCAACCGGGGTTGCAGGGGCAGAGGACGTTTCAACATTCTCCGCAGCAGCAGCAGCAAAGAACACAGCTGCAGCCGCCACAGTTTCAGCTAGATCAACAGAATCAACAGCCGCAGCAAGAATCAAGTGGGCAGCAGCCGCAGCAGCCACAGCAAGGGGCCCCTCCCTCTGCTTGGAAACGCCATGTATGGGGTCAACCTGTGGAGCAACCACCGCTGGCAGCACAGCAACAGGTAGCGCAGCAACAGGCAGTAGCACAACCAGAATCACTAGCACAGCAGCCACAACAGCCACAGCAGCCACAGCAGCCACAGCAGCCACAGCAGCCACAACAGCCACAGCAGCCACAGCAGCCACAGCAGCCACAGCAGCCACAGCAGCCACAGCAGGGGACCCCTCCCTCTGCTTGGAAACGTCATGTGTGGGGTCAACCTGTGGAGCAACGACCAGCAACACGGCTAGAGGGAGCAGCGCAAGCACAGGCAGCAGCACTGCCGCAGCAGCAGCAGCAGCAGCAGCAGCAAGGGGTCCCTCCCTCTGCCTGGAAACGCCATGTGTGGAGTCAACCTGTGGAGCAACCGCCACTGGCAGATCAGCAACAGGCAGTAGCAGCACAACCACCACCAGCAGCACAACCACCAGCAGCAGCACAACCAGCAGCAGCAGCACAACCACCTGCTGCAGCACAACCACCAGCAGCGGCACAACCAGCAGCAGTTGCAGAGCCAGTGGCCGCAACAGAACCAGAGGCGGCAGCGCAGCAACAAGCATCAGCACACCCAGTCGAGGTGCCGCCACAGATCGCAGCACAGGCACAGGTAGCAGCTCAGGCACAGGTAGCAGCACATGCTGCAGATGGACAACAGAATCACACAGATTCTTCAGGAGCAACTGGGACGGACGTGACTCTACCAGTTGCCGATGCAGAAGCTGCAGTGGTAACAGCAACGACGGCTAGTACAGAGACGCAAGCAACAACTGGTGCTGTTGACGCTATAAGTACTCCCAGCCTTGCTGCTGCAGCTGCTGCTCCTCTCGCTACAACTGCTCCTGGTGCTGCTACAACTGCTTCTCTCGCCGCAACTGCACTTGGTGCTGCTACAACTGCTCCTGCTCCAGCTGCTTCTGCTTCTGCCACACCTGCAGTCCGTGCTCCCCCATCTCCCTCCGCTTCTGCTGCTTCTCCTCCTCCCTCACAACCAGTCAAGATGGTTCCCAAGTCCTGGGCTTCGCTCCTGGCCTCAAAGCAGCCGCAGCAGCAGCAGCAGCTGCTGCAGGGGCAAGTTAGCCAGGGTCAGATACAGCCTGGTCACGTGCTGGCCCTTGCTGCCAAAACATCACCATCACCATCAGATGCTGCGGCTGAAACCCATGTGGCTTTGCGAACAGAACATGTGGAAGGCGCCACTGCCACAGCAGCTACTACTGCTTCCACTGCTTTTGCTGCTGCTGCCACTGCCTCTGCTGCTGTTGTCACTGCTTCTGCTGCTGCTGTCCCTGCTATCGCAAGGGAAGAATGGCATGCGCAGCACTTACTTATTGTAGACCCAGCTGATGGTGCAGTGCCGGTTGTAGGAGCTGCAACAGCCTCAACGCCAGCTGTCACCGAGTTACCAGCGAAACCAGGTGCAGACGCAACAGCAGCAACAGCAGCAGCGCCACCAGCAGCGCCACCAGCAGCAACGGCATCAGCACCAACAGCGGAAGCACCACCAGCAGCAGCAGCAGCAGCACGAGCAGTAGCACCAGCAGCAGTAGCAGCAGCACCAGGCTCACCAGCAGCAGCAGCAATGGCGCCAGCAGCACGATCACCACCCCCACCAGCAGCAGCAGCACCTGCTGCAATCTCTGCACCGTTGGGTTCCCGAGCCCTGGTGGGGCGAGCAGCAGTGGCCATCGCGCCCAGAGGTCTGGTGAACAGAGGAAACCTCTGCTTCCTCAACTCCACGCTGCAAGCGCTCACCGCCTGCCCTGCCTTTGCCCACCTGCTGAGAGACATCTCAGCCTCAGTTGCACCTCAACTCCTGGTATGTGTTTGTCGGGTGGGGTGTATGTCGGTCTGCATGTGTGTGTGTGTCCGTGAGTATGTGTAAGTGTAAAGAAGCGGGGAGGGAGGGAGGGGTGGGGGGGAGGTTGGCCGACCAGCAGTGGCCATCGCGCCCAGGGGTCTGGTGAATCGGGGCAACCTCTGCTTCCTCAACTCAACCCTGCAAGCCCTCACCGCCTGCCCTGCCTTCGCGCACCTGCTGAGGGATATTTATGCCTCAGTTGCGCCTCGAGCACGAGCCGGCGTCTTGCTTGGCTGGTTGGGGGGTTTGGGAGGGTTTTAGGGGTTTAAGGAGGGGAGGGAGAAAGTGAGAAGAGGGGGATGGGGACAGAAGTCCCCGCCCTTGCTAGTAGTAGCCAACTAGCCTCGTTACGGACTAAGAATAAGTTATGGGGATCACTTCCTCTTGCGAGAGAGAGATACCCCAGCTTGCATTGCGCCTGTGAGAGATGATCTCATGATGCTGATGTGAGGGGTCCTCTTTTTAGGATCCCCAAAATTAGATTCCTCTTGATAGGTATCTCACCTTGCATTGCGCCTGTGAGATGATCTCCTGATCCTGATATGTGTGTGAGAGGGAGGGAAGGGACGGAGCTCTATAGGGATAGAGCACGAGAGAGTCTAATGTCACGCTGCATTCACTTGTCTTGTCCACCTTCCCGCCTCCCCTTCTTCTCTTCCGCCTTCCCCTCCACCCACCCGAGACTCCCCCCCTCCCACACACTCTTCCCAGCGTCCCCCCTCATTTCCTCGCCTTTTTTTCCCAGCGTCACCCCTCATTTCCTCGCCTTTTTTTCCTTTCCTCCTTTCTGTCTCAATTGCTCTTGTTCGGGTTACCTATCAATCAAGCGCTCCACTCCCTCACCCTTGTTCTAAACTTTCAGTCTCGCATATTTCCCCCCCCCTCCCTCCGTTCTTTTTTTCCTCCTCCCTGTCTTCTCATTCTTAGACCCGTCATTCCGCTCTGAAGGCGCTCGTTGACTTCTGGAAGGAGTTCGAGGTGCCGATCAAGCCTTCTGTTAATGCTCCAGAGTCCATAACTGCAGGAGGCTTGTCAGCTGGCACACCTGAAATGCTAGGAGGGGTGGCTTTAGCTGGAGCAGGGGCGGGGGATACGGGGGCTTGGGGGAGGGTTGGGGGGAAGGCAGGTGGAAGAGGAAAGGGGGGGAGAGGCGCAGGAGGGGGAGGGATGGGAGCAGGAGCAGGGGCAGGGGCAGGGGCAGGGGCAGGGGCAGGGAGAGTGGTCACAGCAGGAAAGCCCGCAGGAGCAGGAGGGATAGCTGGCTCGGCTGCCACTGCTGTCGCTCCTGGTGCTGCCGGTGCTGCTGGTGCTGGTGGCAGCACACGAGGAGCTGTTTCGTTTGCATCTGCGCTTTCAGCAAGGGCAGCATCAGCAGTGGCAGCAGCAGCAGCGGTGGATGAGGCAGTGACGCCGGTGGCAGTGGGGCGGGCTGTGCTGCCGTCAATGTTCGAAGGGCTGCTGTCGCAGTTCAACCCGCAGCACCACAGGAACGGGGTTCACCTCAGGTGAGCCTTCATATATGCATTGACTACTCCGGTGATGAGATGAGCGCATGCAATAGAACAGCAGCAGTGGAGGAGACAGTGATGCTAGTGACAGTGGGGCGAGCGGTGCTGCCGTGCTGTTGTCGCAGTTCAACCCGCAGCACCACAGGAACGGGGTGCACCTCAGGTGCGTGTAGTGAGGGGGTGGTTAGTGCTCATAGCGCTTGTCACAATGGCTGGCTGGCAGTGGGGCGAGCGGTGCTGCCGTCCATGTTTGAGTGGGGCGAGCGGTGCTGCCGTCCATGTTTGAGTGGGGCGAGCGGTGCTGCCGTCCATGTTTGAGTGGGGCGAGCGGTGCTGCCGTCCATGTTTGAGTGGGGCGAGCGGTGCTGCCGTCCATGTTTGAGTGGGGCGAGCGGTGCTGCTGTCCATGTTTGAAGGGCGCAGCTTAATCCGGTAGCCGCAGCACCACAGGAACGGCGTGATTTTTTAGGCGACTCAAAAATCACCGGTAGCCGCAGCACCGCAGGAATGGCGTGCACCTGAGGTCAGTCAGTAGAAGCGTTTCAGATTAGGCATGAGCGTTGGCCCAGCCCGGCCCGGCCCGGCCCGGCCCGCCCCGTTTCTGGTCAGGCCGTCGGACCTCGGGCCAAGGTGGGCCGGGCCGAGGTCGGGCCGACCTTGGGAACTTCTGGGCCCGTGCCCGGATTTAGGGGTCGGCCCGGCCTTGGCCCGGGGGCGGGCTGGGCCGGGCCGGACCGGGGGCAAAAACCGGGCCGGAGGCGGGCCAAGGCGGGCAGGGGGCGGGCCGGGGGCGGGCAGGGGGCCGGCCAAGGCGGACCAGGGCGGGCCCGGGCTGGGCCAGCTAAGGTCGGGCCGGCTTTCACGGATTGGCGGCCCGAGCCCGGCAAAATCCGGGCCAGACCCGGGCCGGGCCGGGCCGCCGGGCATTTTGCTCATACGTATTTCAGATGCTCAGGCGTTCCTGTGGTGCTGCAGCGTTTCTAACGCCCTGCTCGACAGGCCACTTGACCCCTTTGTGTCCCCTCCTGCACCCCATCATCCGCCCATGCCCTCCCTGGAAAGCCTGAGGACCCCCGTCCTCCAGGCAAGAGGACGCCCATGAGTTCCTGCCAGGCTCAGGGTTTCGGGGTTAAGGTTAAGAGTCTGTGAGATATCTGGAAACCCCGCTTTCACATCCCTTCTGAAATGGATTCCTCCCACGCCACCAACCCACTCTCCCCGAACCCCGTTTGTATTTTGAGTCGACTCAAAATACATCCATTCTGAAATGGATTCCTCCCACGCCACCAACCCACTCTCCCCGAACCCCGTTTTGTGCATGCTAACCCCTGCTACACTTCAGGCAAGAGGACGCCCAGGAATTCCTGACCTTCCTCACTGACCGACCGCCTGCACGAGGAGCTCATTAAAGTCACATCCCAGCTCAGTCACAGTGGCACCGGGCGAGGAGGAGGGAGGCGGAGCAGCAGAGGACTCTCACCCGTTCATGACCCCCTTGACTGACTGCTTGTCTCCTTCCTTTCCCGCCCCGTTCAACCTCTCCCCCTCTCCCTCCCCCTCCCCCTCCCTCACCTACTCTTGATTATGTAACCCACCTGTGCAGGCAAGAGGACGCCCAGGAATTTCTGACCTTCCTCACTGACCGCCTGCACGAGGAGCTCATTAAAGTCACATCTCAGCTCAGTCACAGTGGCGCCGGGCGAGGAGGGGGAGCAGGAGCAGGATCCGCAGCAGGAACAGGAGGAGGAGGGGGAGAGGGAGGGGGAGGGGAGGAAGGCGACCCAGAGGAATGGCAGACGGTGGGGCCGAAGCAGCGGGCCGCAGTGACCAGAACGCATGCAGTGCAGTCGTCGTGTCTGAGCGAGATATTCGGAGGGCAGCTCAGGAGCGAAGTGCGGTCGCCAGGTGCGTCTAATCTGGAGTCTGGACTGGGGTTTACTGACTCACGAGTCACGACTGTCAGTTGATACTCGGCGGCGGTAGTGGTAGAGGTGCTGACGGTGCAGTAGTGATACTTGGCAGTAGTGGTAGAGGTGCTGACGGTGCAGTAGTGATACTTGGCAGTAGTGGTAGACGTGCTGACGGTGCAGTAGTGATACTTGGCAGTAGTGGTAGAGGTGCTGACGGTGCAGTAGTGATACTTGGCAGTAGTGGTAGACGTGCTGACGGTGCAGTAGTGATACTTGGCAGTAGTGGTAGACGTGCTGACCAGGAAACTCGTGGTGCAGTCGTCGTGTCTGAGCGAGATATTTGGAGAGCAGCTCAGGAGCGAAGTGCGGCCGCCAGGTGCTTCTGGAGTTTGGACTGGGGTTTACTGACTCACGACTGTCAGTTGATACTTGGCAATAGTGGTAGACGTGCTGATCAGGACGCTCGCGGTGCAGTCGTCTTGTTTGCGCGAGATGTTCGGGGGGCAGCTCAGGAGCGAAGTGCGGTCGCCAGGTGAGAGTGTAGAGTGTCTGGCGTGACTCGTTTGAGCATACGTACCGATTTAAGCGTGCTGGAGGGAGAGCAGCAGTGGCACGGAGGCATGCAGTGCAGTCGTCGTGTCTGAGCGAGATTTTTGGAGCCAGCTCAGGTCACACGCCCTCGTATAATCCCTTCAGTTTTGTTGGACGTATTTACCAAAACAAACACACTCGCTGTGACCAGATGTCTAAAATCCTCTCCCTATGCTGCCAGGAACGTCCTTTTCCAGGCAGTGACCCATCAGCCATGGTTTTGCCCTTCTCCCTGCTCCGGCTGGACATAGCGTTGGCTCAAATCAGACCAGTGGAGTTCTGAGGCGCCTCAAAAGCTGGACCTAGCATCGGATCGAATCAGACCAGTGGACCGTGGAGGTCCCCTTTTTAGTCAACATGTGTCTACCTTGACCCTCGCCTGCCCCTCAAACCCCCTTTCCAGGCAGCAAGCCGTCAGCCACAGTGCAGCCCTTCTCCCTGCTCCAGCTGGACATAGCATCGGATCGAATCAGATCTGTGGAGGAGGCTTTGAAAGCGTTTGCTGCTCCCGAGGTGGTTGAAGGGTACCGCCCGAGCAATGCCAAGGTGTGTGCCAGTGGGAGTGAGAGTGAGAGTGATAATGTGTGTGGGTATGGTGTGTGGCGCGTATGGTGTGTGGCGCTCTGACCTGTGACAGTATGTTTCTAGGGCGTTTGCTGCACCTGAGGTGGTTGAGGGGTACGCCCCAGCAATGCCAAGGTACGGGCCACGTGTATGTGTATGTGTGTGTGGGGGGTGGGGGGGGGGGTGGGGGGGTGGGGGGAGGGGAGGAGGGGGAGGGAGATGTGTGTTTGCATATATGTATCATCAAAACATTAAGTTTGATCAGTTGCGGAAGCATTCAGGGCCTTCGCTGCGCCTGAGGTCGTAAAGGTGGTTGAGGTGTTTTTGAGGTGGTTGAGTGGTTCCGCCTCAGCAATGCCAAGGTACGGGCCACGCATATGTATGTGTTGGGTGTACTTGTGTGCCTTAGCGCTGCGGGTTTGCGGTTGTGTATCGAGGTAGTAAACTAGATCGGTGGAGGAGAGGTGGTTTTTGAGATTTTTAATTAGTGAAGTAGATCCGTGGAGGAGGCTCCCAGGGCCTTTGAGAATCCTCACTCCTTTGCTGCGCCAGTGGTGGTTGAGGTAACGCTCCAGCAACTCTGTCTCTTCCCCAACCGCCACCCCTCCCCTCGGCGCCTTTTCACTGGCAGCCCAACAAGGCAGTGGTTGCATGCAAGACGGTCAAGATCTCCATCCTACTGCACATGCGCGTGCCACACCTCATGTGCCTCTCCCTCAGCCAAACCAGCGCTGTCTCTTCCCCCCTTCCCCCCTCCCCTCCACTCCCACCCCCCACCCCCACCCCTGTGCCTTGTCCACTGCAGCCCAACGAGACAGTGTTTGCGTCCAAGACAGTCAAGATCTCAGTCCTCCCGCACGTGCTCGTCCTTCACCTCATGCGCTTCTCCTTCAGCCACACAAGCGCCGGCAGCGTCAAGATCCATAAGCCAGTCTCCTTCCCGCTCTCCCTCACTCTCTCGCGCGACCTCCTCTTCTCCTCCTCTCCCTCGGTCGAGGTGCGTTCCCTCGCCTCCTCCCGCTTGTCCTCGCCTCAGGCCACCACGCTGTCGATATTTCCTTTCCCTTTCGCATGTTCGCGTGCTCGCATGTGTGTTCTATCCTTCCAATCCCTGCTTTCCCCTGCCCGCCACCAGGATCGTCGATACTCTCTCTTTGCCACAGTGGTGCATCAAGGCAGGGACCCCTCTGCAGGCCACTACACTGCCGACGTTCCTTCTCCCCTGTTCCCAAGAATTGTACTATCCACACACTCTTCTCCTTTCTCTCCCTGCCACCAGGATCGTCGCTACTCCCTTTTCGCAACTGTGGTGCATCAAGGCAGGGACCCCTCCTCTGGCCACAACACGGTTGATCCACATGGTCACACTCCATGTCTCTACCTTCCAACCTCCCTGTTTGGTTCTCAGGATCGACGCTACTCTCTCTTTGCCACAGTGGTGCATCAAGGCAGGGACCCCTCCTCTGGCCACTACACGGCCGACGTTCGCCAGCCGGACGGCACCTGGCTCAGATTCGACGACGCGCGAGTCTTGTCCGTTCCTGCCAAGCGGGTGCTACAGGAGCAGGCGTATCTGCTGCTGTACCAGCGGGAGGGAGGGAAGCACTGAGTGAGGGTGATTGAGTCGAAATAGAGCTATTGGGTGCTACACAGGCCAGGATGCTACAGGGCAGGGTGCTACAGGGCAGGGTGCCACCTTGCAGAATGCTACAGGAGCAGGCGTATCTGCTGTTTAGGGTTTAGGGAGGGAAGCACTGAGTGAGGTAGAGATATGTGAGGTGCTTCAGGACTGTTGTTGCTGAAGGGCTGGGTCCTACAAGAGGGTGCTGCATGGAGGTACAGTTGAAAGGATGGAGGATGCTACAGGAGCAGGCTTTTCTGCTGCTGCACCACAGGGAGGGAGGGAGACACTTGATAAAAACATGCCTGAGAGGTGGGATTAGTAGGGTATTTTTTAGAATTCTCAAAAATATCCTGATGCACAAGAGGAATATCTGGTGTGCTAATCAGCCAGAGGACATGTATGCATAGAAAGCAGTTGGCCGAGGTATTGCTGTGGACATGCATGCGCGCTACAATGATCATGAGTGCATGTCTGCAAGAGCTACTGTTGAAGTCTGGTCGAACGCACTGCAACAAGCCTCTAAACTTATGCAAACTCAAACTCGTGTTCAGGGGGGGTATTTTAAGGCACCTCGAAATACGTACTTTTGCTTGCAACCTCCAAGTCGTGTTTTGAGCCTGGCTGACGGCTGACACAATTTCTGCAAGCGTCAGAGCCGTCGGCCAGGCTCTCTGCTTTTCTCGAGCTGGCCGCTTTAATAAGCCGCAAAATACCGTAAAAGCCTGGATATAAGACCCCCTAGTAATAGAAGACCCTGGGTCTTCTATTAGGCGCTTATCTTGTGGTAACCCGGTTTTTTGTCCCTGGATCTAGGGTCATTTGGAATATTTCTAAACGGTATGTGATAAGACCCATGGGTCTTATTGTTGGGCTGAGAAAAGCCCTTAGGATCTTTCCAGAGACTAAGTCCCAGTTGAAGAATGAGACTTTGAGTAGTGCAGCGAAAGTTGAGTAGTTGAATCCTTGTACTAGTATATGAGAACAAGTGATTGATTAAAGAAACAAGCATACAGCAATATATAGAAAAATAAGAAAGCTGTTTGTAGAATACAGTTGTAGGAGCGGTTTATCGAGTCGCATAGCGACTCGATTGTCGCTTCGGTTACCATCGGCGCTGTTGTAACGGTCAGTCGCAACCTCCAGTTGCGACCCTTCGAGTCCCTTCGCGTTCTTTGTCCGCCCCCTCGTGTAACCTCCGTTGACTCGCGTACCCGTTGCGATCTTCCTCGAGTGTAGTGTTACACTTCAGAAACGCTTAAGTCTTTTGAGATATTTCCAACACTCCCCTTCGTTTCTGGAGTGCTGACATGTTCAGATCCGGTGACGTTTGTCTGCCCGGTCAGCAGCGTGCAGTAATCGAATTTTGCCTTCGCCAATTTCTTCGTCAGATAGTCTGTGGCCATTTCTGTCGTCGGGCAGTAACTGAGTTGAAGTCTCCCCTTTGCGATTTCGTCCTTGACGAAGAAGTACCGCAGGGCGATGTGCTTGGTTCGGTTGGCGAAACCGTCCTTGTTCGCGATTTTGATCGCAGATTGGTTGTCGCAGAGGAGTGAGAAGACGGGCAGGGTCGCAATCTTCGCTTCCTCGAGTAACTCTCGTAGGTAGAGTCCTTCCTTGGTCGCAGTACAAAGGGCGATATACTCTGCTTCAGCCGAAGATAGTGCGATTAGTTCTTGCTTGCTCGACTGCCAGGAGATAGTCCCGATAGGTTCTAGTCGGTAGATATAGCCCGTTCTCGATCGTCGATTTCCCTTGTCTCCCGCGTGGTCGGCGTCGACGTATCCGAGAAGTTGTACGGACGATGTCGTTACTTTACGATGGCGTGGAGACGAAGTAGAGTAGTGCCCGATTAAGTTCCTCGAGATTTTCTTGTTCCGGCTGCTTCAGGTGCGTCGCCAGTTGGCTCGCGCTATAAGATAGATCGGGTCGGTAGGTTACTGCTGCGAATAGTAGGCAGCCGAGCTTCTGCTGATACTCCTGGATTTGCTTCGCGGGGAGTTTTGCTGAGGTGTTGCTGTTGTTCCCGTAGCGGTAGGGAGTCGGGACCGTAGTCGGCGTTAGACCGAATTTCTTTGCGACAGTGCCTGCGTATTTTCCAGCGTGTAGGTAGAACGCCGAGTTGTCTTCGACGACATTCAGTCCCAGGTACTGGGTTACTGAGTCGGACACTGTGAGTGTCAAGTCCCCTTTCAGCTCCCCTTCTAACCAGGTGGCGATGTCGGTGGTGGAACCGATGTAGAGCAGGTCTTTGACGTAAACGATGAGTAGGATATACTCTTTTCCTTTCTGCAGTCGGTACATGCCTTGGTCATGCGGCAGCTGTAGGAATCCGATTTTTACGAGGCGACCGTGAAGATGCTGCTGCCAGAGCCGCGGGGCTTGCTTGATCCCGTAAAGGGATTTTATCAGCTGGCATACTTTTGTAGGGTCGTCGATGAATCCGTGCGGCTGCTCGACGAAGATCTCGGCGTCCACAAGTGCGTACAGGAAAGCATTTGCGACGTCGATTTGCCGCAGTGGTAGTTTCTTTGTGGCCGCGACGACGAGTAGGATGCGCAGGGAGGTGTGACGGGAGACTGGGGCAAAGGTTTCTGTATAGTCGGTTCCGTATCGTTGATCGAAGCCTCGTACGACCCATCGAGCTTTGAATCGTTCGATGGAGCCGTCCGCGTTGGTCTTGATGCGGTACACCCACTTTCCCGAGAGGACGTTCTTCCCGTTGATGTTTGTTGTAGGTACCAACTTCCATGTATTTCGGTCTTGAAGAGCTTTTAGTTCCTTTTCCATCGCCTCCTTCCATTTCGCCTTATATTCCCCCCCCAGAGCCTGCGACAGAGTCGAGGGCTCGCGCGGAGATGGCGGCGGCGGGTGCTGGACGGAGACCCATAGGCCGAGGATCTGCAGTCCCGTGGGTGTGTGTCGAAGGGAAATTTCATTCCCGGAATAAGCTGCTTCGTCACCATCTTCTGGATCAGGTAAGAAGTTTGGGCCGATGCGTTCTGAAACATTTGTGTCGACGGGGTGGGGTGTAACGTAACCTTGGTCAGCGAAGTGGTAAAAGGTGTCGAGGTTGTTGCTATCGAGGGGATTGTCTTCATCGAGTGGAACAGGTACGGAACAGAAAGGGAGTGGTCGGACAGCTTCCGATGCTCCAGGTACGTTTTCTTCTGCTGCGTCAGCCTCGGCAGCACCGTCGGCGAAGGAAGGAAGGCCCGCGAGGCCGTCGGTGGGGTCATGTGTGTTGGCAATGTTGTCCAGGTAATGCTGTAGCGTCAGTCGCTCGTAGAAGATAACATCACGTGATGCCACCGTATTTTTGTCTTGTATGTCGAGGATTTTCCATGCGTGAAAGTGTTTGGCGATGCCGAGGTGTGGTCCCCACCGAGCTCGTTGAGTGAAGCGTCCTGCTCAGGCTGTGTGGGGTCTGTGCCGTACCATGCAGCCGAAAACTCGAAGTAATTTTGTGTTGCCCCTTTTTCGTGTCCACAGCAGGTGCGGTGATGCGTTGTTGGGAAGCGATGACGAGGACAACAGATTGTGCAGGTGAACTGCATGTGTCATCGCGTCTGGCCACAGTGTGTTGGGCAGTCTCATCCCCAGGAGCAGCTTTCGCATTGTAGTCTGCAAGGTCCGGTTCATGCATTCTGCGACCCCCTGCTGCTGGTGAGCGTAGGGCAGAGACACCAGGCGTCTGATTCCTCTTTCCGCCAGATAGGTCCTGAAGCGTTGTGACTGGTATTCCAGTGCACCGTCTGACTGGAAGCTTTTGTGCTTGGTTCCTGATTCTCGTTCGGCGATGGGGAGCCATGTAGTGAAGGCGTCGAAGGCTTGATCGCGCGTCTTGAGGTTGTAGTGCCAGACGTATCTTGTTGCTGCGTCGGTAAACGTGATGACATAGTTGAACTCGGCTTCTGTGTCTTCTCGAGGCATGTTTAAAATGTCGCTGTAGACTTTTTCCATCGGTGCGTATGTAGGTGCGCTTGGGTTATGATGGGATGAAAAAGGCTGGTGGGGAAGATCGGCTTCGGGGCACGTAAAGCACCGTGCGCGTGGTCGTCGAAGTTCTTGGCCGCTCGTTGTAAGGAGAGCGTTTCGTTCTAACACTTCGGCTTGGATGGTTTGCAGTATTGTACTGTTTGCAGGATGTCCGAGACGTTGGTGTCAGATGTCGTCGGGAGCGCGATGGCCGGGCGAGCGGTGATATATGTCGGCGTTGGAGAAGAACGCGACGACCGTGGCGGGACTTCGGCAAACTTCGCGTGTGATGGGTATAAGTTGATCTGCTTCGGTTGGCGGTCCACGGATCGCTGGCGATGGTACTTGGCTGGGTCCTGCTGCTATTACTGTAGGTGATGTCTAGGAAGAGATGCTTGCTGGTACTTGTCTTTCTTGTCTGATGACTGCTAATGCTCGTGTTCTCTCTGCTGCAGGTATGGTGTTGGAGTATCAGAATCCGTCGGGGTTGAAGTCGGGGTCAAGATCCGGCGGGTGTGTCCAGGCGGCAAACGACACGATTCCATCGCTGTCGGCAGTACCGCGGTCGGGGACGAAGTCCAACACGAAGACACCTGACTTCAGGAGAGCACGACCGATGAAGAGGCCGCCCTTCCTGTGGTAAAGGCGAAACTCGTTGGAGTCCGAGTCGCACTCCAGGTGAATTCCTTTTGCCATTAGCTGGCTGACGCTTAGCAGATTGTATCCCAAGTTGTCGACGATTAGAACCTTGTTGAGTTGCAGGATGACATTTGTTTCCGTGGATTGTAACTGTACGACTCCTTGTTTGTTTGTTTTCAGGTTCTCGTTGTTGGCGACAGTGATGATGACGTCGCGGTTGAGGCGTCGCTCTCGTTGCACAAAGCGTCCGGAAGAACACATGTGTTGCCCGCAGCAGCTGTCCAAGAACCAGGTGTTTCGCCCGGTGGGTTCGGCGTTGGCGACCGCAGCGTATGTCGGGTTAACCTGAAGTCCTTGTGAGCGCGGCGGCGGGAATTATTCTTCGTCTGGCGCGTAAGTGGGTGGTGATCCGGATGCGCAGTTGTCGATGTGTACCATGCAGTTGATGATGTTCGGTGTTCCTTGTGCAGATGTGGAAGAACGTCTTGGAGGGCTGTCTTGAGTGGAGGCGACTTGTGGGTCTACTGGACGATAGACACGAGGACGTGTGCAGTTGACTTTGGAATGTCCGGATGTTTGACAGTTGTGGCAGAACGGCGGCACGATGGTGAGTCCTCTGTTGTCGCGTTGATTTTGCTTGCCGCGTCGATTGTAGTTGTAGTCGTTCCTTCGTTGAGTGTAGAAAACTAACTGCTGCTGCTTCCTTGGTTGTCTTTCTTCGAACAGGTCCATCTCCTGTTGTTCAGCATGAAGCTCGGCGCAGAGGTGCATCTCCGAGATCCTTCCGTGGGCGCGAAGAAGCGAGCGTGTGGTTCTCCATTCTGGCCCGAGCCCGACGAGGACAAGCGTCACGAAGCTTTCTTCAGTGATTGTTCCTCCGCACCGAAGCAGGCGGTCGCGGAGTGTTTGGCATCGACTCATATACTGCATCGCCTTTTCTCCGGTCTTCATCTGTATTGTTGTCAGCTGTTGCATGAGTCTGCTTTGTGTCATGCTGTCGTTTGCTTGATAGAGACACTTGAGATGATGCCATGCGAGTTCCGCGGAGTTTCCATAGCTCCGATACGTTCTGATGCTCTGCTTTTCTTGTGGTGACAGGTTCCGCAGGAGAACTGTATACGCCAGCAGCGACTGATACGTGAAAATTTCCTTGCTCCTTTCCACTGCCGTTGCTTGGGAATGGCAGGGACCCGTTGAAGTATCCCAAGAGATGCGCAGCCTCCATCAGCAGCTCGAACTCAAAGCTCCAGGTAAAGAAGTCGTGTCCGTTGAACGGTGAGGATGTCTGTAACTTGATTACGTGTGAAAACTGCACCTGGAGACTCAAAATCTCGTTTGGTGTTTGTTGTGATGCAGCTGCTGTTGGTTGGGCACGGGGCGGCATGAACTCGAATGTCCCCGGTGAAGAGTGATAAGGCGCAAAGGTAGGCGGTTGATTGTGTCGCCCGAACGATGAATTGTCGAGGCTCATCGGCCCTAATCCCATGTTTCCTCCGTTGCTCTGTGTTGAATGCGCAGGTGTCCTTGTCTGCTGCTGTTGGTCGAAGTGCGACATGAAGCTGAAGAACCTTTACATAAGGTTCGGATGCACGCTTGAAGAGGGTGATGGGGTCACCATTTCCGGTGCTCTTCCTATTGTCTCTTCAGCAGCGCCGGTCTCAGTTTGCAGTCCTGAAGTGTGCAAACCAGAGTTGCCGGGTTGAGTGTCTTGGGTGCTGGGTGAGCCCGTAGAGATTTTCTTGCCCTTGATGTCCATGACTTGTAATCAATGAAGTCGTTTGAAATGCAGATTGTAGATAGAGCGTAGTTGCTGGGAGTTTGGTCTCTGACCAGCTCTGATACCATGTTGGGCTGAGAAAAGCCCTTAGGATCTTTCCAGAGACTAAGTCCCAGTTGAAGAATGAGACTTTGAGTAGTGCAGCGGAAATTGAGTAGTTGAATCCTTGTACTAGTATATGAGAACAAGTGATTGATTAAAGAAACAAGCATACAGCAATATATAGAAAAATAAGAAAGTTGTTTGTAGAATACAGTTGCAGGAGCGGTTTATTGAGTCGCACAGCGACTCGATTGTCGCTTCGGTTACCATCGGCGCTGTTGTAACGGTCAGTCGCAACCTCCAGTTGCGACCCTTCGAGTCCCTTCGCGTTCTTTGTCCGCCCCCTCGTGTAACCTCCGTTGACTCGCGTACCCGTTGCGATCTTCCTCGAGTGTAGTGTTACACTTCAGAAACGCTTAAGTCTTTTGAGATATTTCCAACACTTATATCCGGGCTAAGTATATTTCTTCCAGAGCCGCAGCAGTTCCTTATCTTCCTCAGCTGCTCCTCCCACTCCACCACTCTGCACACCTCCACATACCAGTAGTACCACCCCATCACCATGCAGAACCATCAGCCATGCCCTATGCTGGCTTGACAGCTGGTCAGTGCTAGGTATAAGGTTATACGATTCTCATCTCTTCCTCTTCTTCGTCAGCTGCTCCTCACTCTCCACCACTCTGCACACCTCCACATCCACCCCATCGCCATGCAGACTCATCAGCCACGCGCTCTGCTTGCTCGACAGCTGGTCCCTCGGCCCTTTCACCTCCACCAGCTTCACCTCCCCCCAAGGGCTTCCACTCCCTTGTGCCCCCCAGCAACTTCCACTCCACCTGTGAATCGGACCCTTCACTCCCCCCAAAGGGCTCCCACTTCCCCAATCTCCCCTTCTTTCTTGTCCTACACAATTGTCGTTCCTCCATTCATCACCACTCTCTTGCTCATTGTCAGCACTCCCCATCGCGCCCCTTTGGTTCGGACAGCAAAGCCGAGCCTGAGGCCCGGCCAAGCGTCTTCTCCAGAGCACCAGGTCTGGCATGCCGCCCCTCCAGTTACTGTAGCCTTCTGCCAGCCGCCCACAGACTGCAGCTACTGTAGCACCGCCGGCACATAGGACAACTTCTGTGAGCTCTGCGAGGCTTATGGAGCGCTGATCGGTGTTACTGCTGCTGCGGGGTGCTGGAGCCACATAAACAGCAGCAGCTGCAGCTGCACTAGTTCCTGCATTTGCAGCAATCACTGTAGAATCAGCAGAAAAAGCAGCTGTAGCAGCGGCAATGGCAGCAGTGGACGCCGAAAGCATAACAGCAGCCGAAGCAGCAACTGTAGCAGCAGCAGCAGGAACAGAAGCCGCATCAACAACACTGGCAGCACCAGTGCTTCCTTCTGCCGTCCCTCCACGTAAAAGGTTTCTGTCCGTAACTCCTTCATTAGCAACCGCTTCGGTAGCTCCTTCGTTCACCAGTCCCAAGCCCACACACAGAGTGCCTTGGTATTGCTGCCATCGTTCCTTCAACAGCCTAAGCGCAGTGAGCGTCCCGGTCACAGGGCAAGCACCAAGTGTGGCAGGAGACTTTTGAGTCGACTCAAAAGTCACAGAGCAAGCACCAAGTGCGCCAGGAGAAGCACGAGCGGTGGCATGTGTACCGGTCACACATGGTGTGCCACTGATTCCGCTAGAAGAAGGTGAAATGCCGTTGCTCAAGGGTGCTTTGAGCAGATGACCATCTCGCCCGTGTGCTTTGTGCGCGCACTTCGTTGCAACCGCCGCCAACTCCTCCTCTTTCACGCCTTCTGCTGAACCACTGGATGGGCACCGCGTGCAACGATCCCCCCTGGTGAAAGCACTGCAGGGGGGGGTGGAACGCTCCGAATTAAAGCGCCCCCCTCCTCCTCCCAGACCCTCCCCCGTGCAGTGCTCCCCTCTGAGCTCTGCCAAGCGCCTGCCGATCATGTGGCGACGGCGCGAGGCAAAAGCAGGTGAAAAAAGGTCCAATGGCGCAGTCTGTTGGGGGGCAAAAGGGGGGGCGGGAGGGGGAGGGACGACAGGGGGAGATGGGGGGTGCATAAGAAGCGTGATTGGAAGGGTTCAGGTCCTAGGGAGAAACGATCATTCAGATGTGTTTTGTTTTTTAGAATTCCCAAAAACAAAACACATCATGGGAAACGTGATTGAAAGGGTTCAGGTCAACGAGAATTCAGATGGCACCCTTCCATCTCAGATTGAAAGCGTGATTGAACGAGCATTCAGATGGCACCCTTCTAACTTAGATCTGCGGGCAACGTGCTGGTGCGAGCTACACCTTTGTCCATCTTAGATGATAGTTTAGAAGGTAAGGGCGAAAAGGCTTGCACAGCCTCTTCGCCCTTACAGCTATAATCTGTGAAGGGTCTCACAGAGCCTTTGTTTGAGGGGCACAAAAATAACTCAACACTGGGTGGGTGGGTGGGTGGGTGGGTAGGGGTGTCATTTTCCAGATAGGATGGACGTACCTGGAAGGGGTGGTGAAACACATCGGGCAGCGGTGCGAAAAGGACGTCCCAGAAGAGAAGGGCGAAGAGGCTGGACCACAGGGACCCCTCACAGTGTATCCCGCTCCATCCCCCTCCCTCCGTGCTGCTGTAATGCTGCAGCGCCAGCTCTTCTACGCTACACTGCTCATCCCACCACGGACTAAGAGGGGGCTCGGTATGTACACAGGGGCGCCTCAGAACCCCTCCCTCTGTGCTGCTGTAATGCTGCAGGGCTAGCTGCTCCACTCTACACTGCTCATCCCACCATGCACCTGGGAGCGACTGCAAAGGCTGCATACAACATTGGTCAGCCAGACGTTGATTGGATTGCTCAGGGGATCCACACTGCTCTACTGATGCACTGAATGCGACATTGGCTGTATGCCTCTCGGAACGCTCCATTTTGCTGCACTGCTCGTCCCTCCATCTGCAGTGTGAAGCGATTAGATTGCTCACACCGGTGGGAAGCGATTTCTTAAGTGATGTGATACTCCGTTCATCCACCCGTTTATCATCATTAATATTTCGAGACACCTCAAGAGACAACGGTTTCCCACTGCACTTTTCATCCATGCTCGTCTTATGAGGTGTGACTGTAAGAGGTACAACTGTAGGGGAAGGCGTGAATGTAAGGGGAGGCGTGACTGTAGGGGGAGGCATGACTGTAGGGGGAGGTGTGACTGTAAGCGGTGCCATGCTGTAGAATCGGCTGCGAACACCCACTTCACTGTTCACTGGGCGGCCCACAATTCGCACCTGCGGGGAGGCAAGGAGAGTGGAGTGGAAGGCGAAACGTTGGAGAGGTGTTTTTGAGAATTCTAAAAAACGCCCTGAGGGGAGGCATTGGGGAAGGAAGGGGAGTGGAGTGGAAGGCGAAACGTTGGAGTGGTCCTCTTGATTGCCATCCAAAACAATTCCTATACCACTGGGATGCTCTGCTTTTGTATTCAGCATTCCCATCTTTCACCTTTCTGATAGGAGTCTAGTTTTGAGGCGCCTCAAAACTACATTCCCATCTTTCACCTTTCTGAATCCGGTCTGAAAGGTCACCTACCACCTCACCTCTTAGGACCGCCATGCCACCATCCGGGCATAGCCCGCGGGCTTCCATGCTCTTGAGGGGTTTCGCCAGCCACACAACATGCCAATCTGGGCGTTGAATCGACACGTACCTTCCCGACACATCACCTCCCCAAAACATCGCCGTGTGTAATAAGTCGATTTTTTAGTCGACTCAAAAATCGACTTCCCAACACATCACCTCCCCGAAACATCACCTTGCTGCACTTCCACCCCACCATCCGCGCATAAACAGGGGGATTCCATGCTCTTGGGGGTTTCTCCAGCCACACCACACATGTGTAATGAGTCTTTTTTTTAGTCGACTCAAAAATACGCGCCGCTCAAGTGACATTTGACAACACGCCGCTGCAGCATCGACTTGAAACTTACCTTCCCAACCCAACCGCTCACCTCCTTGCCCTTCCACCACCCCACCATCCGAGCATAAGCCAGGGGACTTCCATGCTCTGGGGGGTTTCGCCAGCCACACCACTCAGCAAGCCACAGTTTTTTTTTTACCTGACTCTTACGTCCTTAACTGCTCACCTCTTTACACTTCCACCCCACCATCCGAGCATAAGCCGGGGGCTTCCATGCTCTGGGGGGTTTCGCCAGCCACACCACACGCCGCTGCAGTGCCAGCAAATCCCCTGCTGCCACGTGTCTGTCCCCCATACAGGCAGCCACGCCCTCCCTCGCGGCCTCTAGGCTCTCCCCCGTGCGCCCCAGGTGGTGGAGATCAATGGAGAGGCGCAGAAAGAAAGCCGCAAGGCGTCTCTTTGGGGAGTAATGAGAGGAGATCAGCAGCCTCAGGTCGGAGACGGCTTGATTGTACCTGCAGGAGGCGAAAGAGTGGGGGCGAGAAGGAAGTGAGGCGGAGGAAAAGTGTGCGACGGGGGAAGTGGTAGAGAAGGGCGAGGAGAGGAGCAGCCTTAGGTCGTAGACTGCTCGATTGTTTGTACCTGCCTGCAGGAGGGGAGGGAGTGCGGGATGAGGAGGAAGAGGGAACGTGTGAGCCGAAGGAGAGGACTCTTGGATCTCCCCTATCCGCCCCAGGTGGTGGAGATCGGTGGAGAGGCGGAGGGAGAATGTGGAGCGGCGGGCAGCAGGAGAAGAAGGCGAGGAGATCAGAAGCTTGAGATCAGATACTGCCTGAGATCAGATACTGCTTGATTGTGCCTGAAAATGGCTGGAAATGGACAGAGAGCCGTCCATTCAGCGTGAACGCCTCAACACAGGCAGCCATCTATACAGGTGATACAGCCCTCTAGGCTCTAGGCAGTCCGCCCCAGGTGGTGGAGATCGATGGAGAGGCACGCACGCACGCACACACACACACACACACACACACACACACACACACACGCACACACATAGACACACACACACAAATATGAAAAGAATGTGCAAGTGCTCAATTAGAACTTACCTCTTTCGTTGCTCCAGCCAGGACACGCCTCTCCACAGCACCTCGGCATACACCCATTGCGGCCTGAACCGATGCCTCCATGACTGCGCATCGTTACTACATGCATCGCCACAAGGCGTAGCTCTATCAGGTGTACCTCCCCCAGGTGAATCTCCCCCAGGTGAACCTCCATCAGGTGTGTCTACATCAGGTGAATCTCTGCCAGGTGAATCTCTGACTTGAGATGTGCCATTGGAGTACGACAGCTCTGACTGAAGGTGCTGTCTAGCACCAGCAAGAGCGGCCATTAGCATCAACTCATCCATATCGTCCTCCTCTTCCTCCACTCTCTCCTCCTCCTCCTCCTCCTCACCACCCTCCTCCTCCTCCTCCTCCTCCTCCTCCTCCTCCTCCACTTTACCCTCCACTAGCTCCCCCCTCTTTCCTTCCTTCTCTCCGTCCTCCCTCCCCTCTTCCTCCTCATTGTCCTCGTTAGTATGTTCCCCGTTCTTATCATCATACACCTCTTTCCATGTAGTAACTCTACTCTTTTGCGCATCTTCACACAAATGTCTCCGCTTCCCACTCTTCTCTCCTTGTTCCCCTTCCTTCTCTCCTTCCTCTTTCCTCGGCCCTCCTCGCACTTCTCGCACCGCTTTCTGTTTCTTGCTCCTACTGCTCCCATTCCCACCTCTTCCCCTTCCCCCTCCCTCCAACCCTCCTCTCCCAGCCCCGTCTTCCTCCTCCCATCCATCCAACCCCACAATCCGCTCAACCATAGCCAGCACTTCGGAAGCCTGCAAGAAACCAGGCAGGGGAGGGGAAAGCAGGGAAGCAGGCAGACCCAGGCAGACCAGGCAAGTTGAGGTGAAGAGAAACATACAAGAGCATCAACCCCCACAATCCTCTCATCCATTGTCATGACTTAAGAAGCCTGCAGAAATTGCAGAAAGCAGGAGTGTGGCAAGGGCAGCAATTTTCTAGGCGCCGCAGAAAGGGGAGTGTGGCAAGTGAAGCATCCATCCTTGGGCACCAGATTTGAACACTTACTGTCATGATAAAAGCTGAGATCAGAATTCTACAGCCTACATCGCTACAGTGCCGTGCCGCTCATGTGTGTACGAGAAAGGGTTGCCCTTGGAATGTTTCTGAGTTAAGGCTTGTGACTTAACCCTAAACCCTGAACCCTGAACCCTGAACGGATTCAGATATAAACAAATCTCTCAGTGCACTCACCTCCTCATATGCTAGAACCTCCTCCCGAGAGATGAAGACCGGTGCAGAGCGGTGGCAGCGGTAGGAGGGGTAGCACCGCAAGCCAAAGTCGACCAGCAGAAAGGTGGTGAGGGATTGGGAGGAGTTGAGGAAGAAAAGACGCTGGAAGGAGGGGAGGGAAGGGAGGGGAAGGGAAGGGACAGCAAGGGAGCCATCATGGATCCAAAATCAGCAAGGTGGTGAGGGATTGGGAGGAGTTGAAGAAGTAAAGACGCTGGGGGGGGGGGGGAAGAGGTGGGACGGGAATGGGAAGGGGCAGTGAGATCATGGGGTGAAAAAACAGTAAGGTGGTGAGGTGAGGGATTGGGAGGAGTTGAGGAAGAAGAGACGGTTTGGGGGGGAGCGGGGGGGGAGGGAATGGGAAGGGAAGGGGTTTTGGGAGAGAGAAAAGGGGTGAACCGGAAGGGAAGGAAGGGTCATGAGGTCCAATAGCAGACAGCTGGCGAAGGAGTGAGGGGGGTTGAGGAAGACGAAACACAGAGAGGTGAGAGAAAGGGAGGCAAAATGGGTGGAGTGAGACTGGGAGGATTTGTGAGGAGTCTATTTTCGAGGCGCCTCAAGAAAGGGAGGCAAAATGGGTGGAGTGAGACTGGGAGGATTTGAGGAGAATTAACCTCTCCGCACGTCATTCAGCGTCTCTCTTAACGCTTACCTGCACTCTAGCAAGCAGGCGGGTGATCTGAGGGGCGATGTGGGGACGAGGTCGCTTGGGGGAATGTGGATACCAAGAGGTCTCTCGTCCTCTCTTAACGCTTACCTGCACTCTAGCAAGCAGGCGGGTGATCTGAGGGGCGATGCGAAGGCAGGGACCAGAGAGAGCGAGGATGGAAGAGGAGAGCTTTTGCCTGAGGGAAGCCAAGGGGGGGGAGGCGTGGAAGGAAACGGGAAGTTGTGAGTTGACGTAAAGGTGATGTGAGGAGAGATGCGAGGGCAGGAACTAGAGAGAGAAGGAATGGTAGTTGAGGTTGAGCGGTTGTGCGTGGAAGGGGGGAAGAGAGGAGGGGGGAAAGCTTTTGAGTCAGCTCAAAAGCAGGAATGGTAGTTGAGAGAGCTTGTGCGTGGGAGCGGGGAAGAGAGGAGGGGGGAAAGCTTTTGAGTCAGCTCAAAAGCAGGAATGGTAGTTGAGAGAGCTTGTGCGTGGGAGCGGGGAAGAGAGGAGGGGGGAAAGCTTTTGAGTCAGCTCAAAAGCAGGAATGGTAGTTGAGAGAGCTTGTGCGTGGGAGCGGGGAAGAGAGGAGGGGGGAAAGCTTTTGAGTCAGCTCAAAAGCAGGAATGGTAGTTGAGAGAGCTTGTGCGTGGGAGCGGGGAAGAGAGGAGGGGGGAAAGCTTTTGAGTCAGCTCAAAAGCAGGAATGGTAGTTGAGAGAGCTTGTGCGTGGGAGGGGGGAAGAGAGGAGGGGGGAAAGCTTTTGAGTCAGCTCAAAAGCAGGAATGGTAGTTGAGAGAGCTTGTGCGTGGGAGGGGGGAAAGGGGAGGTGGGTTGGGGCCAGGGGGAAGGGAGAGGAGTGGGGGAGGACAAGAACGGAAGGTAAGAATGGGGGCTAATAGTAAGGAAAAAGGCACACACGATTCAAGTGGTCTGCATGCGTATGGATGGACTATGCAGGTAAGGAGTTTAAAGACAAGGACAATGCGTACATAGTCAGCTTGCCAATTTGTTTTACTTAGTTAAAACTCAAACAGAGAGTGCTGCTGAGGGCTCTGGAACTTTCACACACTCCACGCAATAACCGTTTTGCGTTATTTACCTGAGCGTGGCATCACGTGGCGAGACTGACGTGGCAGGCTGTGATTGGTTGCTGCTGGTAAGGGCTTGCACAACGAGTGACACGAGAGCAGCTTTCCTGCTCGCCCGAACGACTGCTTTCCTCTGGCGTCGTGGGGATGGGATGGAGGACATACAGGAAATAAAAAATAATCGTTACAGTAAGCTTCGTTATAGTAAGCATCGTCACACGTGCAGGAAGGAGGAAGTGGGGAGGAAAACAGCGCACCACAGGTTGAAAAACTCGACTGAAAATATCCATTCCACCTGGAGGTTGAAGGAGAGAGCGAGGGAGCGCAGCTGGTCCAATCCAAGGGCAGCAGATGGTGAGTCACAGCCACTGCCGAGAGCACTGAAGGGCAAGAAACCACACCTCTAACAAGGACGTAGGCTGGCAAGACGGTAAGTTTAAATACCTGAAGGTTAATCCACCCACCTCTAACAACCACACCCACCTGCAGGTTGAAGGAGAGAGCGAGGGAGCGCAGGTGATCCAAGGGCAGCAGATGGTGAGTCACGGCCACTGCTGCTTCCAGAGAGAGCGTGCCTCTGGTGCAAGCACCTCCAGAATTACAACAAACTGATTCTTCCTCAGTTGCCTCATGCTCTGCCACTGCTGCTCCTCTACAAGGTTCCCTGTGGTTGCATCGAGGTGTGACTGTACAAGGTGCTACTTCTGGGCTGGCTTGCTCAAAGCCAGACTCGCACCAACCTGCATCTGGAATGCCAAGACGGGAAGGAACAGGCATGGAGGGAACAGGCATGGAGGGAACAGGCATGGAGGGAACAGGCATGGAGGGAGCAGGCATGGAGGGAACAGGCATGGAGGGAACAGGCATGGAGGGAACAGGCATGGAGGGAACAGGCATGGAGGGAACAGGCATGGAGGGAACAGGCATGGAGGGAACAGGCATGGAGGGAACAGGCATGGAGGGAACAGGCATGGAGGGAACAGGCATGGAGGGAACAGGCATGGAGGGAACAGGCATGGAGGGAACAGGCATGGAGGGAACAGGCATGGAGGGAACAGGCATGGAGGGAGCAGGCATGGAGGGAACAGGCATGGAGGGAACAGGCATGGAGGGAACAGGCATGGAGGGAGCAGGCATGGAGGGAACAGGCATGGAGGGAACAGGCATGGAGGGAACAGGCATGGAGGGAACAGGCATGGAGGGAACAGGCATGGAGGGAACAGGCATGGAGGGAGCAGGCATGGAGGGAACAGGCATGGAGGGAGCAGGCATGGAGGGAACAGGCATGGAGGGAACAGGCATGGAGGGAGCAGGCATGGAGGGAACAGGCATGGAGGGAACAGGCATGGAGGGAACAGGCATGGAGGGAACAGGCATGGAGGGAGCAGGCATGGAGGGAGCAGGCATGGAGGGACAGCACGCATGGAGGGAGCATGCGTGGAGTGCTACTGTGCATGGCGAGTTCAGGATCTGCCAAAAGGTCCAGAGAGTAAGGCCGTGCAATGCTTGTCCTGGACTCAGGCTCGATCAGAATGCCAAACGGCTTACTGCCAAACAAAGAGGGAACTGACAAGCATTGCACGGCCTTACTCTCTGGACCTTTAGGCTGATCCTGAACTCGCCAAACGGCTTACTCTCTGCACATTGCCAAACGGCTTACTGCCAAACAAAGAGGGAACTGACCACAGAGAGACTGTACAGCCGACTGAAGAGCAGCAGCAGCTGAATATTCCGTCTCCACCATTCCTCCTCCTGCTCCTGCTCCTGCTCGTGCTCCTGCTCCTTCTCCTGCTGCTGCTGCCTCTCCTCCTTCCACCACGCGTCCTGCTGGTTCGCCCAGCGGTTTCACATCTGGACACGTACTAGCAGAAGGAAATCTCAATCTGAAGTCTTCAGTGTACTTGACAAGGGAGGAGAGGAGAAACCAGGGGCCTGGTGGTGTGAGGGGGAGTAGAGGAATGGGAGGGAAGGGCGCGGGGAAGGGAAGAGGGAGGGATACGTTTGCTTGTCTGAATTCTTCAGTATAGTTGACGAGAGGGGAGAACGCTGTTTCAGCTATACAGCAACAGCGTGGGATAGAAAGTCAAGCAGTCACCACACTGGGAGATGGTTACCGCACAGGGAGATGGTTACCATGCGGAGAAATGGTTACCTTTCCGAAGGAATATGCGGACAAAGACGTATTGTGCCGGTGCAGGGAGGAGCGAGAAAGATCCTGGGAAGAACGGGAGAAGAGATAAGAGGGAATGGAGGAGCAGGCATGTGCAATGTGATGTGATGCGATGCGATGTGATGTGATGCAATGCGATGTGATGCGATGCGATGTGATGCGATGTGATGCGATGCGATGGGATGCGATGTGATGTGATGAGATGTGTTGTGATGCGATGTGATGTGATGTGATGTGATGTGATGTGATGTGATGTGATGTGATGTGATGTGAGGGACACAAGATGCGGGCGAACACACACTGTGCTAGTGGGAGGACATTGGGCAATGGAAGTGGCAATTCAGCGTGACAGGCGCAGAAGAAACATGAGCAGTTTTTACAGTAACCAGATGACAGATTTTGACAAGAGAGGTGGCATGATGTGTGGAACTCGCTACTGACGCACATGAAGTGCGACTGTGTCCCTGCTTTGAGATGAGACGTACCAAGCAGCTTCGTTTCCTAAAAAAGGAGGTGGGCGTCTGGTCTGATCTCACAACAATGTTCAGCATCAGGGTTAAGTTGCTCACTCGCGTCCCTCCACCTGCTTCTCCTCTTTCACACAAGTGCAACTGCCTGCTGCCTGCCTGTGCACTCATCACGCACCTAGCAGCTCCCTTTCCTCGGGGAGAAAGAGGTGGGCGTCTGATCGCAGGACAGTGTTGAGCATCAGGCTGAAGTTGCTCACTCGCATTTCTCCACCTGCTCCTGCTTCCCCTCTCTCACACCCGTCGTTGTTCCCACATCCATCAGGATCACCACCACCACCAGTATCATCACCATCACCACGATCACCACTATCAGCACCCCCACTGCCGTTGACGTTTTCCCCGCACACCTCAGCAGCAGCATCCGCTCCAGTCTCATGCTGCCGACTCGCACCATCGCGACGGCTCAAACCATCAGCTGTGAATCCTTCCTGGGCTTTCTGCTTGTGCGTTTGAGCCCGTGACGTGGCATCCAGAACAGACTGCCACATGGCATTGAACGCGATCCTGAAACCGGAAGGCTCGGCCAAAGCTGCTGATTTTAGTCGATTCTCCGGAGGGTTGGCAGGAGAAGGTGTGGTGATGAGGGGTGTAATCTTGATAGGGATACGGGCATGCGGGGAGGAGGATGGGGTGGATGTGATGACACCCTGTTTAAAAAGACGAACAGAGACAACAAAAGAAGGGGGGGGGGGGGGAAATCAGGATGAGCTTATATAGGATATGCAACATGGGCACAAGACGAAAGGTTGTTAAGGTACAGCTTACTGTACACGGAGAGTTCTTGGCTTTCATGCATACTTGACCTCACACACAGGCAAGCCTTCCCCAAATGTGACGTCAGCATGGGCATTCCTGACGTAGTGTGTTAGACCATGACGTCAGCATGTTCAGGCATCTCACCTCAAATCTGACGTCACCATGTTGATCCATCACTGGAGCCAGAACCCGTGCCACTGCGCTTGATATATGCCCAATCGCCTCCCCCTTCACTTCTTCCATTATCCCCCCCTGCACTCCCCCCTTAATCTTTCCCTTCACGTCCCCCTTAATCTCCCCCTGCGCTTCCCCCTTCATGCCCCCCGTCATTCTCCCCATCTCGTCCCCTGTCCCCAAGGTGATTGATTGGCTCATGGTTGATCGCTTCCCTCCTAGCCTTCCCTTTCCTCTGCCCTTTTCTCTATCCGTTCCTTTCGTCCCTTTTGCACCAATGCCATTTTTCCGTCTTCCGCTCCCTTCCCCTCCTTTTTTGCCCTTTCCAGCTGTCTCCCACCATCTCGCTTTGCTCCTCGCTATAGTCACCTCCTCGCCTCTGCTGCTCTGGCTGCATCCATCCACGGATCTGCCATCCGGTATAATCAATACCTGGTAGAAGCACGTTAGCGGAACAAAAAACTCTAAGAATGTCAGTAATCGTTAGTACCAAAAGCTTCGGCTATCAAAAGGTCGCCTGCGTCATTATTGATCCTCTCATTGCGACACTCTCACTGCACACTCTCAATGCGACAATCTCATTGCGTCACTCTCATTGCGACACTCTCAATGCGACAATCTCATTGCGTCACTCTCATTGCGACACTCTCAATGCGACAATCTCATTGCGACACTCTCATTGCGACATTCTCAATGCGACAATCTCATTGCGTCACTCTCATTGCGACACTCTCAATGCGACAATCTCATTGCGACAGCAAAACCATAGATTTGCATCTACTACGAGCTCGCATTGCTGTCGTACGGGCAGATCGCTGCTGCCACCTGCACTTCACTCGCTATGTTCTTCACACTCGTTATAGTCTTCACACTCGTTATAGTCTTCACACTCGTGATAGTCTTCACACTCGTGCTAGCCTTCACACTCGTTAAAGTTTTCACACTCGTTACAACCTTCACACCCGTTATAGTCTGCACACTGCGACTCGCTACACTCCGAAGACCTTCATCACTACACTGAACTCACTTGAACGGCGTTTCTATCTGCCACGTTGGATCGCTCCCTCGCTAATACCACTCGCATTCCCGCACTGCATGGCACACGCGCATGGAACCGCCTTCCTACAACCCAGGTGCTCAGGCTCGGGAACTGGTTCGTTCCGACGGTAGCATTTTGGTTCGGCAAAACGGAGGTCGGCGCGTCCGCAACCTTCCCATTCTTCATGGTACGAACGGATGACGTGGACCGACGTGGATTTCGCTACTAGCAATGTCGCATTTGGATAGAAACGAATCTTATTCTAAACAGAAGGCATTGGATCTAAGAATGGTCTAAGCATTCCCCGAAAAAGAGCTATCTTCATCCCGCCAGTCACTAGCTACTCACTAGCTAGAGCGACAAGCAGCAGGAAAGCCGGATTGACAGGCTCGGACTGGACTTCAACTAGCGTCATTGTGACGACTAGCCGTGGCGGACGTTAAGGAGAGTGTTTGGTTGGGGGAAAGGGGGTAAGGGGGAATGGTTAGGGGAAAGGGGGAATGGTTGGGGGAAAGGGGGAATGGTTGGGGGAAAGGGGGAATGGTTGGGGGAAAGGGGGAATGGTTGGGGGAAAGGGGGAATGGTTGGGGGAAAGGGGAATGGTTGGGGGAAAGGGGGAATGGTTGGGGGAAAGGGGAATGGTTGGGGGAAAGGGGGAATGGTTGGGGGAAAGGGGGAATGGTTGGGGGAAAGGGGGAATGGTTGGGGGAAAGGGGGAATGGTTGGGGGAAAGGGGGAATGGTTGGGGGAAAGGGGGAATGGTTGGGGGAAAGGGGGAACTGGATGGGGGGAAGGAGGGAACGCGATGGGGTAAGGGGGGAATGTGGTGGGGTGGGGAAGAGGGAATGGGGATAATTGATTCGGCGCAGAGGCTAGTTGTTGGGTGGTCAGTGTGTTTACTCGCTGTCAACTGTATCGTATTTGGTTCAGTATAATCTCAGATCAGTAAGTAAGCACACCCTGTCCAGGTAGAATTCCTAGAATCAAGTTTATTGACTAAAATTAAAATGGGACACAATATAAGAGTCCTCTAAACCCACAGCGTATTGCACAACGCAATGCATCAGCGACTGGTCTACTACTCTCGCACAGCGTATGGGTTTATCTTCCCGTTTGGGTTAATCAGAGCCGCTGCTGCAGTTTCCGAGGAGTCGTGCACCTCCATCAGCATCCAGTCCTCCACCTCGCCCTGTATACAAAGAGATAAACATGAGGTGGACGGACCATCAAATCAAACGCGGTAACAACGGGTACGAAATGTGTGGTTGAGTAACAATCAACCAGTGACGAGAAAATAGAATCACAATACGGGGAGATGTGGATCATGCTCACCTGTCCTCGTCGCAGCAGCACTGGGCTGTCGCCAGTCATATCCACCACCGTGGATGGCTCGGGCATGCGAGCCCCTCCATCCACAATGAAATCCACACCCTGTCTCCCAACGAGAGGCACCGAACCGCAACGTGCGATGAGATGACGGGGGTAAGTGAAAACATACAAGCATGTGGATACAGAACAGTACGGCAGAATGGACAACAGAAGACAGCTTGTCCTTGCTATAAGCTCACCTCTGACCCATCTTCAGAGCGGTAGGTAAGTCCGACAACCGAGGGGTCCAGCAGCCAGCGATCATCCGAGCTCTTTGTGGCACTGAGGAATTACAAGAGGGGGGAAGGTGGGGGGAGATGAGGCACAGGAGAAATTGGACGAGTCTGATGCTGAGGTACCAACTGAGTCCACATAGAAGCCAGCGGTCACTAAAATTTGAGCTCCACACAATTGAGGGGTCCAGCAGCCAGCAATATCTGAGCTCTTGGTGGCATTGTGGAGCCCAGGCGAAAGCTACAGAAGGGACAGAAAACGACAGGCGAAAGTACAGGTACCGAGCGAACAGACAAAATAAGGGGAAGGAAAAAGGAGGATGGGTGCAAAGAGTGTCGGAGTCACATATCCAACAGAGTCACGTTGCCCACAATTGCACAGGCATATATGGTCTGGTCAGGGCCGCAACAACTGAAGTGGCGCTGAAGCTTGTCAAGCACTCCAAGTCACGTTTGAGTCGAATTTTAGTAGCAAATTCCGTGAAGTGTTACATCCCACTCACCTGATGCAGAGCAGGGGCTCGTCCAGGGGCTCGTCCAGAGGCTCGTCCAGCAGTTCTTTAGGGCGTGGCAGACGGGGTCCAGAGGCATTCTCACGCCCACGCTCTTCCTGGGAGCACAGTGCACCACGGCCCTGCCTCCGAATGCTACTCTGGCGCGTCTAGTTTGAAAAGAAAAGCCTCACCTGGTGCAGAGGAGAGGCTCGTCCAGCAGCTCTAGCAGCACGTAGCAAACAGGGTCCAGAGGCACTCGCGCTCTTTCTGGGACGCCGAGATGTTACAAGAGGCTCACCTGGTGCAAAGAAGGGGCTCGTCCAGCAGCTCTAGCAGCGCGTGGCAGACGGGGTCCAGAGGCATTCTCACAGCGCACAGTGCCTTCGATCAAGGCGTCTAGTGAAGAGAAGCCTCACCTGGTGCAGAGGAGGGGCTCGTCCAGCAGCTCTAGCAGCGCGTGGCAGACAGGGTCCAGAGGCATTCTCACAGCGCAAAGTGCCTTCGATCGAGGCATCTAGTGAAGAGAAGCCTCACCTGGTGCAGAGGAGGGGCTCGTCCAGCAGCTCTAGCAGCGCGTGGCAGACGGGGTCCAGAGGCATTCTCACGCCCACGCTCTTTCGGGGAGCGCAGTGCGCCACGGCACTGCCTCCGAACGTGGTGCACTGCTTGGGCATGGCCTTGCTGGCCTTGAGAATGAACGTGTACTGGGGAGCAGGATGGGAGGGGGCGTGCGGGGGCAAAGGATGCAGGAGACAGATGGAAAGAGGGAGGGGAACTGGACGTGGTGAATGTGTACTGTAAAGGGGAGAAAGGGGAGGAGAGGGGGGGGGGGGGAGAGGGGAGGGGAGAAGACGGAGCATGGTGGGTGCATTTGAAGTGACGGTGCTTTCACACGGAGCCAGGAGATAAAGAAATCCGACCCATTTAAAAATATCAAATCAAAAACCATGTAGCCACAAGTAGGACATACTTACAGGTCCAGGGAGGCATTGCCGGGCAGCCCTGAAAATGTTTGTCTGACCATGGCCGTTCCCTCGGGGAAATCCCAGCGTATAGGTGTCGATGTCTTGGAAATTGCGGCAGAGGATACTGAGGGGCTGCAAGGAAAAGGGTAGGTATCGGATTGTGAGGAACATGGTGAGGCGAGGAATCCGAGTAGGTGAAGAAAATGGTGAGGGAAAATGGGAGAAGTTGACTTGCAGGGGAGTAATAAAGAATGGCGAAGTTTTTCAACTTCCATGAGGTGTTTGGAACCAGTTAAGGGAAAATGGTGACGGGGTGCAAAATGGCAACCAAACGCAGAGAGCATGAGGCGTAAGTCGAGTGGGTGATTTTTGAGTCGACTAAAAAATAACGCAGAGAGCATGAGGGTGATTTTTGAGTCGACTCAAAAATAACGCAGAGAGCATGAGGCGTAAGTCGAGTCGAGTCGAGTGGGTTGATATTATTTTTTGCAATAAACCGAGCTCACCTTTTTTGGGTCCATCCGCTTGATACTGCGAAAAACAAAAACAAGGTGGGAATGGATTTATCAGGTGATCATGCGAATTCAGGCGAAGGTTTTACCGCAGTAGTACTATCTTGCGCCCATATCAAATGAAGCTGGAAGAGCCAAAATGGCTGTGGGCATACGCAACAAATATGCAGTAAATGGCATACGCAAGATTGTACAATTGAAAAGCGTTAAGCATGCGGTCAGTGAGAGCAGATTCATACCGGTAGAGCCTATCAATGGCATCCCGGTTCTTGACGTCACACACGAGAGCATAACTGCACACGTGGACACATACACACACGTGGACACACACACACGTGGAAACACACATGGAGACACATGTGGAACAAATATTAGGTGCAAGTGCAGGAAGGGGTGGAGGGGGGTGTAGAAAGGAGTCAGATGGAGGCAAGGATTGTAAACAGGAGGGACGGAAGGATCGGAGGAGAGAGGGGTTGGCAGGAGGAGGCGATTGAAGTGGTACTCTAGGCTGACTGAACTGCCTTATAACAAGGTAAGCATCCGTCACTATTATCCTTCGATTCTTGCACATTCTACACCCTCCCCTTCCCCCTTCCCCCGCCCACCCCACCTCCCTCCCCACACTCGCACAAACACACATACAGCCGGCTCACACAGTGTCAGTCGGAATGAGCCCAACGGATCCTTCCTTGATGAGGCTTCTTATAAATTTCACATCCGCATACACACACCCTTCCCCCAAACACAAACACCCAACACCACACACACGGAGAGAGCCGGCTCACACAGTGTCCGTCGGAATGAGCCCAACGGCGCCCTCCTTGATCAGCTTGGCGAATAACTTCATGCACTCACAACCTGCCCGTCTTCCCCCCTTCCCCCCCCTCCCCCCCCACCCCCCACCCCCCCATCCCCGCCCGCCCCCACACACACACCCAACTCACACAGTGTCGGTCGGAATGAGCCCAACGCCGCCCTCCTTGATCAGCTCCGCTATTCCCTTCAGCTTCCACGAAGCATCGGATCCTGACGGGTCAACGGTCACCACGTCCACGTCGATGGCCTGCCGGGAAAGTCATGGGACCAGGGGAACGAAAAAGGTGTTGGATTGTTCATTTTCAAATAAGTGGTGAGCAGGACGGGCTTCCCGAGTTATATCACGTTCCCTGACTTGATACAAGGTCCCTGAGGTTATTCTTTTACGTTCCTCCCTGCTCCCACTTCCCATTTCCACTGTCTCGCCTCCTCTCTCCACCCCAAACCCAATAATCTCCTCTTCCCATATTCCGTTCATTTCAGCGGGGAAACCACGCACGTACCTGTCGCGAGCCTCCCGCGTATTTAAGTCGCTTCGGGTTCCTCTTCATACTCGCTGCAACGACGACCGGTGCTCCTCTGGGCTTGTTCGAAAAAAGCGAGTTCACTTGTAGCGGAGCCAGTCGAGAACCGACGAACTCTGACGAAGTCAAGGAACAACACGAAACCCTCGAGCGAGCGTGCATAACGGAGAAGGTGGAGAGCTCCGGAAGCCGTGCGGTGATAGTAGCTGCATCCATGGTTGCCACTGTTGCCATCAACCAGCAAACCGTCGGAGTGCTTCCGAACCGTGAGACGGTTGACGAAACTGCTGGTCGCGGAAAGGGTTTGCTTAGATGGACGGTAGACACTCGTTGAGGTACGTAGGCAGGACGAGCGCGACGAGATGGTGATAAGGGACCTTGCGTGGAGCCAACGCAATGCAGGAAATCCTGGCTAATAAATTGCAGAGATCATGTCTCTGGCACAACTGATGTATATCGCATCCGTTTGCCATGGGGAATGGTTTTGCCTTGCTGTCTAGGAACTGACTTGGAGTCGGTCAGAGGCGTGGCGTAGGGAATCCCCCACCAGCAGATCAGAAATTCTCAAATGGCTTGGGAGGATATCGCACGCATCTCGGGAATATCGCATCCGTGTGCGAAACATAGCGCGCCAATTCCCGAGTGCCGGAACCAGTGCCTCCCCCCATCATGCCCACATCCTGTGGGTAAAACAACAAAACAAATGAGGCCACGAGGGCGTTCTACGATACCCCAGGCTGACAAGACTGCCTTGGTTCGAGAGGAAAGCCCTGGTGGCATTGCCAGCTTTTTACGTCATTTCTTGACGTGTCGAAGAAAGACTGGTGATATTTTCCGTGACGCTAAGCAGGTGATTCCTGCCACATCGGCAGTTATCGCTAGAACCACATAGCTGAACTGCTTGACACATATCTAAACGGGGTCTACACCCACATTACTCTTGGGGGAAATTCAGGGGCTAAAGATCTACAAAAGAGGGTTTGGATACCGTATGCTATTAGGGTGTCTCAAACAAATTTCTTGTACCGATAACTTGAACAAACAAAAAGATAGCCACAGCTAGTATTCAAACAAAACAGCGAACATCTCGGAAGCGCGAGAAGCGCACGAAGACAGCCGCGGGATATTCACAACCACGTAATGCAAAAGTTGAGAATCAGCATTCCATTACTGATGCTCTCCCTCCACACCTACAGGTTGTTAGCTTCTCTAAACCTTCAAGTATAGCTGCAACCATGGATTCTTGGCTGCATGAATAAAATGAATACTCCTACAGTGCCAGGGCGCGTCTCCTCTTCGCGAATCAAGACTTCTTTCAATCTGGCTTGAAATCGCCCTCCTCCATCGGCATCTGATTTGCATCAGCTGCCTCAGCTGGTTGATGACCTCAGCTCAGCTGGTTATTGTGCTGGACGACTCGTCGTCAGCATCGAAGGGAAGCAAATGCCACGGCAGATGCTTGTCCTTGCTCCACAAATCCCCTCCCATTCCTGCTGCTGCTGCCGCTGCTGCTGCTGCCCTACCTCCCATTCCCAGTGGTACTGCGTTGGATGGTGTGTGTGAAGTCGAACCAGAAAGGGAAGCCAAACCTGACGACCAACCAGCAGCTGCTGCTGCAGCAGCAGCGTATGCATTGAGCCGCAGGCTCGGCAGGAGGCTCGGAGGCAGGCTTCGGGCATGTAACCACGTAACCATGTCATCTAAAATCCTTGCAGTCACGTCATCAGGCTCTGCTGTAGTCAGCCCATGCCAGCACCCCTCGTACAGTCTAAAAGTCTTATCCCCACTACAAGCCTGCTGGAAAAGCGCCTCGCTAACGGAAGGATCAGTGACCACATCCGCAGCACCGTGCATCAGAAGAAACGGCAGTGAAACCTTATCCAGATCCCGGCCAATCCGCTGCGTCGCAGTCAGCATTTGTAGCGCCGTCTGTAGCCTCGGCTTCCCGCCATACCCCACTGGATTTTCGCACAATCTCGCCCTTTTAACCGGATCCCGGAATCCAATTTCCGCAATCTCCCTGGTAGGAACCAGCTTGGCTCGAGGGAAGATACTCGCGAGGAACGATAAGGTGGTGACGACGGGTTTAGGAGGCATCATTTCGGGGGCAATCTTGCACATGGGGGCGGCAAGGATGGCGCCCTGCCAGGCGGATGGCTGGCGGAGGTGGGTCAGGAGGGCGACTGCTCCGCCCATGGACTCGCCATACAAGAAGAACGGAAGATGAGCGAGTGCTGGCCGTGCTGCAATTGGGGGGAAACGGAAACAATAAAGAAGCCAACAGGAGGAAAGATGAGCGGCGCAATTTCCGAACAACGGTGATCACTTGGAAAATTGCTGCTCGTTCCAACTCTCAATTCTCAGGTTCGCTTCGCGTGCGTTTACCCTTGAGCGCATTCGAACAGATTTTCAAAACGCGGAATAAAGCCGTGCAACCCCGCCGACAACGCAGCAGAGGCACCCGTAAGCTGCAAGCTCACCTCTAAGCGACGCAGCGAACTCCGTAACATCGTCCACCAAATTATCGAATCGCGGAATGAAACCGTGCAACCCCGCCGACATGCCAAACCCTTCGTAGTCCATCGATTGTACCGCATAGCCAGACGCAGCCAACCGTAACGCGACGTCTTCAAACGCGTACACGCAGGTATCGCCATAACCGTGGCAGTAAAAGACGACTCCGCGTAAACGACCGTCGATCGGCAGCCACTGCTTGGTGAAAAGCTCGACGCCGCGCGAGTTGACGAAATAGTCCTCTGACGACATCACGCCATAGTACTCCTGAAAATCGAGAAAGGACGGCACGGCAGAAAGAACGAAGATGAAGAGATGGATGACCACAATTCACCGTAGAAAATCGAGAAGAATGGATTGACGCCCGGGCCCATGATGAAGCGGTGTAGAAAGCATCAGAACTGACGGCTGCGGCGAACTTAACAATCTGGCTTCGGCGAACTTCAGAAAAACAATCACCAAATAGCGCTACGCCGAAACCTTGCAAACTAAAGCACACGAGATACCGACCCTTCGCGAATAGCGATCGGACGGGACGAGACATCAGTCTGTCTCGGCTTCGGTCCAGTCACCCCCCTGTCTGCCTACGCGGCTGACGGACAAGAAAAGGGAGGACGGAGCTGTAGCCAGGAAAAGTGGGAAGCCTTTACAGCCATGAGAACGCGAGGAAACTTATGACCGTGACCCTTGGACAACTGGAAACAACCTGAGGACCCAGAGTGAACCCGAACCGATCAGAGACGGTCACAGCTGGAGCTGCTGCGTCGAAACAACGGGCACATAACGAGTTACTCACGTAAAATTCCGGGGGTTTCTTAAACGGCTGCCTGGCTTTTCGCCGGCCGGTTTCCCACTCGAGCGAGAGCTCGTTCTGGCGACTCGAGGACCGTCTGAGGAACGCTAGCGACAGCAGCAGGAGCGCTGCGAGCACGACGAGGCAGAACATCCTGTCGAACTGGATGGGTAGAAGAACTGCGGCTACGGAGAGAGTTCCCGCTACTAACGAATCAGTTGATAGCGTGTACGTCCCGCTATTCAGCGGCGGGTGCACAGAAACGGTCGACATGGTGGCGACTCTGGAGGATGGTCGAGCTTTAGAGGGAAAGGGAGAGTGTGTGCGAAGAAACGCCGTTTGCAGTTCTTCTAGGAAGCGAGGGCGTAACGAGAGCCAGTGTTGCTACTAGAAGTTCGTTTCACGCCAAAAGTTATTGCTAGCGCTCGCTGGTTGACCGAGTGAGCTGCTCCTGCCCAGTGCTTTCTGGAATAGTGCTTCAAGTGAAGGAAACGTCGGGAAGACTGAAGGGGTGCGACGGCGAGATCAGCTCATACAGCTATTTTGCGAGCCTTTTTGGTTCTTGATGGGTTTAGGCTGACGAGGGAAGGAGGCGTTGGTGATGTGGTGCCACGGCGACGAGCAAGCCAGATGAAGCAGCAACAGCAAGCCAAGCAAGGCTTTTCATCTCAACCCGAACAGCTTCGAAGGGTGGAGGTGGAAGGAGCGCTTGGAAAAGAGAGGCTGCTGCCAGAGCGGGAAAGGTGACAAGGGACGGGAGGAAGGGAGGATGAAGCTGGGGTGGGGGAGATGTGAGGTGAGGAAGAGGGGGAGGAGGAGGAGGGTTCCCCCGCCAGCAAGCGAAGCCAATAGCTGCATCCGACTTGGAGTCGCTATCGTGTCAAATGATGGAGAATGTGCGAATAGGAGGGAAATGAAACTGCCGCCATGCATGAGGCGCGCCAGCTTGATTGGCTGCCGCAAATCGCTCAGAAAGTTTGTGTCTCTGACCAACAATAGTTTTGAGTTGCGGTTCCTCCCTCGCTTCAATCAGGAGTAGGACTCCTGTCTCAGGATTGGCTGGCGTCGTCTCGGGTCTTCGCGAAATTTCTATTGGAGCTGTACATCTGGTTGGGGTTCCCGTGTTGAACATTTGAACGCAGCGATGTCGAAATGAAACGGCAGAAGGCTGATGAGGAATATGATGAAACGAGACGCCTCGGGCAGAGCTCAAAGCCCACAGTTTGAGAGAAATCTCCTGTTTTTACCATACGGTCAGCCACCGCCCCCTACTTCCGTCTTCTTTTGTGAAGGTAGGTCCACTTTGTAACTGTAGTTTGGTAGTGATTGCCGACGCTACGGTGCCGTAAAAACTACTCCCACACCCAGGGAGGCCAGTCGAATGAAGAGCTTTGTGCTCGTCGTTGTATGAAATACAACGTGACGCTGTCATCTCATTGGACGCATGAGGTTGTGGAGGTGGTGCCTCCCCTACGAGTAGATTGGTGGAGCACGTGACTATTGTGGGAGGGATACTTCTGAAGCCTATCCAGTTTCAAATGGGTGGACAGACCCGAGCCGAGTTTGCTAGGCAGCAAGCCAGCAGACTGCAAGACAGACAGGGCTCCTGGGAGTCCAAACAGGCCCTGGGACAAGTCTCGCGCTGACCTATTCCTGGAAGAAACTGAATGCCCCATTCCCGCAACGGGCGGAGGAGGACATTGTTCACTGAGCCTGACACCACAAACTGCCTCTCCAGTACACTCCAAACAATCTTGCGAAGCTGGTGAGTACCCTGCCACTGCGCGCCGCAACAAATTGTGACGATTACGAAGAAGAACGAACAGCGAAGAAGCTTCGGCCAGCCAATCACACGCATTGAAAAACGGCAGGAACACCCACGGCAATACATTTTCCTTTCGGACACCACGCGACGCGGCGCTGTGGATAAGTAGTTGGTGACTCGACATGAACCGGACGAGGGGTTCTCTCAACAACCTAGCGCTGGCTGTTCCGCGCTGACATGGCAGAACTGATCAAGCTTCAACTGCTGATTTTGAGGGATGAACCGACGATCTGTCAGCATCCCATGTAGAAACACACAAATGCCACGCAGTCATCGAAGTCATCGAGTCGCCATCTGACGAGCTTCTTCCAAGAAATCAGGAAGACGGGGAAGAAGATGGAGGTGGGAATTTCTTTTCCCCGTCATAACGCCGTGGATGGCGGGTCATCATACATTCATTGTGGTTACGATATGTACTTCGGATTCACTCACTTATCTAGCCCCTCTAGTGTAACTTGGTACAACTCATGCAAAAAGGCTCGTGTTGGTGCCTCTTCTAGAGCCAACCGTGCTGTGACATGAATGAAAGCCCTGCACCAGCCACACAATTATCAAAATCATCCAGACACCTTGAGAATCATTCCCAAAAAACAGGAGAGAATCATCAGGTGTGAAGGAAGATGTATTGTCCATGTTAGACAGCGAAATGGCGAGGTCGTTAACCAAATGTGGTTGTAACGAACACTGCATCGACAATACACTTCACAAAGATCCTAGCACTTTGTATTAGCACCTACAGGTGACAGCCTGACACCCTGTCCTAGCTTCCTCTGTTTTAGGGCATGGCATGAGAGCACATCTCTTCAGTGAAGCCCTCTCTGAGCAGCCTTTGGGACGCACTTGTATCCAAGGCAGCTCCACACCCGTGCCTTGCAGATCATTCCTCGGCATGCATTTTTAGGGCATTTTACCCTCTTCTTTTTCTTACAAATCCCCCCAACCGGACCAGACCCTTTCCCAGCTCCTGCCCCCCCACCTGTCCCTGACTCGGTCCCCGAGCCAGTGCCAGTTCCCGAACCTGTGCCAGTGCCGGTGCCAGTGTCAGTGCCCGTGCCAGTGCCCATGCCCCTGCCCGTGTCTGTGCCGCTACCTGCTCCGGTCCCTGTGCTGTCAACTGGCTTCCCATCCGGACCTGAACAAGACAAAGGATCAGTGGGCCAGAGCAGTGGATATAAGACATGAGCTATAGAGATAAAGAAGGGTAAATATGTGTAGATTTGAGCTCTCAAACGTCAACTGGCTTCCCATCCGGACCTGAACGGGGAAAAGGATCAGGGAGCCAGAGCAGTCGATATACGACATGAGCTACAGAGGTTAAGAGGTGACTTTTGAGTCGACTCAAAAGTCGCCTTGTTTTGAGTCGACTCGAAGTTCACCTCTGAACAAGACAAATGATCAGTGAGCCAGAACAGTGGATATAAGACATGAGCTATAGACATTAAGAAGACGGAAGGATGTGAGAGATGTGGCAAACCGAAAGGTTTCGGGGAGAGGGAAGAAAGCATTCAGCAAAGCCAGGAAGGGCGGAGGGGGGGAGGCTGCGAACCAACCCACTGCATGGGAAGCTTTGCCGACACTGGTTCTTAGAGTCGGTAACCAACGCAAGGAAGGGCAAGGAAGGGCAAGGAAGGCAAGGAAAGCAAGGAAGGGCAGGGAAGCAAGCCTGCATACCAACACATTGCATGGGAAGCTTAATCCAATGCTGGTTCTTAGGGTTGGTTACCAACACAATGAAGGGCAAGGAGGGCAGGGCAGGGGCAAGGAGGGGCAAGGAAGCGTACCAACACATTGCATGGGAAGCTTTGCCCGATGCTGATTCTTAGGGTCGGTAACAACCGGAGCGCAGGTGTTGCCCGAACCACAGGGGTCCGCAGCATCCTGTTTGGGAAGGGACGAGGAGAGAGCATGGCTTCGTTATTTCTGCTCGTCTGATTGAGGATGTGTGGGTGTGCGTGATTATGTGTGTGTGTGTGTGTGTGTGTGTGTGCGCGCGCACGTTTGTGCGTGTGTGCGTGTATCTGTGCGCGTGTGTCTGTGCATGTGTGTGCGTGCGTGTGTGTGTGTGCTTGCGTGTGTGTGCATGTGTGTGTGTGAGAGATTGTGTGTGTTTTTGTGTGTGTGTGTGTTTCTCAAAGGTGCAGTGCTCAAAGGCGCGGTACTCACAGGTGCGGAGCTCACAGGTGCGGAGCTCACAGGTGCGGTGCTCACAGGTGCGGTGCTCACAGGTGCGGTGCTCACAGGTGCGGTGCTCACAGGTGCGGAGCTCGCAGGTGCGGAGCTCACAGGTGCGGAGCTCACAGGTGCGGTGCTCACAGGTGCGGTGCTCACAGGTGTGGAGCTCACAGGTGCGGAGCTCACAGGTGCGGTGCTCACAGGTGCGGAGCTCACAGGTGCGGTGCTCACAGGTGCAGTGGTCCCAGGTGCGGTGGTCTCAGGTGCGGTGCTCACAGGTGCAGTGGTCCCAGGTGCAGTGCTCACAGGTGCGGTGTTCCCAGGTCCGGGGCTCACAGGTATGGGGCTCACAGGTGCGGTAAATTTCAATGGCTAAACTCCTTGCAGCCCCCTAAGGGCTGTTGATCAATCCCCAACTGTCACACATCTCAACTTGTGGCAATGGAAGAGGTGCAGTGCGGTACTCACTGGTGCTTTGAGGTTCGCTCCACAGACCGTGCAGTCCCTGCTGGGCTTCTGCTCGGTCCCCAGCCCCGTGTCACACATCTCGACGTCCCGCAGACAGTTCTGCACTGCACTGCACACCTCGAACAGCGTCGGCGGCATGGGGAAGGTTCCCAGAAGGAGGTTCCCGTCAACATCTAGGGTGAGGAGGGAGGAGGAGAAGGCTGGGGGCACTGCGCCAGAGAGGAAGTTGTAGGAGAGGGAACTGGGTTGGAACCATGGGGAAGGGGGGGGGCGGGGAGGGGTAGGAAGGAAAGGAGGGGTGAGGAAGGAGGAGGGGGGGGGGGGGACACTGCGCCTGAGAGGAAGTTGTAGGAGAGGGAACTGAGTTGGGGGGAGATGGAAGGGGGAACAGGAAAGAGGGGTGAGGAGGGGTGTCAAGGGGGTTCAAGAGAGATCAACATCGAGGGTGAGGAGGGAGGAGGAGAAGGCGGGGGGCACTGCGCCTGAGAGAAAGTTGCAGGAGAGGGAACTGATGGGGAGTGAGGGGATCAGAGAGGATGGGATCAGGAGGGGGGGGGGAGTGAGGGGATGGGGGAAAGGGGATCAGAGAGGAAGGATCAAGATGGCTGATAGTGGAGGGTGTGGTAAGAGGAGGGGAAGGCTGGGGGGAACTGCGACTGAGAGGAATTTGTTGTGAGAGGGAACTGAGGTTGGTTTTGAGACGTCTCGAAACCAACCTTATATCACGTGAATTTGTTGTAAGAGGGAACCGAGGAGGGAAAGGGGGGGGAAGGAACGAGGGGAAGTAGGGGAAGGAAGCTCAGGATAGCTGTTGGTACCGGGAAGAGGTTATAGGAGAGGGAAGAGGAGGGCTTGATAGGAGGTTCTAGGAGAGGGAAGCGCAGGCAGAGGAGATGTACACGGGGGAAAGGAGGAACGAGAGGAGGCACGAAGGCACCAGGAAGAGGTTATAGGGCTTGATAGGAGGTTCTAGGAGAGGGAAGCGCAGGCTGAGGGGGGGGGGAGGGAGATGTAGAAAGGGGAAAGGGAGGGACGAGAGGAGGCAAGCAGGCAACAGGAAGAGGTTATAGGAGAGGGAAGAGGAGGGCTTGATAGGGGGTTATAGGAGATGGAAGTGCAGGCAGATTGGGGGGGGGGGGAGGGGAAGAGATGTGGAAGGGGGAGGTGGGTGCAAAAGGGGCTATCGGGAATAGAGACGGCAAAAGGGGAGAGGGCGAAGGAATTTGGGCCTCTTTCGAGGTTCTAGGGGTGGGAAATGTAGGGGAGGCGCGTGAAGAACAGGGAGCTCCACCCTTTTAGAGACTGCAGTGAACAGATGTGCTAGGAGGGAGGAGGAGGAGAGGGCCGGGGGGTTGGGGACGGAGTGGGGGTTGCAAGATAGGGAATGGTTTCATAGGCTGAGTTTTGAGGCGCCTCAAAACTAGACTCCTATCACGCGGTTTTGAGGCGCCTCAAAACTAGACTCCTATCACGCGGTTTTGAGGCGCCTCAAAACTAGACTCCTATCACGCGGTTTTGAGGCGCCTCAAAACTAGACTCCTATCACGCGGTTTTGAGGCGCCTCAAAACTAGACTCCTATCACGCGGTTTTGAGGCGCCTCAAAACTAGACTCCTATCACGCGGTTTTGAGGCGCCTCAAAACTAGACTCCTATCACGCGGTTTTGAGGAGCCTCAAAACTAGACTCCTATCACGCGGTTTTGAGGCGCCTCAAAACGAGAGGGAATGGTTTCATAGGCTGAGGCTGTGAGGCAGTGAGGCTTTGAGGGTGTCAGGTTGTTCGTTGGCGGTGAGAAGGTTACATCTAGATGTATTCTTAGAAGGATTGCTGTGGATCGAACCCACCACCTTTTGGCTCCACAGGTTGTGAGGTACTTCTTGTGATCACTTGCATGGATCAATCTTCGAGGCTATGAAGGCCTTTCAGGCTTACAGGTTATGAAGGCTTTTCCGTCTGACAGTTTTGAAGGCTTTTCAGCCTTACAGTTTGGAAGGCTTTTCAGTCTTATAGGTTATGAAGGCTTTTCAGTCTTACAGGTTATGAAGGCTTTTCATCGCCACGGGCGAGGTAGGAATCGGGCGGGGGCGGCAAGAGAGGGAGTGGCTTCTTAGGCTGTGGGGCTGTGGGGCTGTGGGGCTGTGGGGCTGTGAGGCTCTGGGGCTCTGGGGCTCTGGGGCTGTGAGGCTCTGGGGCTCTGGGGCTGTGAGGCTCTGGGGCTGTGCACCAACCATGCATCAGTCTAACAGCTTTTGAAGGCCTTTCATCGCCACGAGTGAGGTAGGAATCGGTCTGTAGAAGAAGTTGTCTCGCAAGTTGTTGTGAGGCTGTGGGGTTATGCCCGCCTCTTCCCTCTCCTAGAACCTCCTATCAAGCCCGTCTGACAGCTTCTGAAGGTTCTTCATTGCGACGAGTGAGGTAGGAATCGGGCGGGGGCGGCAAGAGAGTGAGTGGCTTCTTAGGCTGTGAGGCTGTGGGGCTGTGGGGCTTCGCTTCATCACCAGCACGCATCAGTCTTACAGCTTTTGAAGGCTTTTCATCGCCAAGAGTGAGGTAGGAATCGAGCCATAGAAGAAGTTGTCTCGCAAGTTCCTGTAACGCCGGGTAAGATGTGGCGTGGTGGAAGTAATTAGAGGAATGCAGTAGGAATCTGGCCGTAGAAAAAATTGTCTCGCAGGTTCCTGTAACGCCGGGTAAGACGTGGCGCGGTGGAAGTAATTAGAGGAATGCAGTAGGAATCGGGCCGTAGAAGAAGTTGTCTCGCAAGTTCCTGTAACGCCGGGTAAGACGAGGCACGGTGGAAGAAGGGAGAAGGAGTGGTGTGGGGGAGACGCTTTAATATAAGGGTATTTTTAAAGCAGGTGTTTCTCAATAACCCGTAACCAAAATTTCCTCAGTTACCCTAAGCAGTTTTACAGGTACTTTTCTAAGCAGAGGCATGGTCAGCTGTCCATCTAAGATCCCTTTGGCAAGCATTTCAACTATAATGCTCCGTGGTGGTGCAGTAGTTCTGTTATTTCTGTCCCTAAAAGCTGAACTACTTAACCTCAGTTTTCCATCTACGATCCTCTTGACAAGCATTTCACCTAGAACGCTCGGTGGTGCATGTCACACTCATGCCAACTCTCGCCAACTCAAGCCCGCCCAGGTCAATCCAAGTCACCCCACGTGAACCCACGTCAGCACAAGCCAACACAAGTCAACCCAACTCAACGTGCGCACACAGGTGTGCGAGGTTGGCTTGGGTAAACAAGCCGTGGGCAGCACTCTCAATTGAGAGACAGACAGTCAACCCAAGTCAACGGCAGCACTCACAGCTGTGCGAGGTTGGTCAGGGAGAGCAGGTTGGGCACGAGTCAACCAAAGTCAACGCAAGTCAACGGCAGCACTCACAGTTGTGCGAGGTTGGTGAGGGCGAGCAGGTTGGGCATGAAGGCATCAAGGCGCCGGTTGAAAGCATTGTTTTGGAGTTCCCTGGAGGGATAGAACGCGTTGCAGAGCGGTTCACTGGGGTTTAGTGTGGTTCATTGCGGTTCAGAAGTGAGACAATGAGCGAGACATGGGATGAAGACACATTAGGTGAAAGGAGCTTGACTATAACGAGACTGTAGCGAGACTGTAACGAGTGAATGGTTTCCTTACAGTCGGGTGATTGCGGTCATGTTCTTTATCGCGGATGGAATCCCCCCCGCCAAGTTCAAGCCGTCTGCGCGTCTGTAACACAAGGAAAGGTTACCTTTAGCACGACATTTATAATATTTTACAATTTAACTCTACATACCAAACCCATACTTACATGTGCGCAGGAAGGGCTTTATTTAATTCCGGACAAGACCAAACAAATAGTGCTAAAATCGCGAACTTACATGACAATAGGATTCCCGTTAGAGTCACAAACAACGTTCTTCCACACCACCGTCCCCGCTACAAGGCCCTCCCCGGGCAGAGTACAAGCCACGCCAGCCTTCCAATTCCAAGAAGCGTCGGTCAGTCCGAGGCTCTGCCGAACCTTGAGCATCGCGGCCTCTGATGGAGCGGGAATATGGGGAGAGATGGGGAGAGATGGGGAGAGATGGGGAGAGATGGGGAGAGATGGGGAGCAGTAATGGGGAATGTGCCACGCCAGGTGACTTTTGAGCCGACTCAAAAGTCACCTCGAAATGGGGAGCAGTAATGGGGAACGCGCCACCCCAGTCTTCCAATTCCACGACGCGTCCGTCAGTCCGAGGTTCTGCCGGACCTTGAGCATCGCGGCCTCTGCTAGGTTTGGTGGCGGCGAAATGGGGCGGAATGGGAGCGAAATGGGGGCGAAATGGGGGCGAAATGGAGGCAAAATGGGGGCGAACGGGGGCGAAATGGGGGCGAAATGGGGGCGAAATGGGGGCGAATGGGGGCGAAATGGGAGCGAAATGGGGGCGAAATGGGGGCGAGAACGGGGGGCAGAAAAGGGGGTTTGAGTTGGGAGAGGAAAAGGGTCGCGCCAAGGAACACCGGGTGGCGCCGCGTCTTTCAGTCCGAGGCGCTGCCGAACCTTGAGCTTCGCGGCCTCTGCTAGGTTTGGTGGGGGCGAAATGGGGGCCAGAAAAGGGAGTTTGAGTTTGAGTGGGGAAAAGTGTCGCGCCAAGGAACACGGGATGGAGTCTATTTTTGAGGCGCCTCAAAAATAGACTCCTCACGCATTTTGAGGCGCCTCAAAAATAGACTCCTCACGCATTTTGAGGCGCCTAAAAAATAGACTCCTCGCGCGGGGCCAGAAAAGGGAGTTTGAGTGGGGAAGAGTGTCGCGCCAAGGAACACGGGATGGCGCTGAGTCCGAGAATCCGAGGCTCTGCCGAACATTGAGCATCGCGGCCTCTGCTAGATTCGGTGGGGAAAAATGGGGAGAAAGAAGGGGGAAGACGAAAAAGCAGGAGGTATGTTTGAGGCGCCTCACGAGTCACGTCACGGCAGACTTTGCCTCTCAGACCAATGCTCTGCTTTTGAGTTGACTCAAAAGCAGGCCCACGGCAGAATTTGCCTCGGACCAGTGCTCTGCCAAATGCTGGCGGTCCAATTCCTCGACGCGACCTTCAATCCAAGGCTCTGCTGGACCTTTAGCATCGCGGCGCGGCCTCTGCTAGGTTCAGTGGGGCGAACTGGGGGCGAGAAATGGGGGGCAGATATGGCGCCGAGTCCGTAAAATCGGAGGCTCTGCTGGACCTTGAGCATCGCGGCCTCGCTCGCTCGCCGGATGTAAATTCCGCCAGTCTACTCTCGCTGCCAGACATTCTGCGACACCCCATTTCTTTGAGAATTCTCCAAAATACGCCGCATTTCGAGTGCGTTCGGAGGAGTCGTCGACTGACTCCAGGTTTCATGGTCGTACGCCGGACCTGAATCAGTCGACATGACGACGGTCGCAGCGGCAGTGCAGAGAAGCGTCAAAATGAGACCATTGCCACACGAAAGGCGAAGGGAAAGTACTTTGCCTTCGCCTTCGTGACTCACAAAGCAACCGAAGCAACCGAAGGCTACGAATCAACCCTTTGAGTCAACTTAGAAGTCGCCCGTTGTCAGACGAACGGCGGAGGGGAAGTACACTGTATCCAGTGTGACTCGCTGCAACCGAAGGTGCAGTGCCATGCGTTTTGTGTAGAGTCACGGCGCGGCTCGTGCCGTACGGACCTGAAGTAGTCGACATGACGACGGTCGCAGTGGCAGTGCAGAGAAGCGAGGAAACTGAAGCCAGGGCGACGACGATGGCGAGCAGTCTGCGACGGGTTTCCATCTTTTGCGACGCTTTCGGCGACGTCGCGCGCTGCATAGACTGTGGCACACGAGAGTTGACGACGAGGATTTTTTCAAGGCGGGAAGGTGAGCGGGCAATCAAATTCGTCAGTGAAGGGAATACAGGATTGAGTACTCGTACTGGCTGCGCAGTGCGCACAAGAGTACAGCTAGATCTATCTGCCGTGAGTTGAGGACAAAGACGGAAACTTTGGAATAAATTTTAGTGATCCTTGAACAGATTGCGGTGTGAGGGAGGTAGAACAATCACGTAAGTTGTGTATTTCCGTAGCACTTGAAATATGTCGGCTGAGTTAGTCGGTTGGGGGAGGTGCAACCAGCAGAGCACAAATTGACTCCGAAGCGCGTTCTCCCATTTGGGGGGATTTGACGATTTTATGATGACCGCGTTCGGAACAACGGGGGAGAAAGTTGTGGGGTTGGATGATATATTGAAGTGTGCTTGCCAGCGCCATGGTCGCTTTGCCGTTCGATTGGCCGATGGAATGCATCGCGTTCACCGCACTCAAACACGAGCAAGGCTTTGGGCGTCAACCAATCATCCATATTTGAGACGCAATTATTCACCGCAAGAAGCGGCGCCTGACGCGGAAAGCCACACTGTCTATCTCGAGATACGAGGTGCATTCATCTTTTCTCATTAACCAAGTTAATAAAGGGAATCCAACCATTTGGGTTGGGACGTCGAGCTTGTGGACTCCAAATGTTACCCCCAATGTATGGCCTGAAATCCACAAGGAACATAAGTAAAGAGAACATATTGCAACGACTGTATACTTTTCGTACGAAACACAAACCAATATAATGTAGATTAGGTGATTTGACATTTGAAATACTGCCACTCCTACAGCCAAAAGAAGGGAAAGTATATCGTCGCTCAGTATTAGGAGCCTCGATAACATGTACTCTCAGTGACACGATATATACAATCAGAATTAGTGGAACTGTTTTGCTGCAGTTTCCCACTAACCGTGGAACCAAGGCTCAAATTTGAAGGGTGTTTCGCCCTGATTACCCTTGCCAGCGGCCGCTTTTTCAGGATTACCCTGATCTTGTAAGGCCAATTTTTCTCTAACCCTTTTTCAAAAATTGTATGGAATATTTTACCCTGTTGTAGTAAGAGCATTCGTTTTATTACCCTGACCAGTCAATGTGCGCCAAAAAACACCCTGAAACAGATAACTCTCAACCCTCGAAATACGCCAAATGTCGAATCTGCCACGCGGGCAGGCAGCCCCGCCCATCAACAAATTCTCGTTTTGGTTGCACCCTCCCCAAGTGTATCTGTTCTCTGCCTTCGTCTCTCGCTCGTTCCCCCCAACCTTGTTTGTCTCTCTGTTCCTCCTTGCCTTAGTCTCTTGCTGCTCCCGTAGTCTCTCGCTGCTCCCGTAGTCTCTCGCTGCTCCCGTAATCTCTCGCTGCTCCCTTAGTCTCTCGCTGCTCCCTTAGTCTCTTACTGCTCTCTTAGTCTCTCGCTCCTCCCTTGGTTTCTCGCTGCTCCCTTAGTATCTCGCTGCTCCCGTAGTCTCTCGGTGCTCCCTCAAGGCGTATTCCTGAGATAGCAACAGAACCAGAATCGAATTCAGACTTGTACGGTACAGTGAGGTGCAAGAGCAAAATGAGCAGTCTAATGAGGTTTGGTTTGGTTTTGCACGACTTTGATTCTGATCTCGTTTCTGATGCTAACTCACGAATACGCCCTTAGTCTCTCGCGGCGCATGCGAGTTTAAACTAAGGTTGTAAGTGTCAACTTACACATATTAGCTATGTAGAAATTATAGGCTAGCCTGAGGTATGCTTCTAGTGAACACAACCAACTAGTATTTGTTCTAGGTTTCCACTTCTAGTCAATCATTCAGTTCTTACCTTAACATGGTATCACGCGTAGGTTAGAATCCCCCACCTACCGCTTCCGTCCGTACCCTAGCTAGGCCCCGCTGCCCCCCCCCCCCCCCCCCCCCCCCCCCCCCCCCCCCCCTCTGGGGCCCCGTCGCACCTCCTAGCCCCGTCGCGCCTCCTGGCCCCGTCGCGCCCCTCCTGGGCCCCGTCGCGCCGCTCCTGGGCCCCGTCGCGCCTCCTAGCCCCGTCGCGCCCCTCCTAGGCCCCGTCGCGCCTCCTAGCCCCGTCGCGCCCCTCCTGGGCCCCGTCGCGCCTCCTAGCCCCGTCGCGCCCCTCCTGGGCCCCGTCGCGCCTCCTAGTCCCGTCACGCCCCTCATGGGCACCGTTGTGCCTCCTAGCCCCGTCACGCCCCTCCTGGGCCCCGTTGTGCCTCCTAGCCCCGTCGCGCCTCCTAGCCCCGTCGCGCCCCTCTGGGGCCCCGTCGCGCCTCCTAGCCCTGTTGCGCCCCTCCTGGGCCCCGTCGCGCCCTGCCTGGCCTCGTCGCGCCCGCTAGGCCCCGTCGCGCCCTGTTTGGCCCCGTCGCGCCCGCCTGGTCCCGTCGCGCCCTGCCTGGCCCCGTCGTGCCCTGCCTGGCCCCGTCGCGCCTGCCTGGCCCCTCCGCGCCTGCCTGGCCCTGCCGCGCCTGCTTGGCCCTGCCGCGCCTGCCTGGCCCCGCCACGCCTGCCTGGCCCCGCCGCGCTTGCCTGGCCCCGCCGCGACTGCCTGGCCCCGCCGCGCTTGCCTGGCCCCTCCGCGCCTGCCAGGCCCCGCCGCGTCTGCCTGGCCTCTCCCACTGCCCGCCCGGCCCATCTTCGTGCCTGCTCGTCTTGCCGTGCCACCTCGGGCTCCGTCTACTCTGCTCGCCAGTGCTGGGGCGCCTCGCGGCCGCCGTGCTGGAGAGTGCTGCCGTCGTATCCCTGCGTCGCTGTGTTCCTGTGGAGCTGTGCGGCTGACCCTGCACGATGGCTGACTTCGTGCTCCGACTGGACGCCGAGGGCCATGCGGTTGACTTCGCCGCCTGGCTCTCCGATCTCCGCCGCCACCTTACAGGTCAGCGCCAGGATGGCCACTTTTTGGTTGTCCATGTCGATGGCTTGCTCCCCCGCCCCCCTGCCTCTGCTACCCTCCCTGCTGATCCCTCCTCTGATGACCGTGAGGCCTTCTCTACTGCTGCGCTTGCCTGTGCGGTCTGGGATTCACGCAATGCAGTAGCTCAAGTTGCTATTAGCCACGCCCTCCCTGTGTCTGAGCGCTACTATTCAGACGGCCACAGCTTACTTAGACGCCGTTATTGCTCGCAATTCCACACCCGCGTCTGCTTCTGCTGGCCGCTTGCTCTTCCCGATGCTGTTCCCAGACCTTACAGCCTTCCCTACCGTCGCAGACTTTGCCACTCACTTGCGTGCCCTAGAGACCCGCTATCGCACTGCCAGCAGTGCTGCCCAGCTCACTGCGCTCCCCCCCCCTTTCTGCATGACGCTCTATTTTATCGCCATGCGCCTGCCAGACCGCCTCGCTAGTGCTCGCGATCACTTCCTTAGCCAGCACCCGGGTGACCTCACCCTCACCGCCTTTGTCGACACCCTCACCGAGATCGAGACTCGTCAGCGCACTATCGCTCAGTCGAGCGGTGTGCCGGCAGCCTCTATCTTTCACGGCTGTGCCCCCTCCCAGTGCACGTTCACTGACGTTTCGACTGCGGTCGCCACGGCGACCCCTCTCACCGAGACGGCTGCTGCGGTCCACCCGCAGCAGCGCTCGCGCCGCGGTGGCCGTGGTCACCAGGGAGGTAGGGGTGGTGGCGCAGGTGGTGGTGACGGTAGTCCGTCTGCGGGGACTACCACTGGTGGGCAAGAGCAGCAGCCCCAGCCGCAGCAGGAGTAGCCCCAGAAGTAGCCGCCGTCCCAGCAGCAGTCGCCGCAGCCGTGGGATCGTCTCCCGCCTGGCTGGCCCGGCACCTCCGGAGGTAGTGGCCGTGGTGGCGGCCCGCGCAGCTTGGCATCTACCGGCGGCTCCGGTGCTGTCACCTGCTAGTACCAGCTTCAGACCAGGCCTCTTCGCGGCACTCTGTGCCGCCGCTCGCACCCGACCGCCCGCACCCGACCGCCCACTGTTTCCGCCGCCTCGACGATCTCTTTCATCGTCGCTTTGGCCCGGCCTCGGACCTCCCCGACTGGCACAACCTGCTCCGCCAGGGCGTGCTGATCTTTGAGTCAGACATGGATCAGATAGGTGCTGCTTTGCATGCCTTGTATTCTGACGCTTCTAGTGTTGCTGGATCTTATTACCCTGAGTACTCTAGTTTAGGCGTTGCACCGTTGTGTAGCTTAGCCTCCCCTGCTGCGTCAGGCGTAGGACTGCCTAGTTTGCCTAGCCTAGTCTATGCAGCGGCTCCGTTCCCGGCCTCCGCCACAGCTTCGCTGTCCTTCACTCTCGACTCAGGTGCTTCTGCCTGCTTCTTCCGCGACCGTTCCGCGCTCACGCTGCTTGCTACGCCTGCTGTTGTCTCTCTCGCTGACCCCTCTGCGGGTCCTGTCGTCGCTCGCAGCTCCACGTCCCTTCCCTGTCCAGCAATTCCCTCGGGCTCCCTTACAGGCCTCCACGTTCCCTCGTTCTCGAGGAACTTGGTTGGTGCCGGCTGTCTCCAGGACCTCGGCGTCACCACCACGTTCCCCGGGCACGAGCGCTTCGCTGTCTGTTCTGAGGCAGTCTCAGGTTCCCCCCTTGCGACGTTCCCCCGGGACCCGGTGTCTGGTCTGTTTACCCTCGACACCGCTTCCCCCCCGGTTGGTGCGTCCTCCCAGGTCGCTGCAGCTTGCTCGTGTCGCTCCCTCACTCACCCGTCCCTGCGGAGGAGGGTGTTCGTCGTGCGGCTCCTGGGGGTGCCGCCGGCGTTGGAGGGGGTTCTCGCTCTGGGGGTGTTGGTTCTGGGGGTGCTGTTGTTGAGGGTTCCGCCGACGGTCGTCCTTCCTCTGCCGGTCCGAGAGTTCTGGCCCAGCCGTCGCAGCAGCCGCAGCAGCCGTCGCCGCCGGTCTCCGCTCTCCGCCTGCTCGGTCTTCCCTCCCCGGACCGCTCGCCGGTGTCTCCCCCACCGCCTGCTGACCTTCTTGTCTACGGTCCTGTGTTCCTGCCGCCAGACTCGTCTCCGGCCCGTCTTCCTCCTCGTTCCCCTCCTGTGTCCCCTCCACTGTCCCCTGACCCAACACCTCCGTCCCACGTTTGGTCTCGCCGTCCCTCCCGTGCTCGTCCCGTCTCTCCTGTCCTGTGCTCCCACCCTATGTTGCTCCGTTCCCGCTCGTCTCGTCCTCCCCTCCTTCCATCCCCTCCTCCCTCGTCCCTTGCTGTTGCACCTCCTCCGTTCTCTGACTACCTCCGTGCCGCTCGTCCCCTTGTCCCTTGGGTCCTTGCCTCTCTTGTTACTGACCCTGCTGTTCCTGTCTCGCGCCTTGACGCGCTTGTCGCTGCTGTCGCTGATTTGCCTCTACCCGCCGCCTTGACTACGCTACCGCTCTGGTCTCTGACCCTGCCCGTCCTCCGTCCGTCAGGGGTGCACATGCCCTTGGCAGTGACGTCCTAGAGGACAGGCAGTACGAGCTTGCTTTCCTTTCCGAGGCTGCTCCCCATCTCTGCTCCATGCTGTTAGTCCCTGAGGGTGACCCAGACGCCTTCGACATCCCGACCCCTCGCACCTACGCTGAGGCCACCTCGGGACCTTGGGCCTCTCAGTGGATAGCTGCCATGGAGTAAGAGATGGCATCTTGGAGGTCCACTGGCACTTATGTCGACGCAGTTCCCCCGCCTGGGGTGAACGTAGTCGATGGTCGGTGACTCTTCAAGGTGAAGCGCCCCCCTGGAGAGCCGCCTATCTTCAAGGCGCGCTACATGGCCAGAGGTTTCAGTCAGCGAGAGGGGGTTGACTTCTTCCAGACCTTCGCCCCGACGCCGAAGATGACCACTCTTCGGGCGCTGCTACACGTAGCAGCACAGCGCGACTACGAGCTTCACTCCCTCGACTTCTCTACTGCCTTTCTTCAGGGCAGCCTACACAAGCAGGTCTTTACCTGCGCCGACCACAGGGCTTCACTGGTACCTTCCCCCCTGGGACCCAGTGGCTTCTCAGCGCCCCCCTGGAGAGCCAGCGTCAGGCTCCTCGCCCAGATCTCGCATACCCTCTCAGCATCCTGGCTCGCTTTGTGGCTACAGGCAGACACCGACCTCAGCACTGGTCTGCCGCTAAGAGGGTTTTGCGTTATCTTGCTAGTACATCGGGCATGGGGTTCGTGCTAGGAGGACGCAGGCCAGTGGTCCTTACCGGGCACACAGACGCTTCTTGGGCAGACGACTCTGAGACGCTCAGGTCGTCGCAGGGCTACTGTTTTAGCCTTGGTTCGGGTGCTATCTCTTGGAGATCCACTCGCTCGTCGTCTGTTGCTCAATCTAGCTGTGAGGCTGAGATCTACGCTGGTGCCATGACGGCACAGGAGCTCCGCTGGCTGACCTTCTTGCTCACAGACTTAGGTGAGCGGCCTAGCTCTGCCCCGGTCCTGTACGCTGACAACAGGGCCATGAGACTCCTGTGTCAGGAGCCTCGGCTTGAGGGCAGAGCGAAGCATATCCAGCTGCGGTACTTCCTCCTGCGCGAGCTACAGCAGCGCCGCCAGGCGCGCGTAGTTCACTTGGCCTCAGGTGCCAACACGGCTGATATCTTTACGAAGGCGCTTGCGCCTAAAGATCATCAGCGGCACTGTGTACAGCTTGGTTTTGTTCCTGTAGCTACTCACCTGTTAGGATCCGGATTGTGTACTCTCTCTTATATATACTTGTCAGACTGGCCTTGTGGCCTTAGCTCCAGTGGTTGGACTAGTAGTGCTACCCTGGCTTGCTTTAGTTTTGTTTGTATTCTTGCTGACTGGTCTCCAGACCCCTGCCTCAGTGGTTGGACTAATAGTGCCACCTTGAGCTGTTTGCTTCTTGCTTAGCTTCACCCCTTGTCTAGCCTAAGGGGTGTGTCAACTTATACATATTAGCTGTGTAGAAGTTATAGGCTAGACTGAGGTATGCTTCTAGTTAGTACAACCAACTAGTATTTGTTCTAGGTTTCCACTTCTAGTCAATCATTCAGTTCTTATCTTAACAGTAAGGGCGTATTCGTGAGCGGAATGAGATGTCTAAACTCACGAATATGCCCTTAGTCTCCTTCTGCTCTGTTAGATTCTCGCTACTCCCCCTGCGCATCACCATGTGCTTTCCCCCGTGTTTCTTTCCCTTCAGCAGCTCCAGCAGCAGCTCCATCCGTAGAAGGAATGAGTACTTTAGCTGTAACTGCCCCCGCCGCTGTTGCGGTATCTGTGCAGTGATGCAATGCTGGCGGAAGTAACTGAAGTAGGAGAGGCTGTTGATGCTTTGCTTTAGTGATCCTGCTTGTATGCTTGCTAATACGGTTAGAAGCTGAAATTTTAGAAGCTGGCAGGGACAGGGTGATGGCATTAGTACCCTGACTCAACATGGTGTGGACTATTTTTATGAATTCACCCTGAATTTCAAAGGGTGCCGAAAATTCCACCCTAGGAGGCAGGGTAATTCTATAGCGGTACCCTAATTCTATAGGGTGCCTCTAAACCAATTTTGGGCCCTGCGTGGAACCCGACTGATGAAACATATTGCGAAATCGCTAATTCTGATTTTTTATATCGTGTCACTGACCGTACAAGTTATAGAGGTCTCTAAGCGTCGATAATCTTTCCCCCAAAAGAACATTTAGACATATCCTTTATACCGTACAAATATTTTCTAGTTTTGAGAAGCGTAAATCCTTCTGTTTTGTTGGATGCATTCTAATGGACGTATTGAACAGTTTCTCTAGGTTCTAACTTGCTCGATTCACCAGTTTCTTTAGGTTCCAGAGATTGACGCAGAACTCGTTTCGCAGCCGCCAAAATCAGAGGTAATCGCGAACTTCGCTGCTGCTCACTCGTTGTTCCGTGCCTCACCTTTCCGTCATCCTCGGTTTAGGCTGCGTTCATCCAGCAAAGCTCCATAGCTCTTCGTTGATTTTCTGAAGCCCTTTTTTGCGACTACTAGCCCACTTCCTTGCTCCTTGCTCCGTTTTCTAACCCGTTGTCATAGTCACTTTGAGATCTCGGCCTTCGTTAGTCTCTATGGCGGACAGCGACGATGAGGGGCCTGTCTCCAACCCGCTTCCGCCGCCGCCGCGGCCGGCGGGAAAGAAATCGCAGGAGCGAGCTCCGGAATCCACGGGGGGAAAGGCGGCGGAAGCGGCGAATCTGTCCAATAAGGACTTTCGCCGGATGGTGCTGGAGACTCCGAGGCGCGGGTCGCAGCCGACGGAGAAGAAAAACCAGGAGAAGAACAAATAGTGAGTGATTCGAGGGAAGCAAGTTGTAAGTGATTGCTGAGAGGAGGGAGAAGAGCAATTAGTAAGGAGCCTGATTAGGTCAACGATAAGGGTCCTTATAAGAGCAGTCTTAAAGCAGTCGGTAAGATACTTCGAGACGCGGGTCCCAGCTGTCGGAGAAGAAACACCAGAAGAAAGCTACTAGTAAGGAGGCTGATTAGGTAGTAAAATACTTGTTCGAACTCAAAAAGTAAGGTGACAGTTTGTCAGAGAGAATAAGGGGGGGGTAATTCCCCTGTTCCACCCTAGTCCGTTTGTCAGAGAGAATAAGGGGGGGTATTTCCCCTGTTCCACCCAAGTCTTTCCTCCTCCCCTCCCCCTCCCCACCCAAGTCCGTTTGTCTCACTTCCTCCCTTCCCCCGCCCCCCTTCCCCTTCTACTACCAGCAAAACTATCTGAACATCTCTTCCCCCTCCCCAACCTTTCCCCTCACCCCCCCCCCCCCATATTCCCCCTTCCCCCGTTCTTCCGCCAGCAAGCGGTTCAATGACCCCAGTGCGACTCCTGGGTCCGATGCCAGGCGCAAGTATTATGGCAAAGGAAAAGGGTAAGTTACCCTGCATAATGGTAAGGGGTAAGTAGCCCTGCACTATGGTGAAGGGTAAGTACGGCCATTGGCAAACGTCAACCCTAGGCGATACATCCTGTATAAAAGTTGTAGTGTAAAATTTATAAGAGTTCTGAAAAGTCTAGTGTATATTTTTCTACATTTCTCTTCCTTTTTTTTTCTGTGCCTCAGTACAGGGTGAGTGCCAGGGATCGTACCTCATCTCTCTCTATTCTCCTCTATTCCATTTCCTTAACCCCTTCTGCCTTTATTCTCTTCTGCCCTTCTCATCTACCCCCTTCCTCTGTACCTCATTCCTCTCCCCCTCCCCCTCCCCCCCCACACACACTAGGGAGGATGGTGCCTCTGCGGGAGGTGACACTAAGGAGGGCGAGGAGCCGCAGTACAGGGACAGGGGAAATTAGGCTCTCCTCTCTCGCTCTCACTCACACACTTTCTCTCTCCCCCCTTATCTCTCACCTGTGCCTGTTCTTCATTAGGGAGGATGGCGCCTCTGTGGGAGGTGACAGTAAGGAGGGCGAGGAGCCGCAGTACAGGGACAGGGCGAAGGAGAGGAGGGAGGAGGTGAATCCGGATTACAAGGAGTCTGCCGTGCCAAGCCACCTGGGGCAACTGAATGCCGTGGCTCCCCCTGGCGTCGACCTAACGTGAGTGGTGGGGTGACTAACATCTCGCAACGTTATGTCAGAGTAACATGGTAACAGATGGAGAGGAGGGAGGAGGTGAATCCGGACTACAAGGAATCGGCCGTGCCAAGCCACCTGGGGCAACTGAATGCCGTGGCTCCCCCTGGCGTCAACCTAACGTGAGTGGTGGGGTAACTAACATCTTTCAACGTTATATCAGAGTAACATTCTGGTTTTGAGGCGCCTCAAAACTGCAACAGTGTATCAGAGTAACATTTTGCTGCATTATATTAGTTTTGAGGCGCCTCAAAACGTGTTGTTTAGTTTTGAGGCGTCTCAAAGCGTGAGTGGTGGGGTAACATCTTGCAACAGTGTATCACAGTAACATTCTGCAGCATTACATTAGAGTAACAGGGTAACAGTAGGTTTTGAGGCGCCTCAAAACTATCTTGCAACAGTGTATCAGAGTAACATTCTGCAGCATTACATTAGAGTAACAGGGTAACAGTAGGAGAGGAGGGAGGAGGTGAATACGGACTACAAGGAAGGAATCGGCTGTGCCAAGTCCCCTGGGTCTCCCCTGGGTCAGTTGAATGCCATTGATGCGGCTGGGGTTGACTTAACGCGTGTGATGAGATGAGGTAACAGGAGGCAGCAGTGCACGGCGATAAATCGTGACAATGTAACATAATGACAGAGGGTAACAGAGTAACCACCAGGGAGCGCACAGGTGGCTTGCGAATCCACACCCATTCGCGATTCTTGGATACAATAGCTCCTCTTGAGATTCTCATCTTCCTTCCCCTCTCCTCTCCACCCTCTCCCCTTCCGTCCTCCCTCACAGCACCACCGACCGACGCTCACTAGCTAGCTCACGCATCTCGTGAAGGGGCTCTTCCTTCACCGCTGGTTTTAAATCCTGAACCCAACCCTCAAACCTCCCATGCAGCACCACCACTGATGCTTACAAGCTAGCGATTGAGAAGTCCAAGTGTCTGGGAGGAGACGTGGAGTGGCGCACATGCACCTGGTGAAGGGGCTCCCGCTTCAAGCCTGCGATATATATACTTCTCAACGCTAAAACCCCGTGCTTGCAGTACCACTGATGCTCACAAGCTAGCGATTGAGAAGTCCAAGTTTTTGGGAGGAGACGTGGAGTGGAGCACACGCATCTGGTGAAGGGGCTCCCGCTTCAAGCCTGCGATATATATACCTCTCAACGCTAAAACACCGTGCTTGCAGTACCACTGATGCTCACAAGCTAGCGATTGAGAAGTCCAAGTTTTTGGGAGGAGACGTGGAGTGGAGCACACGCATCTGGTGAAGGGGCTCCCGCTTCAAGCCTGCGATATATATACCTCTCAACGCTAAAACACCGTGCTTGCAGTACCACTGATGCTCACAAGCTAGCGATTGAGAAGTCCAAGTTTTTGGGAGGAGACGTGGAGTGGAGCACACGCATCTGGTGAAGGGGCTCCTGCTTCAACCTTGAGATGTATATACCTCTCACTCAATTCTAACCCCCCGTGCACACGCATCTGGTGAAGGGGCTGGACTATGCCCTGCTCAACAAAGTGCGCTCGGAAATGAAGGGCCGGGGGGGCGCTGGAGGAGGGGAGGTGAAAGGTTGCCAGGCGCATGGTTTTGAAGATTCTGTGGGGGAAGTCACTACTCCCCTTTTTCTCCCCCCACCCTCCCCACTCTCTCCCCTCTCCCTTCCCCCTCCCTCCGTCACAGTACCACTGACGCGCATAAATTAGCGATCGAAAAGTCTGAGTTCCTGGGAGGAGATGTGGAGCACACGCTTCTGGTGAAGGGGCTGGACAATGCCCTGCTCAACAAAGTGCGCTCGGAAATGAAGGGCCGGGGGGGTGCGGGGGGGGGATGATTTCATTTTTGTTCTCCAATTCTCCTCTCACCCTCTCTTTCCACGCTTCCTTCCCGTCCCCTCCTGCCCCCACCCCCCCTCACAGAACCACTGACGCCCACAAGCTAGCCATAGAAAAATCCAAGTTTTTGGGAGGAGACGTGGAGCACACGCATCTGGTGAAGGGGCTGGACTATGCTTTGCTCAACAAAGTGCGCTCGGAAATGAAGGGCCGGGGGGGCGCGGGGGGGGCGAAGGGAGGGGGCGAGGGCGAGGAGGGGGGTGAGGAGGGGGGAGCGGAGGACGAGGAGGACGCTGGTGCTGCCTCCGCTGCCGCAGCTGCTGCAGCTGGGAAGGCGAAGGGCAGGTGAGGCTTGTGGAAGTCTTCTAGAATTCTAAAGAACCAACCCTGCTGGGAGGGCGAAGGGCGGGTGAGGCTTTTTGGGCGGTCTTGTAGGGACGAAAAATGGACTTATGCATGGGCATAGGCATGGGCATAGGCATGGGCATGGGGCGTGGGGCATGGGGAATGGGGCATAGTGCTTCTGCTGGTGCCGCAGCTGCTGCAGCTGGCAAGGCGAAGGGCAGGTGAGGCTTGTGGAAGTCTTCTAGGGACTCCGAGTGGACTTGCGCATGGGGATGGGCATGGGGCGTGGGCATGGGCATGGGGCGTGGGCATGGGCATGGGGCGTGGGCATGGGCATGAGCATGGGCATGGGCATGGGCATGGGCATGGGCATGGGCATGGGCATGGGCATGGGCATGGGCATGGGCATGGGTATGGGAATGGGCATGGGTATGAGCATGGGCATGGGTATGGGCATGGGTATGAGCATGGGCATGGGTATATGGGCATGGGTATGGGCATGGGCATGGGCACGGGCATGGGGATGGGGATGGGCATGGGGATGGGCACGGGCGCATGGGCATAGGTTATAGTGCATGCGTGGGCATTGGATTGGAATGGGCATGGCTGCATGCCCATTCCGTGATGCTCGTTGCATGGTTCTTCTGATGTTGAGCTGCCTCAAGTTGTAGGCGATTTTTGATAGTTGGTTAAATTAACTAACTTTCACAGGTGTCACTACATAGTTGCTGCCACGTTGACAACATGGCACCTAACTTAACTGGTGTTTCGTTGGTTCTGATGTTGAGCTGCCTCAAGTTGTAGGCGATTTTTGAGATGTTGCATGGAAAATGAAGGAGAGGCGTCTGGGGCGGATTCTTTTTTGAGAACTCTAAAAAAAAGAACTCTAAAAAATTGCTCGTTGCATGGTTCTTCTGATGTTGAGCCGCCTCAAGTCACTCCTCCCTCCCTCCTCGTCCTCCTTGCCTCTTGCGTTGCAGAAAAGCACAAGAGAAAATGCCAGTCTTCCGCTCTGCCCTCGCGCGCGTAAGTGTTCATGCCCTTGCGACCCCCATGCCCTTGTTACCCCCATGCCCGTGCCACCCCATGCCCGTGCCACCCCCATGCCCGTGCACCCCATGCCCGTGCCATTCCTCTGCCCTTGTTACCCCACGTCTTGCCTGGCCTGTACTGATTCTGGCAGTCTGCTGCCCTCCCACCATCGTTCCATTGTTCTCTAACTCCCTCCTCC